CSRGMTCTACACCCTCTAGAATCACAAGAATCACACAGTCGCTGCCACAATGCTCGACGTCAACGACTTCATTAAGGAGCGCGGAGGAGATCCAGCCAAGATCAAGGAGTCCCAGCGTCGGCGCCATGCTCCTGAAGAGGCTGTCGACGAGGTCATTGCCATGTTTGAGGATCACCGCAAGACCCAGTATGCCGCTGCTACCGAAATGGGCGCCAAGCTCAACGTGGTGAAGAATGGCATGAAGGAGAACAAGAAGAACAAGGGCGATCCGGAGGAGTTTAAGAAGCTCATGGCTGACAAGGACGCGCTTGAGAAGGAGAAGAAGGCATTGGAGGAGAGTGCAGCGGTCAAGTACCGCGAACTTCTCAAAAAGGCCAAGAGCATCGGCAACTACGTGCACGAGAGCGTGCCCGTGTCAGATAACGAGGACAACAACGCCAAAATCCGCGATTGGGCTCCCGAGGGCGTGGCAGTTGAGAAGAAGGATTGTCTCTCACACCACGAGGTCCTCTCGCGTCTCGACGGCTACGATCCCGAGCGTGGCGTGAAGCTGGTCGGACATCGTGGTTACAACCTCACCGGCTACGGCCTCTTTCTCAACCTCGCCCTGATCAACTACGGTCTAGAGTTCCTCTTCAACAAGGGCTACAAGCCCAACCAGCCGCCATTCATGATGCTCCGCGAGGCCATGGCAAAGACGGCACAGCTCGAACAGTTCGACGAGGAGCTGTACAAGGTCACGGAGAAGGAGAACGACCCAGGCTCAGACAAGTATCTCATTGCCACTTCAGAACAGCCCATTTCTGCCATGCACGAGGGTGAGTGGATGAACGACAAGGACCTGCCCATCAAATACGCCGGCTACAGCACCTGCTTCCGCAAGGAGGCTGGTTCACACGGCAAGGACGCGTGGGGCATTTTCCGCGTGCATCAGTTTGAGAAGATTGAGCAATTCATCTTCTGCAAGCCGGAAGACAGCTGGCAGCATTTTGACAGCATGATCGATACCAGCGAGGAGTTTTACAAGTCATTGGAGATCCCCTATCGGGTCGTGGCGATTGTTTCCGGTGCATTGAACAACGCCGCTAGCAAGAAGTACGATCTCGAAGCGTGGTTCCCATACCAAGGCGAGTACAAGGAGTTGGTATCTTGCTCAAACTGCACAGACTACCAGACGCGCGAGCTGGAGGTTCGGTAAGTTGTGTTGCGTTGCGCTTTGCTCTCTGAACAGCACCACTAACTTGTCCGTCCACAGGTACGGCCAGAAGAAGCAAACAGATGCCTCATTCCAGAAAGCCTACGTCCACGCTCTCAACTCCACCCTTTGTGCTACTGAACGCGCTCTCTGCTGTGTGCTGGAAAACTACCAGCGTGAGGACGGAATCGAGGTGCCCAAGGTGCTGCGGAAGTACATCCCTGGTCAGCCCGAATTCCTCCCCTACGTTAAGGAGCTGCCAAAGGACTCTACCAGCAACAAGGCTAAGGCTGCGGGCGAGGGCAAGGCCGTTAAGGGCGGTGTTGCGAAGCTCCCGGCGGAAGGCGAAGTTGTGGAGAGGCCAAAGCACAAGGCAGAGGAAGTTAAGTCTTGATTATGTCAAGACAGCTGCATGGAATCCGAGAAAAGTCGCCCAATCAGCTACGTGGTGAATGGGCACTTGACGGAACGAAGCGATGACATGACTGGACGATGGTGATGCTCGCTGAGCGTACTGGACTGCATAGAACGTGCAGCCAGGTAGTGAAGGCAACAGCGACGGAAAGCTTTGCAAGTCACGAAGAGGTTGTCTACGGACGACTGTCTGCTCTTCCTCTCCAGTCTAGAGTAGGGCGTAGAGAAATGAGAGTCACGTTGCCGCAGGTTGGATTGGTAGGTTCATGCCGAGAGACAAAGTTGTCAAAGGTACTGTAGGAAGTTGCCCTGCCTCTCGGCGTGTTACCGTTTCTTCACTTCCCATGCTATTCAGCCCTTCCTACCCGAGCGCTCTCAGTCATCTCACATCTGGCCAAGTATGAAAAAGCGCTCCGGCAGACCTCCTTGTTCTTGACGAGCAATGCGTCTGCTGGTTTGGTGCTGCTGCCAAGGGCAGGCAGAAGGAGCTCGGCGATACAAATGTGTAAGTCCTGTACAGCCACAACACAAGAAAAGAGAATGTCGACTCCGGCCATGAGCCTCGTACGCTGGCAAGAGGACTTCGAGGCTGCACCAGTGTTCACACGAGGTATCGAGTCTTGAGAAGTCATCATTGGTGGACTTGTCATTCGCTCAAGCGCGCACGTCGCGCCACTAAATACCAGAGCACTTCAAGGAATCTCTCATTGCAGAATCGCAATTGGGGTTTGGAACTTCATCGGGTCATTATTCTGATCCATCATTCCTAAGCTGTGTAATTCTTGATTCAACATCCCGGGTATTGAGGTCTAGGCGCAATGTCCCCTCTGTTATTTCCTGACCGTTGGCATTAGGACACACGAGTTGTTGTACTCGAGCAAGACACAGGAAGATACAAGCCGATTCGCGCATTCTAGGAGAGCGGAATGTGATCTAATTCGTACGCATCAAGGTCAAAGAGTAAGGTACTTGCTTGCTCGCACCTGGGAGAACGATACTTTAAAGGTTCACGCGTGGATCGGCCACGCTGACAAGTATGCTGACTATGTGAACATGAATGATCGACATCGGCAAGGCTAGTCTCGAAGATGGAGGGTCACCTGATAGCTTGCACTTCGGTCATCCCGGAAAACCCAAACTTGTCTTCTCCTGCGATTGTTCGAGATGAGAGTCAGCCTCTCTCGACTCATGATGGAATGATGCTCACACTGCGGCTCGACAAAAGKGATGAGTCGGCCATCGCTTCGACAGGCCGAAACCCAGGTCCAGCCACAAAGCCTTTCCTCAGGCGATACCTCCTACGCGGAGTGGGATTCCCTGTCGCCTAGACGGCTTTGAACATCCTTCAGCKCTGTGGAAGTTTTCGTACAAACATCGTCCAAAGGGGACGGTGGACGTCGGCCGAATAGAGTTGAGTCTAGAATCGAGACTCAATATTTCATCGCTTAAAAGCTTAGCACATGTGCGCCATCCAGGGACCACGAGGCTTCCAACCAATCATTGAGCGTGGCTGTCGGTTCCACCATCTCGGTGCACCTTCTAGGGATGTGTACTGGACGCCAACTAAGACCTCTTCGTTGTGCGACTGGACAGCTTTTGAGACTCTCCACTGCACCCCTTGGGCCGAGGAAATTATCACTTGTTTGCAACGATAGCTATCATCTCGTCGATCTTGCCAGCACATACATGATACTGCCACTGCGTCAAACCACTTCCCCCACAGCCAGGAGTGTCTTGGGGAATGCGAGATGCAGGAACGCCACTTCGGCGGCTTCTTGGAGTTTTTGGGTCTAGCCATAGCACGCTGGCCTTGCAACATACAGAAAGGGAAGTATACGCCACGGGCGTGGCCTGGTCATTTCCACATTAGAGCCCTACCCGCACGCAAAGGGGAGAGCCTCCGAAGACCTTGTGATGGCGAACGCATGCACAAGTACTCGATTCTAGGCGCATGCAAAAGGATTCTTTTTCCTTGTACCGTCTGATCACCGTCCTTCCCTATATCAGTCCTTTCGTGCTCCCAAGCGGTTTTTTTGTTTCCGACTTTCACGGCGTTAATCCATCATCACTTTCATTCGTTCCCAAATATTATTTACACGCAACAATGAAGAACTCCATCATCTCTCTCGTATTGTGTACTACGAGTGCGCTTGCATCAGCACCCTCTACCAGTGGAACAATATGGACAAAGACACTCTTCCTCGACGACTTTACCGGCGGCTCTGGTTCAGCTCCCTCAAGCTCCAACTGGATCATGCAAACCGGGACTGCATACCCTGGTGGTCCAGCCCAATGGGGTACCTCCGAAGTCGAGACCTACACCAAGAGTGGCACCAACRTACGTCAAGGCGGAAACGGAAATCTTATCATTACCCCTGTCAAGTCCAGCAGCGGCCAGTGGACTTCAGCTCGCATCGAGACTGTCAGGAACGACTTTACGCCTCCTGCGGGAGGTAAGCTGAGGATCGAGAGTCGTATCAAACTTCCCAATGTCACTGGGACGAATGGTCTAGGATACTGGCCTGCTTTCTGGGCTATAGGAGGTGACTTTCGATCCAATCGATCGAATTGGCCTGCAGTGGGGGAGATYGATATCATGGAGAATGTCAATGGTGGAAGCAGCGTCTACAATGTCGTACACTGCGTATGTCGAATCCTTATCATGACAGGCTCTTGTTTAGAGACGTGCTAACCTTACATCAGGACGTCAATCCCGGTGGAGCATGCAATGAACCCTCCGGCTTGGGATCTTCCTCTACCTGTACCGGCAGCGCCTGTGCAGGGAACTTCCACATCTATGAAGTTGTCATCGATCGAACTACCACCCCTGAGCAAATGAAGTTTTGGTTGGACCGTCAACTCGTGCGGACTCTCACCGCGAACCAAATGGGAACCGCGGTCTGGGCAAAGACCGTTCAGAAGGGATTCTATCTAGTGCTCAACGTTGCGATGGGAGGAGCCTTCCCCGATGCGATCGCTGGAATCAAGACACCTACCTCTGCGACTATCAGTGGACAGACGATGGAGATTGACTATGTTGGTGTGTGGGCTACCAAATGATCTGCATCGCATTCTGTTTGGAGCATTTGGACTTTGCGATGATACCCCGGGAGATTTGATAGACGGCGTATGAAATTTTGCCTTTCATCTTTCACAAATCAACGAGGAAGAATTTCATCTGTAGCTGCGCATTATCTTGAGGCGAAGGTGGAAACTGTCTAGTCCAAGCAGGGGTATGATGCAAGGGACCCCGGCTAGCGCGGTTCAGGTGAGTGAAGGACTTCAAGTGAAGGAATCCAGGTATACGGTAAGGCCGCTTACAGAGCATAGCCTCACACAGAAGCTACAATGCCTCGTATTCTGAGTCTTCCCTTACTATTGTGAAGTAGGAGGCTTACAAGTACCAAAACTTTTGCTTTCATCGTAGGGCTCTCAGCCTTGAAAGCAAAGGCTTATACAAAGACTCCCCTCTCCCAATCTCAACCACCTCCTGTCTGTCAATATAACACCCTCCGCTAGTCCTTCCACACCTGTCGACACCCCACCGTGCGAGGACAACGCGACGACAGCAAAATTACCAAGCAAAGTCCCACAGCTAAACCTCCGGGAACAGGCATAGTCCCACCATCCTAAGTATGCCTGACTGCTAAACCTCCTTTCGTAGTACAGAACACATGTCGTGAGCGGGTGTGGCAGTTTTCTCGTACCACTCTGGCTTTTTGAAACTTCTTGACGCACAGGGCGGATGATGCATCACTCGTCATACTGTAACGCTGACCATGCCGAGTTGCCATTGAGACAAACAAATTTTTGATATGTTGGGGATGCATTTCATTGGCTTCTGGGTTTGAAGGCGGCTTTTTGACACTGCGTCTGTGGGAGAGGCTTATGAGGTTGATTTTGTGATGCTCGTGGTTTGTGTTACGGGGGATGAGGGTGGTGCGGCTGGACACGATGGTTGTTCCCACAGCGTTTCTTGGTCGATGGTCACCCTTTTAAGCCTTCAGAAAATATAGGCCCTGAGAACAAAGCTCCGTGACTTTGTAGACGCTTTGTTTGCACACTGCTGGCTTATTTCACACAACGCTGACTGAAATTCGTAGGGGCGCTACTCATACCGGACTGATTTTCAGACTGAACCGCAACACAGCTTTGCAACGGAGGGCATCAGTGGCGAATGCGTGTCCAGCGTACAACCCAAGTGCGGGTAGWGACAGTGGTAACACTCGTTCGACTCGCCGCCCTGTAGGCACCCAAAAATGTCCCGATACATCCGGCGTACCACAATGGTCCATAATCACGGTCGAATGACGAACATATATACTTCGCTCATAGAAGCACTTCCATCGCAACAAAAAAAAACTCCCTCAAATCTCCAAGCAACATCGTCGATCATGTCGACCTCCATCCAAGACTGGAACTGCAGCCAGCCTGCCAAAACGGAAGAAAGACCGCCTTCTTCGTTTGGCGAACAGCTCACTCGAGTAAAAGCCCACGATAATGACCATCATGTAGCCTGGCAAATCGATGAAAAGGCCCCAGACGACACCGCGATTCCTCGACAGACGCTGCAGAAGATCTATCTCAGTCCTCCCATTGATGTGCAAGGTGACTTCCGCAATATATTTGTCTGCCTTTCACTTCCCCTTAATTCTGCTTGAATTCTTCGACTGACAACATGATCAGGCGAATCCCACTCCCCTGGGCCTCGTGGGCTTCCTCGTGGCAACAGTGCCTGTTTCCTTCCAGCTTATGGGCATTCGTGGTTCTGGAGGCGGAGGTGCTGCGACAGGGCAAGATCACTCCTTTCCAGACATGTCTTCTTTTCAATCGCTAACCAGGACTCTACGCAATAGCTGTTTGTCCCTCTTCTTCGGCGGAATGCTACAGATCATCGCTTGCCTCATGGARTGGATGCTTGGAAACACCTTCTCCTTTCTGGTCTTTGGCTCCTTCGGCGCAGCATGGTTTGCACTCGCATGCACCAATTTACCAATGTTTGGAGCGATGACGACTTACACGGCGGGTCTGACTGATGCCCACGCAATCGAGGCTGCGCAAGCTGAGTTCTACTCCAGCTTTGGTAAGGTGACATGTTGCTCCGTCTTGATCTCGAATCATGCTAACGGGGATAACTCCCAGCATTCGGACTGCTGACACTCGGCTTCATGACCATGACTTTTGGCTGTTGTGCTCTCAGGACCAACATCATCTTTGTCTTGACATTTGCCATCGTCAGCGTTGCGATTTTTCTCTTCGCAGGTTCGTACTGGGCGCTCGCAGAAGGGAACAAGGAAGCTGCAGCGGACATGCAAAAGGCCGTCGGTGCGATCTTCTTTACCGGATGTCTGCTGGTCTGGTATCTTCTTGTGGCCAATTTKCTGGAAGTCCTCGAGTTTGGTATATCGCTTCCTGTTGGAGATCTTAGTGAGTCTTGCAATATTGCCGTGTGTAACGACAGATGGTCGTAGGACATAAACGCTGACGTTTCACGCCCTACCAGGTACAAGACTGGGAAGGATCGGCGGCGGCAAGCCGCGTGCGTATCGAAATCGTTCAACATCTGTATGATGTATCAGAGAGCATGGCAAAGGCCAAAGCAAGTCTTTCACACCGGGTCGGAGAGCCTGGAAAAAACGCTTTTTGCGTTTTGGAGGTCAGGATATAGGTGACGGCCCGTTGATGCAACCTTGGCGTTGGTTTGGCCGTGTCGTAATAACTTTGAAAGTCTGCAGCACTTTGGACTCACACCTTGAACCGCTCACTGTGGGAAGATTCGGGGGCGATCTTGCGTGAGAGTTCCACAATTTCTATAGGCAGAGCATAGAAACAAAGATTAGTACGCCGTTTGTCCACAAGTCTCTCCACCTCCGCATAACGACTCCGGTGAAGCTACTGACAGTGGCATCTTGCTCTATCTCCGAGTCGCGAGTACTATCGCAAATGGCCATCTGAGCTGGTATTCCTTGTCTCCCAGCAAGCTCTTYAATTCCTTCAATTCCGGAGCCAATTCTTCTTCGACATTGACGAACGGGACTACACTCCGTAGGTAGCCTACGATCCAAGTATGATCGACGGTCCGCATTACAAAGTCATTGTTCTCCAAGACCTCTTGGCTTTCTACTTCGGGCAGAACTCGTTTGTCGGCCGCTGGAATGTTTAAGTCTATATCAAGCATGTCTACCTCGGGCATCACCTGGATCCTTCTAACATTGGTCCACTCTTTGGGATTGAACGGTATGTTGTCGAAGCGAGCGTTGCTGTTGGCGGTAGGCCCTTCCTCTGTGAGCTTGCCGAGCTTCTCTTCGTATATTGCGAACATCCGTTCAAAGAGCTTTGACCAAGCCGGCTTCACCGCTGGGAAAGAGTCCGCAAATTGCGGCTGGACTCCGTAAGCCCAAGCTGAAAAGGTCCCTCCAGATTTGAGCAACTGAGCTGCGCTGGGTGTGATCCGAAGGGGATCAGCCCAGTGAAGGGAAGTCCCAGCTGTAAGTAGGTCGACTGGGCCGTTGGGAAGATCGCTTGGTCTCATATCTTCAATCTTGGACTTGACGAAGGACAATTGCTTGGAGCTGGCGTATGAGGCGAGGGCGAGTTTGGCCTGAGATATGTAGTCGTCGGAGGGGTCGCTCAGCGTTGCGCGCTTGAATTTCTTCAACAAGAAGTCTCTGGCTATGATTCCAATGCCGCCACCAATGTCCAGAGCGGAGTCAAAAACACCGCCATGGGACTGGTGATACTCGCAGACCAGGTCGTAGAGCTGGGCAGGGTAGGCGGGCCGGTGAAGTGCATATTGCTCCCAATCGAGTTCTTTGTAATTGAAGTCGTGGGGCATCCTGAATATTGGGGTCCGGTGTGTAGATGGAGTGACGTTGGTTCGTCTCTCCAATCAACTGGCTAGCTACTACGTTATATATGTGAAGCACCTACAGGATCCTGCCTCACTCAGCGGGGTAGCCAAGCACGCCTGAAACTTAACTTCTGCATCTGCATCGTCAGCCGCGGTAAAATCCCGCTGGTAGGCTGCAGGTTGCATAGCCCGTGGCATGTCGATTCTCGCGACCATGAGATGTGATGGAAGCATACGAGTCACGTCAACGGAAAGACCTGCCGGCTTGGCAGTATTTCCGTTGATTCGAATCCTAAATCCTCACGTGGGCACAAACTAATGCTTGCTTCGGACATGGACTGTATGTAGCTTCAGCAGATGAGCATACAGATGTTTACCACAGTATGCTGAACATCAGATGCCAAGTGCTGGAAGCAGATCGACAGCGGTGACTAACATGGGTTCTCTTCCTCATTTTTCACCGGTCATCCAGTGAAGCTCCTCCATATGGAGTATCCTGCGCAGATGTGTTGCTTGCACTGTAATCGCTGAAAACGTCATGTCCAGTTTCAGAGCCATTCATCGAATTCCAAGTCCATGTTGAAGCCCGACTCAAAGTTCAACCGGGGCCCAGCAGAATTCTCGTCCGGCACTCCGGGGAAGTCTTCAACAGGGACTACTGGCTCGATTGGCAAATACCCTGGCTGCGAACATCCTGCCAGCCCGGGAGGTTCAGGATCCAAGGGACATGTTGTCTCATTCAGGCATGCTACCGCATCATCATCATCATCGACTCCTCGAGCCTGCTCAAACTGCGTGCAATAGTGACCAATCGTGCAGCCCATGACACCCTTAAACACACGACAGAGATAACTCGGCGTGACACCCACGTCTTTGGCCAATGCTTTCACGCTCCTCTCAAATTTGGCATTTCCCAGATCATCGCGCAATACATCAAGCGTCCTCAATACGATTTCTTCTCGCTGGCCCAGGAACATTGGATCGTCAGGCTTGCACTTGGTACATGGTTTGAATCCAYCCAGTCGCGCTTGGGCTGCTGTTTCGTAGTACACGACGTTGGCTCTCCGAGCGACTCGCGCGGTGCATGTCGGGCGGCAGTAGATCCGGGTGGTCTTGACGCCATAGATGAAAGAGCGGTGGGCTGTTGGATCCCGCTGCGTGATGGCTCTCCAGCGGAGATTCGTGCTCTGACAGACTGGCATGTCGTGTTGAACGTGTTTGCCACAGCTGTGTCTTCAGGCGAGGTGCGAGATATTGGACTCGCATCTGGAATCGCACATGGAGTTTGCGCTGCGCTCGAATTACAAATGCGTAGTATCACAGCACTCTGTCTCATCACGGAAAGGGTGGTTGTGAAGTCTTCGAGATTGCGTGTAGTCACAGTCGCAGCGGGTGATCTGCACTGGCGTCACTGCATGAAGATGGATCTTGTCAGCCTCTCGTCACACCGTCACACCGTGCACCCTTCGACATGCCGACGGAGCGCCGAGTGTTCAATTGCATCTGAAGTTTGGATTGCCAGCCAGATATTCATCTGGCAAGGAATGCTGTTAAAAGAGTCAACTAATACTTGCTAGCTGACTTTCAGCGCCAATGATGGAATCTCAGCTTACAGCAGGATCGCGAGGTGGTACTATCCTACTAAGCCATGCGAATGTCTCAATTGCGAACCTCTCGGGCTGGTCAAGCATCACCAAATGACCAGCCTCAGGAATAAATGCACACTCCCTTGCCCGAGACCCCAATCTCATTCTCAGATCTTCCATCTTTCCTCTTGGAATCCATTGGTCTTCCTCTCCCCAAACGAGCTTGACGTCGCAACGTACACGATCGTACATGTTCCCTTCCAGCATCTCAGCAACATCTTGGTCGTTCGCCTGTGATATTTGCCGGACAAAGCTTTGTTGCCGCTTCGTAGAATCGCTTCTTGCGCTCTCTCCGGGATGCACTGTCCAAGGCAGAGCCAGCTTATCCTCCCRTACGCTCTGCGCATTTCCCGTCTTGAACAGCGCGCTCCGGATGACAGCTCGAACAACTGCTTCGAAGATCCCAGGTGGTAAATCTATAAAGACTCTCGGCTCAGAGCGGGCGAGCTTATAAAAGCCATCACCCCAGGGCAACACGGCGTYCGTATCGCAGAGCATCATACTCTTGAACTCGCATCCCAGCATGAGATGTGCTCGCAAGACGATCGCCCCGGCGATGTCGTGAGCTATGACTGCAGGCGATCGATGTCTTTGTCTGCTATCCATGCAGACATGACTGAGGAGTGCTTTCAAAGCTTGTGCTTGGAATTTGACGGAGGTGTCTCCTGCAAAACAGTCATTCGCGGATGAACCTTCCTTGGAGCTGTAGACATCCGCATTTTCGAAGTCCTGCGACTGTCCATACCCCGGGAGATCGTATAACAAGATTTGATATGACTGTCTGGCGAGCAGTGCTTTGGCGACGGGTTCGAACATTGCCGAGGACCAGGGAGTGCCGTGAACAAACACTAATGATTCCGTATCTTCGCTACCACTTGAACTTGAACTAGCCACTGATTCCAAAAGCCTGTATCTGATGGTCCAGCCTTGGAAAAGGAAGACCGAGGGTAGTTCCATCATGTTGTGCTGTAGATTTGGGTCGGAGTGCAATCGAGTTAAGGGGTTTAAAATGATGTTGGATGGCCATTTGGAACCTGCCTGCGAGATCGATTACTTATGTGTTTTCTGAGGTCCAGCGTGACGTTCCAGTGATTGACGTTAGATTGGGCAGTTGGGTGTCACTCTTGCAGTCGTGACGCTCGCAGATGTGTGAACTTGACTCTGATTGGTCAATTTGAGTACAAATCCATTTTGATAGGCCAGTTTGAGTACATCTTCCGGTTATGTCGAAGGTCTTTACATCGATCGCGAGTGCTCGAAGCCCCGCATCTCGATTGAAGTGCAGGACAGGGGATTCCGCTGAGCGGCTCCGTCATTTGAAAGGTTTGCTGTAGTAAGCCATTCTCCAAGAAGGCTGGGCGTCGACATTGTGGAGACGTGAGCTTTGCGTTGGGTCAGCGAGCAACATGGCGGCGATGCGGCCATTGTGCACAGCACTCCTATTCCTCGATGGAAGACCTCGTGTATCAGCTGGGCTGTAGCAAGACGACCACTTCTGGTAGAGTCAGGCTTGAAGAAGCCAGACATACATAGGCCGTCTCTTCTCGAGAGCTGCAGTCTGGCTCTATGAACAGTCTCTCCCCCCTTTTGTTCGATTTGCTTTCGCGCGTCGGTGATTCGCGATTTCAAGGTCCTTTCAAAACCCTACAACTCTCGGCCTGAGCGTCCAGATCCGAGTATATTCGCACCAGACCTAGCACTGCCTCCGATTTTGATTGTTTGGCGCTCCTCAACGCAGCTGCGAGATCCAACAGCAGTGTCTTCTTCAAGTCCAGCAACTTTGCCCTTTGCGCCACGAGAAACGGATGATCCGGCTCCAATTTCTCAATCATGCGGCTTATAAGTAGATAAGAGTCCGCATGCCGTCTCAATCGATTCAGTGGAATGCCCGGAGATGTCTCATCCGCGTCCTCATCCTCCTCGTCCTCTTCTTCGTCCTCCTCATCCTCGAAGCTATCCTCACCACCTTGCCCCACTCTCAGAGCCCTCTCCAGATCCTCCACCTTCTCCCCAACGTCTAGCAACGCTCTCCCAAACATCACATCCCGTCTGACTTCCTTCCTCTCCCGAACCAATTCCCGCGCCTCGCCCGCACGCTCCTGCACACTGGCCTTTACAGCTCTGACCTCCCTCTCAAACCCCAATACTCCAACTCTAACGCCCTCCACCTTCTCCTCTCCTCCTCTCAGATCCACACCGAGACTCAGGAATTCTTCATAGTTCCCATTCACCAAATCCAACAACTCGCGATTCAGCAGCTGCGAACGTTGTCGGAGATCGGCGCGTAGATCTTCTAGCGTTTGATGTCGGTTTCTCAGAGTTGAAAGGTATGTGCCAGGCGAGAAGTCCGGTGCGAGGAAAGCAGTGCGCGAGAGTTCGGCGGGGTATGGAAGTGTGGAAATGTCGTCGTCTTCTTCGTCTGAGGAGGAATATCGATAGGCTGGAGTGGAGGCAGCGGAGATTGACGGTGACGCCGAATCTAATGTGAAAGTCGTCATGGTGGTGAGCTGTTGTTAGAGTTGCTCGTGTGAAGCAAAAGAGACCGAACAATGTTGTTATTTTGGGCGGAGCTCTCTCCGTCATTCACCGAAGCACCTGCAGGGTCAAGCCACGAGTTCAAGGGGTCCACTGCATGTTTCACGGAAGTCACCAACCTACCTTATGCTTGAGAGCGGGCAATCATTCAAAGGAGTCAATTTAGGTGCTATCATCGGCATCACTGCATGTAATTTCTGTCTGTCTGTGGTTTTCGCCTCCTGCACCCGAGACATGCCTGTTGCCGTAACTCTGTACATCTTCCCACATGCATGTATGCGAGCCCAAACGCCCGCTAAGCTGTAATCCAAACGTCAAACACGTCCAACTCATCCCGTCCGTCCCAAGCTCTGCAGGTTGACAAGCTCAAAATACATGCCTCCTCGTTTCATTAGCTCACTGTGCGTCCCGCTCTCCACTATCCTCCCGGCATCAAAGACATAAATTACATCCGCCTTCTGAATCGTACTGAGACGATGTGCTACTGCGATTGTCGTTCGTCCCTTGGCCGCTTTGTCCAATGCAGCCTGAACAACCTTCTCACTTTCCGAGTCCAAAGCGCTCGTAGCCTCGTCCAGAAGCAGGATCTTGGGATCACGCAACAGAGCTCGCGCGATGGCAATTCTCTGCTTTTGACCACCAGACAACATGCCTCCCTTGTTGCCTACGACGGTGTTGAAAGCATCGGGGAGAGAAAGGATGAATTCGTAAATGTTGGCTTCTTTGCATGCTTGAATGATGGCCTCTTCGGGAACGTCTTCAGGGGCGCGGTCGGCGCCTAGCAGGATATTGTCACGGATAGTTCCTTGGTACAATGTAGGCTCTTGCGAGACGAGGGCGATGTGGTTTCGGTAGGAGTTGACATTGATGCTGGAAATGTCTCTGCCATCAACGAAGATGCCGCCAACAAGCGGGTTATAAAAGCGTTCGAGCATGGCGATCGTTGTAGACTTGCCGCAACCGGAGGCGCCGACCAAAGCCACGTATTGGCCTGGACGAACGCGGAGGTTCAGTCCTCGGAGCACAGGTTGCTCGAGACGGGTTGGGTAGCGGAAGTGGACGTCACGGAATTCGATGTCGCCTTGCATTGTGTCCACGATGTCGCCCTCCGTGCTCCAAGTGTCGATCTCCGGTTTTCGGTCAAAGAGAGTCTTCATCTCAGCCGCGGCGTGCTTGGCTTTGCCCATGTCAGGTGCGAAGCTAAATATCGTTCCGGCGGATTGGGCGCCGAAAATGACGGCTTGGAAGCAGAGGAAAAACTGGAACATGGTGTACTCGTTGCTACCAATCAAAGTGCTTCCATACCAGAACCCCAAAGCAATGCAGCAAAACATCAAACTTTGGGATGCCGCGTAGAGAGAGCTGGCGCTGAGGACCGGTCGCAGAGATTCCTTACCTTGCGAAACAATCTGTCCGTGGTATTGCTGCCAAACGTCATCCTCGCGGGTCAAAGAGGCCACTGTTCGAATTGCGGAGGTAGCCTCGCAGGCGAAAGAGGCCGACTTCTCGTAGGCGAGTTTTGCGCGTGCTTGGAATCGTGTCAACAACCAGAAGCGGAGAAAGCCGCAGGCCAGGACAACAGGGACGGTAGCGATGCAGACAAGTGCGAGTTTCCAGCCGACGGCAAGAGAGATGACAAAGCCGACGACGAGGGTGGTCATCACTAGCAAAATCGTCCCAAGTGTGGTTCCAGACATGCCAGCCAAATGGGTGGTCTCCGTGCTCAAGAACGAGGTCAAAGCTCCGGCGGTGTTCWTCTCCTGGTCAAAGAAAGCAATGTCCTGCCTTAGCATGGCGCGGAATGACTGGTCTCGCGCCCGGTGCACAAGTTTCTCACTGCACCACGCGAACGCTATTCCCATCACGGTGTAGCCAAGCAGGGTTACCAATGCCAGCATGAAGAACATCCAAGACCAGAATGCAGTCGCGTCTTTCAGACTGTCATACTCGCTGGGAGGTTTTGCGAGAGCGGTAATGATTTTGGAGAAGAAGACCGCAGATACGGGATTGCCGGCACCAGAGATTATCGCAGCCACAAGACCAAGGAGCATCCAATGCCATTCCGTTTTGTTGAAGCTCATGACAACTCTAACCAGTCGCCAAAGGGAGTATCTTGGTGCCCTCTCTTGTTTGACCTTCGCTACGGCCCTCTCCGTGGCGGTAGACATCGATCTCGAGTGTTTTGAGATCCTGCTGAATCGGCTGGTGGTCTGTTTGAGTTCGAGGTCTTCCGAATCATGATCGTGGGCATTCTTCTCAAATTCGACAGGAGAATACTCGCGAGACGCTTCCTCCTCTTCTTCCTCCTCATCTGGTTTGCCTTTCTCGGCAGCGATTCTTTGGGCTTCTACGAGGTTATAGTATGCGTCTTTCCTCTCCAACAGCTCGTTGTGGGTGCCCTGCTCCACAATTCGCCCGTGAGACATCACAACAATGTTGTCTGCATCTCGGATTGTGCTAAGTCGATGGGCGATGACAATAGTCGTTCTGCCCTGCGCTGCGCGGTCGAGTGCTGCTTGCACAACACCCTCGCTCTTGGTGTCGAGCGCTGAAGTTGCCTCGTCGAGAAGAAGAATTCTGGGGTCGCTGACGATGGCTCGTGCAATCGCGATACGTTGTTTTTGGCCTCCGGAGAGAAGAAATCCCCGCTCGCCGACGTTGGTTTGATAGCCTTCGGGAAGCTGGGTGATGAAGTCGTGCGCGTTGGACATCTTCGCAGCACTCTCAATCAGCTCCTGGCTGTCCTCGAGAGATAAATGCTCGTGCTGTGTCCCAATGAGGCCATGGCGAATGTTACCTGCGATTGTAGTGGCGAAAAGAGTTGGCTCTTGTGAAACCAAGCTGATCTGTTGGCGGAGCCAGCGGAGGTTTAAATCCTGGACGTTAACGCCGTCTAGCAGTACTTCGCCACCCACAGGGTCATAGAATCGCTCCACAAGTCCTACGATGGTGCTCTTGCCAGATCCAGAGGCACCAACAAGAGCGGTTGTCTGCCCTGCGGGTACTATCAAGTTCACCTCCTCCATCACCACGACTTCCGGACGTGAGGGGTAGATGTGCCTGATGTTGCGCAGCTCGACTGCGCCATCTAAGCTGTCCAGCTTCTYGCCTGCTGTCGAAGTGGGGTCCAGCGGCGAGACGCGATCGATGGTAGCGTAGATTTTGCCAGACGCCGCAATAGCAGTTGTGAAAGCCTGGGCGTTAGGAGCTACGTTCCCTAGAGCGAAAGAGCCAATCATGATCGATAGAACAATGGTGAGGACAGCCGAAAGCGAAGTTTCGCCGCTAACAATGTATCGACCACCAAGCCAGAAAGCCAGAGAGTAGGTTAGGTAGACGTAGCACATCAAGAGCCCTATCATAGATCCAGTGAGAGCCTTTGTTGTATACCCGGCCTTTTCAGCTACAGTGAGATGTTTGTCGTACTGCTTGGCCAGCTTGTCCTGCGTTCCGAATGCAACAGCGTTGCGGATCGAGCTGAGGACCTCTTCTGCCACCGTTCCACCTTCGGCGTAAGATGCTAGTGACAGTTTGTTGTACTTGACGATGAATTGTCCGAGAATGGCCATGGTAAGGAAGATCGCCATGATCGAAGAGGTCAGAATGAGCGTCAGCTTCCAGTATTTGATGAATCCGATAATGTAAGCAGAGAAGAACGTCGCAATTGCGGTCAAGGTCAGTGCTACCTTCTCCGAGATGCCGTCCTGGACCAGGTTAGTGTCGGACGTGATGCGAGTGGTAATCTCCCCGGCTCCGAGCTTGTCGAAGTACCCAATGTTCTGACGCAAAATGCTGGCAAGATATTGCTCTCTGAGTTTGCCGGAAATGTGCTCTCCCGTGTAGATGAAGCCAACTGTTGCAACGTACGTAGCTGTAAACTCTCCAATGGCCAGGTAGATGAAGTACAGCGTGAGATGGCTCACAGTGTCCTGGAAATCTTGCCCCGAGACAGTCCCGTTGAAGAAGCCAGCGAATTTGCCAGCAAGCGATCCAAAAACAATGGTCATCAGAGGTAGCGCGGCTCCGGCAGCAAGGGCCATGATTCCGCCAACGCATTGAATTACCAGATCGGTTTTCGTCGCATATCGATACAAGTCCTTGTAAGAGACATTTACGGGGGGAATCTCCAACTGCCGGCGCAGTATCGATGCTTCATGTTCTGGCAAATGAGCAAAGGGATCTTTCTCCTCGACCTCCTCTTCGTCCTTGTCCTTTCCCTTCTCCTTCCCTTTGTCCGACTTTTGCAAGCTCTTCGATTCTTGTGAGAACCGTGATCGTTTGTGCGATTTGTTCCAGGAGTCCCTCCATTTCGCATCTGTTCTGTCGTCCGGTGCTGTCGTTAGGGGAGTCTGTCCAAAGGTCGTCTTCTCTATATCGACCAGGGCCAACTCATCAGGCACGGCATCGCCCCTTCGAACGCCCTTGTCCATACCGTCCATAGTCGCAGCGGTTGGGTGGTTGGTCGAGGGGTGCAGGTCGCGAAGCCGGCCAGAACCTCAAAGTCCAGAGGCGGCCTGGCACTAACCGCGTTTTGGGTGTTATTGATCGGCCGAGGCGAAACGTTCAGATCAACGGCGTGTCAGTTGATTGGGCTTTGGGGGGCTTTATACGCGGGCCGCACAACGAGAGTTGCCCGTAGTGAAAAGAGGAGAGATGCTTAATCGTAGGAGAGGCAAAAATGCAGGGCAGGAGAATGAGACGATGGCGACGGCGACGCCCTTTTGCCGCCGTCGCCGTCAAAGGAGCGTGCATGATCGTGTAATAAGGTAGTCCGGCTGATTCGAGTGGCATCCGTACCGAACAAGAATCTAGCCCATGTAATCACGGGCCCATGTCGCATCTCGCATTCGGAACAGAGTCCCACTGGTCAAGATCTGGATAAAGACCCTATTCACCCGACTTTTGATGCCGACTGCCGACGCTCGTGCTAGACGCCGCTCGTATCTCGTAAAGGGAGGACGAGGAGGAGGATCTTTGTTCAACTCGTACGTTCTTCATCCTCCAACGATTGCCATTGACGTACATGAACAATTCGACACACTTGGAGCACGGAGCTGCCATTCTTCGACAACCTCTATCAGTAGGTCTCAACATCAACCAGGTCAGTGTTTAGCCTGATCAATCCTCTCGGACTCCGATCAAGCTCTCTCAAAGGATTCGAGACTTGTTGAGCTCGCCTACCGTATCTCGTACTGCTCGCAAACGCCATGGTCTCGGTGTCGCTCGCGCCGAAGCATGTATGGTCATCGCCCAGGGTCATGGTCATCATGTTTCTCGCATACCACAAAAGCTGTGCTAGGTCCGCACGAAGGACTGCCGTGACGCAGACGCAACAGTGGCGAGAATCGAGATCGGCTCGCCGTTCTCAAGGTCTCACATCATCGCCTCTCTATGACCTGCCCGGCGTTGACGAGATATCTCAAAACACCAAAAATTTCATTGCAAAACACAGACAACAGGATGGCAGTGCGAGGTTCAACAAAAATCCTTCTTGAATTCCTTTTTGACCAGCTCTATTTCCATCCTCGCGGCGGCATCCCCCCTCAGCCCTTTGTACGCTCGTCTTCAACTTGACCATGGTGTGCAGTCGAACGGTCCGTTAGCCGCAAACAGATCTGGACCATCTGAGCACAGAATCCTGGTTTCTCGACAGCGGTCCATATTCCCTAATCTGGTAGATTGTCTCACAACCCCTGCAGGAAGTAGAGTCTGCAGAGCACGCGTTGGAGTGCCTCCACGCGGCCACGCCATTCGAGCTCTACCTATACCCCTGGTTTGCGAGTGAATCAGCGAATCAGCAACAGCAGAATTCCGGGGATGTTATCATTGATTGCACTCCGAGGTGTGTACCCGCATTTCTTCCTCGCTCGATGGCAATACTCCGCCAGTCTTCACGACTTTCGCTGCAGGAACGGGACGAGGGGCGGTGAAGGCAAACCTTGCCGCTCTCTTCGCAACATATCAATGACCAGGCTCGCGGACGGGAAGCTATGACCACCCAAACCACATGTTTGGGAAGAGAGGTAGAGTCCAATGGACATCAGATTAAAGTTGTCTTGGTCGAGCCTATGGATGCCAGCCGATCACTACTCCAACGGCGGCTGCTACCGCTATCCCCACAACAAGTTCAACGCCCTTTACCGCATTTCCAGTCTGCTGCGCTGATGTTGTTGTCGAACTTTCACCTTGCGTTAGAGGCGTTGTCGTCGGCTCCGGGGTTCTCGAAGCTGTCATGGCCGGAGTACTCGAAGCTGTTGTGGTCATGACAGACGTTGTCTCCGTTATCGCGGACCTGTCCGAGGTCGCAGTAGTTGTACCAGTGCTGGCCGTCGTGCTGTTAAGCGTGATGGTCAACCTTGGTGTGATTGTTCTTGTAATTCTGACCATGGTCGTGCTCGTGCTGGTCGGGCCTGTGCTCGCTGGGCCACTACTCGCACTCGTGCTGTTCTCGCCGGCAGGCATGATTCGAAATTCTGTTGAGATGAATCCGCTGTTCATCTGCGCTTCGGCGTCGCTTTCGGCGTCGGTCGCACGTACGAGCCAAGGAATCTGACAGTCTCCAAGGCACTGGACTATCCATTCAAAGTTGACTGAAGAAGTATTCGCTGATATCCTATTAGTGTTGAAACCTGACGGAGCGCTTTGTGAGGCCATAGACTTACACAGCAATGGATAGGTATTGCCGTCGGAGTTTGGTACAAGCCAAAGGTTCACTCGCGAGAACTTAGACGACCAGGATATATTCATCATCGATCCGACCTCATAGAGCTCTACGGATCCGGGCTGTGGCCATAAGAACATGCCGCTGTTCGCTACCAATGGTGTTGCCGAAAGGGGTTGGTATGGTGTGTAATCCAGAGGAGTAGATTGCGAGCATGCCGATGCAACAAATATGAGTGAGGCGAGAAATCTTTGGAGATGTTGCCTGCAAGTCATCGCGGCGGAAATCCTGATGTCGGAAATGAGGAGAGAGAGAAGTATGAGAAAATGAAGTATGAGAGAATCTTATCGAGGACAGACCCGGTCGTTATAACATGCGAGYAAACTGCTTTGAGCACGAATGCTGTGCCGTGCCGCATGAGCCTCAATATTTCCAACACTGCAGATGCAAGGATGATGTCTATCATATGCACGCTGGGCTATCTTGGCCATTCTGGCAATGCATAGAGGCGCTGTTGAAGGATCCACTTCCATATATACCCACATCGTTGGAGTTCTGGGCGTCAAACGTACTGGGCGCTTGAATGAATGATCCCATTGGACACATGCCCCCAATGCTATATTGCATAGGCGAAGTTCCCGCTCAAATTTTGTGACAGAGCTCACTGCAGAGCTGCGAAGATGATGATTATTCTCAAGACAAAGAAGGGGCAATCGAGCGAATGTTGAGTGTCGATGGCAATGTGAGCATTCAGCGGAGAGAGAAGCCACCTCACAAGTCAAGAGTGGTCGGCAAGTTCCGGAACATYTTGATCGCTGCGCTAGAGGTTATCGCGCTGTATCAAGAGCATAATGTTGTAATGCTTCTGCCTATTTTCTCTCTCACCCACGCTGACCATTGAGTGATTTGTACCCAATGTAACATACAAATACTCTCCATCTTTAACCACCCACTCAGACCGACAGCGTTGGGTCGACAATCTGGATTTTCGGTCACTGCATAGAGATCGACGAGATGAGTCGCACAGCATCCGTTCAGTCCTGGAGAGGAGGTTACACCGTGACCATCTTCACGTATGCGAATAGAACTCATCTCTCGCGAGAGGGTGCCCTCTGCCCGATTCCCCGTCGTTTGCCATCTGCTAATGCTAGACAACGCGTTTCGGACTATCCGCGTTGCACTTGCAAACATCCCCATTCTACTTTCAGACCGGGAGGAGTCAAGATGTCATCACACTTATACTATTCGCGGTGCGGTATGATCAATTCTGATCGTTTCGCGATGCTCCCGTGAGAAAGGGGCTTTGTGCCACTTCAGGTCCTCGAACAAACGCAAGATGCTCCCATACATCAATTGTAATTACAAGAGTCTGTACTCCCGTGTGCCAGCTACGCGCACCCTCTGACAAGTAAGTAAAATGAGTTCACGCGTTTCATCTCGCATTCTTGGCCTTGCATTGATAGCCTGCCTCCCTGACGCAACGGAATGCTGTACTGGCAGGAGGGCAGCTTTTTTCACTCCCACCTGCACCTCTCAGCAACGACACTTCCACAACAACAGCGCTCTGTACAATCATTTCCTGCTGCGAAACATTTGCTTCGGCGTCCACTCTTTTGCAAGATGAAGTCTTTTACTGCCGTCGCAGCCCTTGCTGCCATGGCCACACAATCCGTTCTGGCAGATACGCAACTTATCACTGAGAGTTCGGAGATGGAAGCTCTATGTCCCACGCTGGATGGTAACAGCGTCACAAGCAGCGGCGGAACGAAGTATAGCGTTTCGTGTGACTGGACCATGGAAGCCGAGGGCAAGACAATCAAGGTGGAAGGCAAGACCTCTCCGCTGATCTGTATGGAAGCATGCGAAGAGACGGAGGATTGCTACAGTGTCAACATTGACGCAGAAGGTGGCTGCAACCTGATCTCTGGAAAGGAGAAGGGAATGACGACCTCTGCTGGGTTCATCAACCTCTTTCGTCTGCCCCAGGCCAGCGGCACCGCAGCCCCTCAACTTCCTGTGCAGATCACGACGACACGGAGTGCTCCCACCAGCAGCTCCGTGTCATCAGATATCATTGCCAACCCCAGCATGCCCACACCTGGTGCAATTTCCGAAAGCTGTAACTCAAATCGGTTCAACATCTGCCCGGGCTGCAACGATACGGTTGTCAAAGATGAATCTGGAAAGGAATACCACGTCTTCTGCGACAGATCATTGTTCACCGAGGGAACCTACTCTGTTCAAGAATTTCTCTCCTGGGAAGGCTGTCTGGAAGTATGCGATGGCTTCAGCTGGTGTCTCGGTACTAGCTACTCCGCTGAACGTGGTAGCTGCGAGATTGCCCGGGGTCCGGTTGTCTACCCAGTTGTAGAGAATGAATACGCAGCGTTCCTCCCGGTTGCCAGTAGTGCAGATACTGTGACTGCCAGGCCATCAAYTCTGAGCGCGGTTCGGACAAGCTTCCAGGCCAGCAACGGTTCCATCACGGCTAACAAGACTACGAGCTCTACTGTGCCTGACTCTACCGCATCGATTCTGCCGATCAACAGTGGCTGTGACGTTTCGTCTCTTACATGCCCTGTCTGTGATGGGATTGCAGTGGACGACACGCTGGACCAGACATATACGGCACTGTGTTCCTTTGATCCTGTCTGCGACAGCACGGCGATTGTGGATGGGCCTGTCTCGCAGGACGAGTGTATGCTGGAATGCGACCAGGACGCTACTTGCCTCGCTGTACTTTGGTACAGCGACCGGAACGCCTGCCATCTCTGCCAGCAAGGCTTAGATGGCGGACCCGGGCAAAGTTCAGATTTCGTCCTACTTGTTGCGGACATCGACGGCGATGAGGATGACAGTCCTTCGTCAACGTCGTACACCACATCGACTTCCACTCGCAACAGCTCAACAACAAGTCCTCCTGGTACGCCCTCAGCCTCCAATACGAAGAGTCTGCTACCACCGGCTCCTTTCAGCAGCAAGCTCGCCCTCTCAACCGCCTCCTCTCCTAAACCCACTGTATATGCAAGCCCCGCGCCAACGACTGGACCCATGGCATCATTCACGCCATCAGAGACATTCAGCTCAGGCGGACCGTATGCAAACGCCACACGCTCTGCATCGGTCCCTGATGTCAGTGCCGTAGTATGCCCTGGCCTTGGTAAAGGAGTTTTTGTTGATCCGACCGACTTCAACTTCTTCATGGTACTATGCGACAGCATTGTCACAGCAGCAAACTCTCGCTACACGTCCGCCTCAAACTTCGCAGCTTGCGTGGCCTTGTGTACCGCGGACTGTGATGCAGTTCAATTCGGCTACAGTACCCGCTGCGGGCTACATCAAGATATGAGCATCGTGGGACCCGGCATTGGATGGACGGTCGCTGCTAGCCTCACGTTCCCGGAGAGCACTACTCTACCATTCTCGACAATCGCTGCTACAACTTTGTCGACAATCACAAGCAATGTCGAGGCTACCCCAGTGCCACGAAAGCGGGCTGCTCATGTGTATTGATGTTGACGACGGGTTTGAACTTCTGCAGTTTTTATCAGCTTTCATAGCTCCAGGTGTCATCATGTTATATTCAATGTAGCCTTAGCAATTCTGATGCAGAAGTCGAAGCTTTCATTTGCAACCGTAGACTGGTAACTACGAAAAGCCCTGTATACCTGTACAGTTGTCTGATCATCTGAATTGATGCGTTTCAAAACAGCAAGTCGCTGATGCCATAAGTTCTGCCTCGAAATACATGAAAGTGTTGGTGATAGGGATAGTTTCATGTCATCTCCATAGTCGACTACCGTCTAGTCGTTCCGCCAAACCCTGTTGACTCATGACGACTGCTACTCGGCGATGGAGAGCTGGTTGARGGCCCGGCGCCCCAATTCGAGGGTGCGTTGTAAGTAGGTTCTTGCCGCTGAAACCAGCTTGATGGACCTGCGCGTGGCGGGTCCTGGTAAGATCGATTGCGATTTTGACGAGCTGCGTTCCAGGCTCCCGCGGCGTACCCAGCTGCTGCGCCGGTTGCTGCACCGCCTAGGAATGAAGGGACTTGGCTCGAGGAGCTCGCGGTTCCTGCACTTGAGCGTGTGGAAGACTTTTTGGTTTTCGGAGCTCGGGGCGTGTACGGGGGAGGTGGATCCGAGCTATCGTCGTCGCCATATCCACCTCCGCCACCGCCGAAGCCAGGGTTGAAGCCACGGCCGAGTCTGTTACGATTCGTTCCAGTTCCAGAACAGCAGACGCTGTAGACAATCACACACAGTATACCGACAAAAACGACCCACTATGAGATGATCAGTGTCGTGTAGCAGATCAAAAATAGCAAGATACTTACGAAAAGTGTCGTCGCTACCTTGTCACTCAGCCCGCCCTCGCCTAGGCTGTTCGATCTCGATTTCCATGCAGATTCAGAGCGAGGCCCATATTTGGACTCGCCGAGCGGTGTGAGAATCAAGCGGTATTCAACACCACAGGAGCCTTTGAGGATGTAGGGATCGTCTGGGGAGTCGTAGCCTTCACACCTAGAATGCAGTATGATCAGCTTGTCTCTGGAACTATGTCTCCCGTCTACACTTTCACAGAGCAGGACATGTGAAGCCTGTCTTGGCCTGGTATACAGAGGAGAATGTTTCTCCACTCGACTTACATGACTTCGGTGCTACCAAGCTTGAACTCTGGTGGGAGTGATGCCTGACAGGTCCACTGAACATCTTCGGCATCATATTGAGATCCAGAGTTCTTGCAGCGCATCTCCTCGACATCATAGAGGCCTTTGGCGTTTCCGCCAACGCAGTTAAGCTGTGGCATGGCCGAGACACGCCGATGAGAAGTCTCGTAACCATCGCGGAGGGTGAGAGATCTGACTTTGGATAACAATACTGCGCTCGTGTCCTTGTTGCTTTTCGCGAGTGTCCCAGCTGCCGCCAGGGCCGTGGTGATGAGGCTGGTGAGATGCATGGTTGGCGAAAGTGTGGCGCAGAGGAGATGATGTGGATGAAAGCTCGTCACGAGCAACGAGATGGAATGCTACTGCTTACATCCGTTCGAGGCTTGTGATGTCAATGTAGAGGACAGCTGGCCGCTCTGGTTCAAACCTGATCAATGTGTTGGTAGTTTAGGGTGGAAGTCATCGACCCAGTGGCGAAGTTCATGATCAGTCAGCTTTCAAGATTTCTTTGACCTCGTCGTCCTGTACTCCACCTGCCACCAACAACGCGCGTCTTGTCCGGCCTCTGATTGTGTGATTCTGAACTGCTCACAGTCGTATTCACATCAATACCGCCACGATGCCGAAAGCAGAGGTGGGCAGCACCAAATATGTCGCGAACAAAATGAAGGCAAAAGGCCTGCAGCGCCTGCGATGGTATTGCCAGATCTGCGAGAAGCAGTGTCGCGACGAGAACGGCTTCAAACAGCACACACAGTCAKAAGGGCATGTACGCGCCATGTTGCAAGTGGGCGAGGACCCCAGAAAAGTCATCAATGATTACAGTCGCCAGTTTCAGCGAGATTTCTTACAGTTGCTTCGCACAGCGCATGGTGAGAAGAAGGTGCACATGAACAATTTCTACCAGGAGTACATTCGCGATAAGGAGCACGTGCATATGAACGCTACGAAATGGCCGAGCATGACGGAGTTTGCGAAGCACCTGGGTCGGGAAGGTATTTGCAGAGTGGAGGAGGGTGATCGAGGGTTGGAAATTCAGTGGATTGACGACAGCGCCGAGGCAATTAGGCGGCGGGAGGATATCAAGAAGAAAGAGAGGCTGATCAAAGGAGATGAAGATATTGAGAGCAGGTTGCTGGCACAACAGATCAAGCGGGCGAAAGAGGCAGAGGCCGCAAAAGCAGTACACAGGACGGTTGAGACGCCACAGGTTACAAATGGTGATGCTGAGAAAATTGCACCTTTGGAACCGATCAAGGTCTCTGTCAGCCTCAAAGCGAAAGGTCCCGCAAAGCCCTCTACATCAGAAGCGCCTGCGGAAGATGCACCAGTCGCAATCGATACATTCTCCACTGTCGAGCAACCTGCAGAGAAGGCAGCGGCAAGTGATATGCCGCAGGAAGCAGAGCAGTCGATCCAGGAAGAAACCGAGAAGCCAGAGGCGCCTGTGAAGATGTCTTTGTCCCTGGCGAAGAAGAAGGCGGCAAATCCTCTGGCAAAAAAGAACCCGTTTGCCAAGAAGAAGGATGCCTTCGTACCGGAGCCCGAAAAGAAGATGAGCAATGCAGAGCGTATCATGAAGGAGGAACTTGAACGCAAGCGTGCTGCTGAAGAGCGCGGATACGGCGGGTCAAAGAGGCCGCGATTCAATTGATTCTGACGCCCGCCTCATTGTATTGAATTTAGCGATGGCGTTGGGGTGTTTAGGATCAGCTCAATGAATGAGCCTCACTTATGTATCAAGTTTTATAGCCTCAGCGGAATGGTTGTACAAAGGCATGCCTTCGCTTGAAGGGGGCCGCTCGTGCTGAATCATGTCATGACGACTTTGCCAGAACTTTTGCGAATACACGACTATGGTTTGCATTTCAGTATTGCAATTTGACAACTCTATACCGTACTCATGCATTCAATAATGCGCGGCATTTCGCACATCAAGACAACCTTAAGCATGTTCTTGCTCCCATACACATAATACCTAGCCCAGATGAATCGGTAAGGCATTGCAACTCCGATCTCGAACTTCCATCCCTGACATTTTACATCTCAACGTACTTCATATGCCAGCAACACCAAAACTGGGGAAAGTAATAGAGGGACACAATGGAAAAACTTCAAGACGAGATTACACTGCTCCCATCTAAGACCAGTAATACCAAAYCCCACAAGCGCCTCCTCATATTCTTCATCTGCGGCAATCCCGGCCTCATAGAATACTACCACGCATTCCTATCCCAGGTCCATCGCACCTTACAAGCAAACACCAACAATTCCAACATCACGATCTACGGATCCAGCCACGATGGTTTTGAAATTCACCCAACAACTCCCCGCTCTCACGGCCACGACCCGCCATATTCTCTCCGCGAAGTCATCGAAGGAGTGAAGCGACGTCTACAAGCCAAGACTCGTGAGATCGCAGGCTCTGATAATCCCGAGGAACCCCTGCAGGTAGTTTTGATGGGCCATTCTGTGGGGGCTTATATGCTGCTCGAAGTCCTTGCGTGGTGGGAGAAGCAGCGGGAGGAACGTGCGATTTTCAATCTACTGGGAGGGATCTGTTTGTTCCCTACCGTGGTTGATATCGCGAAGAGTCCTAGAGGGAAGGTCCTGAGTGTAGGTTTCCTTCGAACGAGAAGTGCAGTTGAGACGACTGACTTTGCGGATAGTGGGTTCTAGCGATCCCTTTTCTACCGACCTTCTTGCAATGTGTTGCTAGATGTTTAGCATGTATACCAACTTCATGGATCGACTGGCCACAGATGCTGAATCCTGGACCGGAAGCTGTGGCTGTGACTGAGGCGATGATTAGGAGTAGGAATGGCGTTGGGCAGGTTATGTAGGTGTCTCTGAATCGCTGTCGGATTCAAGGCTCTCGCTGACCGAGACAGATACATGGCCAACGACGAGATGCGGGAGATCAAAGAGGACAAATGGCATCCTGCTAATGTATGGGGTATGCTTCCTTACAGCGATGATGTGAATGGAGTTGAAACAACTGAGACCGAGCTGTCCATCGACTCCAAGGCACCGAGAACGAAACTGTTCTTCTACTGGGGAAAGAATGATTACTGGGTCAACAATCAATCCCGCGATGCTCTCATTGCTGCTCGGGCTCAGACGTCAAGCACGGAATCTGTATCGACAATGTTCATCGATCCGGGCGAGATTCCTCATACATTCTCTTTGGAGACGAAAGACATGACAACTGTTGCGAATAAAGTGGCCGAATACATTACAGAGCTCCAAGACTCAATATAGATGGATCAAATAGAACGATCAGATTGGTAGTACGAAGACATCCTCATTGCTCATACTCACACAGGGTATCATCATCAGAAGCAGCACCGCCATACAAAATCTCACAAACGCCTCCTATCGGTATATCCATGACGGCATCCGTGCCTTCATTCCACATACTCCGCCAATCGAGCTCGCGATTCGTCTGAACCTTCGTCAAGCTTGATTGCCTACTATGGCCTCCATTCTTGCCCTTCTTGGCCACTACCGGTTTCTGCTTGAGACGATCCGGACTGGGACTCCGCCAGCTCGCACGATCATTCCTAATGATCTTGCCGCTTTCATCAATCACCGCGACATTCGCAGCTTCGTCCACAAGACACTCTGTGCTTTGAAGCGGCAGTGTGAGATAGCCGACGTTGAATGAAGCCAGGGCGACGTATATGTAGACTACCAGCATGAACGACCATGCGGGGATCGCGAGTGCCCACCAACGATTCGGATAGTATTCAATCCCGAGCTGGTGTAGGAAAGGCGAAGGGAGAAAGGCCCAGAGGAGATAGACGATGAAAGCCAGACTGCTCGTCATGTACAAGGTGAAGCCGTAGTACTCATACGTCGGCACCTTGGGACTGGCTCGCGGGATGGGCTTTGCCGAGCGAAATGTGCTGGTCAGGGTTGACGCAGCGGCAGAGTTTGGCGTTTGCGTGCCTGTCGCATCGCCTCGTGTATGCACTGTTCCCTCATCGCTGGACGGATCTGGTGTGGCTGGCCTGCTATTCTGGGAACTGAAATTCGGTCGGAGCAAGGAAGTCAGAGATGGTGAGGGCGGAAGCGGTGTTGGTGGTCGGTTGTAGAAGGGAGGTGCAAAAGCCAAGGGGGCCAGATGGGTGTGGCTTCGCGAATGATGGTGGTAGAGTGGCCTTCGAGGCAGACTTGGAACATGGCCATCCTCGTCCTCGCCCGAGTCTACTTCAGACGATGCTGGCGATCGAGATTGCTTGTTGAGATTTGTATTCAGCGCGAATGCTTCGCCTGGCGCGTCCGGGGAGTCCGAGACATTGTTGCTGGGATTCGTGTCGCGTGTTCGCAGCGTGGGCAGATTCGGCGTGGATTTGGATTGGAAGCCCGAGGGGACGGGCGGCGGTTTGAGAGGAGTCCCTCTGCTTTGGGGAGGCATGTTGGATAGACATTCAAGTCGAGATCGAGGGATGAGAGATCCGAGATGAGATCTGCCTCTCCACAAAGCTTGTTTTTCGCAGATGTCCCGACTTCACGCACATGCTTATCATTAGGTTCCTCTTCTCTTCGGCCTCGATCACATCAAGAATGCCATTGAAGATCCATACGATGCTTTTGTGCTCGTACGGGCATGGTCCGCGATGTCCGGTGTGAGGTTTTGACATCGAGATACAAGAAAGATCGATTTTCCTAACCCCTCCACACTCCTTCCTTGACGATCACAACGTCTCTGGGATGTTGCACTGAAGCCAAACTCTCGTGTCGAACTCTATGCTACGACATGTTTCGCATCTCTACGAGATAGTGCTTATTGCTCTGTCCTTGCTCTTCAGTCTCACCATCTCACAAACATGCRCATTGCTCACCTTCTCCTCGCCTTTGCTATCCCTGCTCTTTCTCAAACTGACACTGCCACCAACAACTACGCCCTTGTCGATCCACTGATCGGATCGTACAACGGCGGCAATGTCTTCGCAGGAGCGTCGCTGCCGTTCGGGCTTGCAAAGGCAGTTGCTGATGTCTCTGGAGCCAATACTCCCGGCTTCTCATATGATTTGTCAAATGTAACGGGCTTCAGCGCGCAGCATGACTCCGGAACTGGTGGACAGCCATCGATGGGCAACTTTCCGCTGTCCATACAACCTTCATGTGCAGGTGACACGCTGGAAGGCTGCAAGTTTGGTTCCAAGTACGAGAGAGCAGTCGACTACAAGAATGGCAGCGTCAAGGCTCGTCCGGGATATTTCTCTCTGAGCCTAACAGATGGCGTTGACGTGGAGATGACAGTCACAGAACACACTGCGCTATACGCCTTTCATCTCCCTGAGAATGCATCCAGTCCGCTGATGCTGTTGGACTTGACTGATCTGCAGGACAGCCGTCAAAACGCCACTGTGAGCGTAAACCAAAATACTGGACGTATCAAAGGGAACGGCACATTTCTTCCAAGTTTCGGTGTCGGGTCGTATCAATCTTATTTCTGCGCGGACTTCAAGGGCGCTTCCATCCGCGATACCGGTATCTGGACAAATGGTCGTGCGGGAACAGAGCCCAAAGAACTCTTTGTCAACCGTGGGTACAGTCTCTTCTACATCCAAGCCGGTGCGTTCGTCCGCTTTCAACGGCCTCCGAGCGGGACTCTCCAGGCTCGTATGGGAGTCAGCTTCATCAGCACGGAGCAAGCTTGCAATAATGCTGAGCAGGAGATCACGGATTGGGACTTTGAACGTGTAAAGTTTGAAGCAGAGGAAACTTGGAAGCCAATGTTTGCGGGTATCTCAATTGAACCCGGCGGTGCATCAGAAGACATGCAAAAGTCTTTCTTCTCCGGAATCTATCGAACATTGGTCTCCCCACAGAACTACACTGGAGAGAATCCGCTGTGGAACAGCGGCGAGCCATACTTTGATTCGTTCTATTGCATATGGGATGGTTTCAGAACGGCGTTCCCATATCTCGCCATCACGCAACCAAAAGTCCTCTCTCAGCTGGTTCGCAGCTTGATTGACACATATGTCCACGTGGGCTGGCTTCCGGACTGTCGCATGCAGCTCTGCAAAGGATACTCACAGGGCGGGTCTAATGCAGACGTCGTGATTGGAGATGCCTACGTCAAGAACATCAGCGGTATCGATTGGGATCTGGCCTACAAAGCGGTGGTCAATGATGCCGAAAACGAGCCCTTTGACTGGGGAGTTGAAGGCCGTGGCGGTCTACAGAGTTGGAAGACTCTCGGCTACATTCCGTTCAACGATTACGACTATCTCGGCTTCGGTCCAAACTTCCACAGCGTCAGTCGTAGTCTGGAATACGCCTACAATGACTTCTGCGTTGCATCCCTAGCTCGTGGCCTCGGTCACGAAACAGATTATGAGAAGTACACTCAGCGCAGCAGCAACTGGCTGAATCTCCAAAAGGACAACCAGACCTCGTTCTTTGCAAATGGAACTCAAGTAGGAAATTTCACGGGTTTCTTCCAACCGCGATATGCAAATGGGACATGGCGCTTTCAGGATCCAGTCGAATGCTCGCCGCTCGACTCATTCTGTAGTTACTCTTCCAACCCAAAGGAGACATTTGAATCTGCGATCTGGGAGTATCAATTTTATGTGAGTATGGTGTAGAGCAGAAGATACTCATCACAGATTTGAAGACGTTGCCAGCAATCAACACATCTGTGAACTGCTGAGGTCTTGGAGAGAGCGCCTTCAAGCCCTTTTCTGCCCAACATCCAAGACACCGCTGACCCTTCTTGCTTTTTCTTTCAGGTGCCACAAGACCAGGCGACGTTAATTGACGTACTTGGCGGTCCAGAGACCTTCGTTGCGAGATTAGATCTTTTGCACACAGGCGGATTGCTGGATATCGGCAATGAGCCTTCTGAGCTTACCTGTTTTCAATATCACTATGCCGGTAATCAACACTCACACAATATCCCTGTCATCAAAGGCTAACATTCCCACGCAGGCCGGCCTGGCCGCTCCGCCTACAGACTCCACACATACATCCCCTCTTCCTTTAACGCCTCCATCAACGGTCTACCCGGCAACGACGATGGCGGTGCCTCGGGTTCCTTTCTCGCATTCGCAATGTCCGGTCTCTTTCCTGTAGCAGGACAGAATGTCTATCTCATTACGCCTCCTTTCTTCGAGAGTGTCTCGTATACCTCGCAGGTGACAGGTAAAGTCGCAACTATCAAGAATGTCAACTTCGATGCTAAGTACCGGAATATCTACATCCAAAGTGCGAAATTGGACGGAGAGGTGTATAGCAAGAATTGGATTGGACATGAGTTTTTTCTGCAGGGAAAAACTCTGGAGCTTACGTTGGGTGGTGCGGAGAGTGATTGGGGAACTAAGCAGGAGGATTTACCGCCGAGCCTCAATGCTGGAGTTGGAAGTCGAGCAATGAGATGAGAGTTGAAGGTCGAGGGCTGGTGGAAAGGTACTCAGCTTCAGAATGGCCTCACCAATATGAGGACCTCACAGCAGTAATGGGAAGTGGAGATTGAACAATGCTTCTCATTTTTCATCGCAGCATCCATCCCAAGCTGCACAGAAATGTAGCGAGCATCCACATCCACAGCCAAACGCCTCGAAACACCGTCATTCGCCATAACGTAGAGCGCCTAACTGTACAATCCCACGAAAGACCGACAGTTCCCATCTAGGGCGTGCATAACACCGCCACTAGTAATTGAGTGCAAGAATCATCACCCGAGAGTCCGCTTAATCACTGTCGTCGCTATCGTTTGCAGTGACCGCCGACTCCCTGGACTTTTTCTTGGCCTTCTTCGCAGCCTTCTTCGCTTTCCGCTCGGCCTTCTCCTCGGGTGTCTCGCCCTCATGCTTGCGCTTCTTCTCCTCCTTGACTGGTGCAGATGACTCGGCCATCTCGACGTCCTCCTTCTTGGTAGCCTCTTCCTTGACAACAGCGCCCTCGCCTGCCTGTTGCTCACTCCACTCTTTGCGAGCGTTTGTGCCGTTGACGCCTTCGGGGTCGTTGAAGTCCTTGTACTCCTTCTTCCATGCGGATGGTGTTGCCTCGTTGGTGCGGCCATACTTGTCAAGCTTACCACTCTCCTTCATCTTTTTCTTCTCGGTCGCAATGGGTCCCATTCCCCATCTTCTTGGGTATAGATCGCGCTCCATAATGCAGCGCTTGACCTTGGCGACGACTCCGTGGTCGCATGATGAGAGCTCAACGGTGCTCATCTGTGCAATAGCCAAAGCAATGGCCTCACCCTTGGTGGTGATCAAGACAACCTCCTCGTGAACCTCAATTCCAGCCTCGTAGCGGAGCAGACCGGGAATCATGAGTTTGGCACCGTAGCAGACCGCGTTGACAGCGCTATCCTTGACGACGATACGCTTGTAAGTGGTGAGCAATGTCTCCAATGGCTTGATAACAGTGCGAAGGTAGGACTCGTCGCGCTGGTTGTCGTATAGCCACTGCGCATCGAGGCAGTCGTGAAGGGTGACCATGCCGCTCTTCTCGTCCATTGCTCCAGATCGTACACGACGCAGCTCCTGCATGTGACCTCCCACACCGAGGAGGAGACCCAAGTGGACACACAAAGTTCGGATGTAGGTACCGGCTTCACAGGATACCCAGAAGACAGCCAATTGGCGGTCGTTGTCAAACTCTAGCAGCTTGCTCTCGTGGATAGTACGAATACGGAGCTGGCGCTTGACGGCGGAGATGAGCGGAGGACGCTGGAAGAGAGCACCGGTGAGTGTCTCGAGGGCACGTGCTAGCTGCGACTCGCCGCCGGGCAGCTTGTCGTGCAGACGGAGCACACAGACATACTCCTTACCAGCACCCTGCTGGCTCTTGACGAGACGTGTGGCGCGGTCAATGCAGACAATCAGACATCCAGTGACCTTGGGATCGAGAGTGCCGGAGTGGCCGGTACGGTCCACGCGCAAGATGCGCTTGAGCCAGGCGACGACTTCGTGCGAGGAGGGGTTGGAGGGCTTGTCGAGGTTGATGACACCAGACGAGACGTACGACTTGAGGTCGCGCTTGAGAGGGGTGCATCCGGATGGGATCGGGGTGAAGTKACCAGTGCGGACGAGGACTGCAGGTGTGAAATGTCAGAAGGCAGCTCTCACTACATTTCACCGCTCACTTGGGGAAATCTCACGTTGATCCCAGTTCTTCAACAACAGTGGCCAGTCGCTTGTGTCGACGCTGGGGGTAATGTGCTCGGGCTTGATGATTTGCTGGTCCTCCTCCTCGACCTTCTGCTTTTTGACGAGTGCGGCCATTGCGGCGCTTTCGTCGTGTGTTCTTCCGCTTCCGCTACCGAGATTGAATAGAGTCAGGCTCGCTTATCGCATGCGGCGATATCAATTCGGGGTACGGGTCGCGGTCGGTCGTAGCGAAAGCAATATCAAACTGCGGTGCGATGTGCTGTTCTGGAGAGCAAGGTCTGAAGAATTTCCATGAGCTTTTCCGCGATTTCGCCCTTGGCTTGATTTGCACTAGCTCCGCACCTTAAATTCGAACCTCCATCTCCATCACAGCTTAAATTACCTACAACTCGACGCCAAAACGAAGTCCGTACACCTCACCAGACTTCGTTTTGGCATTGTGTAGAGTAAGACTTTGCAGTGAGTGATGTGTCCTGATCTTCGCATCTACACAGCATACGGTTGACAGACCTTCCAACCTCTCTCCTCAATTTGAAGCTTCCATTCTCAATGAACTCCCTAAACAGCAATCGAGATAGGTACTAATGAGAAAAATTACTGGATCGCAAGACAAAGCCCATAGCTCTTGCCGTTTACCTCCTCGTTTAATACGTGTTGAAGCAGTGTCGCTACGTTCTGTCACCGACATGAGTACTGCTCGAACAAGCATCGATGGCATTTTGTAGAGAGGTGATCAATTTTGCATTGCGAGATCTTGCAGCTAGCAGATCGACTCGGCCACCTTGAATCCATGGGCCTCCAACACCCAATTCTCGTTGCATGGTATCCTTCGACAAAACTGGTGTTGTCCAACAATTTGCGACAGAAGAGGTTAGTTTAACGCAAGCATCCGTGCAGTTGGGTCAGAAGATGGCAATTTTGTGGAATCCATCACCACCGGCCTCTCTACACCGGGAGACACAAGAAGCTGAAATTGCACTGCAAACCTCGTTATTATAACAATAGGCCACGTTGTATTGAACACTGCATCCACGCAAGTCATTGTCGTACACTTTGGCACTACCCCAACCCTAACCCTACTAAAGAAGTCATGCAGAAGCATATCAACGACGAGCTCTCGCTCGCGTCAGGGGCGCAAAGCTCACCTCCAATCAGGTTACCTTGATGACCCTTGCAAACCTAGACTTGCGCAGCGGACGGGGAAAAATATAACTCATCTCGACACCCATTGAGCTGCCACATGGCGATTTGGGCAATACGGATGAACCTGACAGATGACCTGGAGTATCGTACTTTCAGACATCGACCCGATATATATTATCCTCCCGCAGAACACTTCAATCGTCATAGAGAGCAACGCCGACCTCCCCGWCCTCCACCGCATGTCTCAATTCTTCCATGTCACAACCTCTTTGCTTGACCACAAGCGCAAGCGTCTCCGAGAACGTCTCGCCATTGTTAATGAAGTACTCTCCAAGCCCACGGACATGGCTTTCGACCTGCGCTTTGAGATGACAATTGTCGCGAAGATACAATAGCTGTTCTGGATCCAGCTTCATATAGTCTTCGATGATGTAGTAGTGTGAGATGTCGTCTCCCCATCCTTCGGCTCCAGGATCGTGCCATTTGGTAGACACAAGCCGGGATTGATACTTGCCAAGCGAAACATTCGGGGCCCAGCCATCAGTGGAGAAAGCGGAAGGCGTAGATGGGTAGTTGAGGTGGACGTTGAAAAGGAGCTGGTTGTTGCTTTCCGGATAGCGTTTCTGAAACTTCTGTCGAATGCGGCCATTCGAAGGACAAATGTTGTTGGCAACCATATCGCGGAGGACTGAGTGTACGTCTAGCATTTCTGCCAACTCCCCAGTGGAAAAGTTGTGTAGGAGAGCTGCACGCTCTCGCATGACTTCTGGTAAGCTGCGGCAGGTACGGACATGTGTGGGGGTGTGAAAGGCCTTGGAGTAGAGCCACAGCCGGTAAAGAGCACCTAAAACCGGAGATTTAGCGATGTACGCAATGAGCCCAATGGGCGTAGGCTCTCTTGAACGATATCGCGTTTCGTAAGCACGAGCGCCACCCCATTCGCAGAGTTTCCCAAGGTAGGGGTATAGCGGCATAACGCAAACGGGGTGTGTGGATGCGCCTTTTGCCCGTCGCTTTATTTCACTTACGTCTCAAAGTGAAGCGCTCAGTGCTTGTCAAGAGCCTCCTGTTCGCGAAATCGATCTTCCATTTCTTCAACGGGTAAATGTCTTCGTATTTCTGGGCAGTTCGGCCGGTTTTGATGACTTGATGCAGAAGAGCCTCAGACATGGGCACTCTTCTACGGATGTGGGCTGGTTGTGAGGCGTTTTGGGTGAGAAGCTGAACCACATCTTCGATTGGCCCGAGTTCTGCATCGGCGGCGCCTTGAAGGATTTCGAGCTTCTTGGAAGATTGGTAGGCGTCACGGAAGCGGTGGCAAGTAGAGGATAGGTTGATTGCGGAGGCAATGTTAGGTAGAGATAGGAAGACTATGGAGCAGGTATGAGTCTAAGTGAGGCGTGTCGAAGACATGGGCAAGTCTCTCAAACATACCGTGTGTTACAATCTCGTTGGGGAGCGTGTCGAAGAACATCGTTGTGGCGACAGTTGGCGGAATTGATTGCGTTGTCGCGAAAATTAGGTGATTGATGGCAATAAACCTTGGATTTCTTGAGATTCGTTCAGATAGTCCTCGATTAAAGGAACAAGGCACACCAGACGCGTGTTTGAACGTTTCTGGTGGAGAGAAGATGGGATTAACGGATGACAACCCCAATAGTCCTGGGGCTATAAAGCTTGGAACTGAATCCATTGACACATTCCGGCGTAGGCGCTGGCTCTCGTGAGGAGCTCATCGTCGCTGAATCCATGGTGTGTTGTGGAGAGGAGAGGAAAGGACAAGAGCCGCAGGACGTCGAGGCGGTCAACCTGGCGCAATGGTCCATGCTCCGATCCGGGGAAGCGAGGCGAACCTTGAAGCGAAGCCCAGCACTCCACTCGATCCACTTCACTCGATCCCCACTCGATCTCTCTCGCTTGCTTCCTGCTTGTTACACCACACTGGTATGGACACAGGCCACTACAACTGCAGAGACTACTACATCTCGCCGCATTTCGCTCCGACAACCGTCGTAACCGATCGCACACTTCTTCCCCGCCACGAAACATGGCAGCAGCTGGAAGAAAGATCTCGCTCGCCTGTCAAGCCCGCATTTCCTCTATTGAAGCTTCCCCTTGAGCTGAGGCAAAAGATTTATGGATATCTGTTGCCGCGAACTCTAGAGCATAGAGATGGCAATCCACTGGCGAGCCATGCTCGAAACTTCAGTGCTGTACAAAAGAGAGGAGCTCGTGGAATGATACTTCCCCAAAATATCGACACGTCTCAAAAGGGCCCAACTCATCTTGTGTGGCAAAGGGGAAACATTCGCTTGTTATCTGCGTCCCGACAGCTGCACGACGAGTGTGCCGAGATCATTTACGGAGCCAATACGTTCCTGCTGTTCGTGACCTTCTCGGGTATCAGTTTTCGCTACAGCTGGATGCTCAAAGCTGGCCTTACTCCAACACGTCAATACCCTTTCTTGGAGCTGCTACCCAAAAGATACCTTGCGCTTATAAAGCGGGTAATTGTGAATATAGATCACGTTGACAGCTACACTAGCATGATCAAGTTCAATGTCAGTGGCAAAGGTCTTGCCCATGGACTGCGGAAGCAAGTAGAGCGTCTTGTGATCGCCTTGTAAGTGAAGCCAATCGGGAAATATAATCCAGGGCAGACTTGAAAGACCATGCGCAGGRGGATGTCTCTGCACGTTTGGAGACAGCGGGTTCTTGGAGATCGCTGAACCTGGCCCTATTGTATGAGACGTTGCTAATCTTTTCACTTTCAGGCAGCCAGTGCCAAACGACCCTACGAGGGATTTAGTCGACCAGGAACGCCGTCTGACCAAGATCAGGATACAAGTCTCCAACGGCAACCCGATACTTGATCAGATCAAAAGCGATGTCGCACGTAAACGTGAAGGCAAATTCAACAACGGGAACGCGATGCTCGATCAGACCAAAAGCGAAGTCGGGCGTCAACGTGATGGCAAAGACAGGGTTTCAGAAGATTTGGAGGCGATCCTCGATCCGTTTGGGAACTTGCGCGGCGTACGCAACGTACAAATCACTGGAGCTGTCACCAAAAGTTTCTCGGAAAGCCTTGCCACGAAAATGATGAGTACGGAAATGGTCGATGCGGCGATCCTGGCTCGGAGTGCGTTTGACGTGGCAGCTATGTGTTTACGGGAATGACATTTGAAAACGAGACATGAGAAAGGAGGAACGACAGTGCATGAAGTGAGAAGTTCAGGTTTGGCTACGGAGAATGAAGGATATACTTACTGCATTTGCGTGATTTGGTCACAACAATGCTCTTGGCTTACTGTATTTCTTCCAGTTGGTTCAGCATGTCTACCAGGTCGTCGCACTCATGGGCTACGGCCTCGTACACAGAAGACGTGCCGCTACATTCGCCGACCGAGAAGAGCCCAAGCGCACTCTGTTCAGAGTTTACCTGCGGAGATCTGCTGGCTCCTGCTGCCGCGTCAGCCTGTTCGTCAGCGTTGGTATACCAAGATTACAAACGTCCGCCCGCGTCGTGCCACAGCTTCAGGGYCTGCTTGTAAGTAAAAGACACATGATGCCACGATTTCGCCAGCTCTCGATCCTCAGCCCACTCGGAAAGTCCAGATTCAAGGATGAAGAGAATGTCGACATAATCCCTTACATTGGATGTGTAGAAAGCAGTCTCAATGTCGTCACCAGGAACATATCGCTCGAAAGTGATTAGCGTGTAAAGAGTCGCGGCGAAGGAATACATGTCGCTTTGCTTGGAGCAGAAGGATGTGTTGCAAGCTTTTTTCCAGTACCCCAATTCCTCAGAGGCGCGGGTGTTAGCTTCGAGGAGTTCAGGGGGAAAGTAGACTGGCGTCCCTCGGATACCTTTGACGCCTTCGCGGGCTGAAAGGCCAAAGTCTGCGAGCAGGATGTTTGGAAGGCCGTAAGCGGAGTCTTTCGTGAGGTCCAAGAAGATGTTGTCGGGCTTGATGTCACAGTGCAGAATGACTGGTTGATCCACGACGACCGGGCGTCTTGTCGTTGGGTCGTAAGAGGCATGGCCGTGGTGCAGGAAGGCCAAGGCGTCGATCATGCCGCTGACAAAGTGGAGCACGAACTGTGGAGGAACTGGTTCTCCTCGCTTCATGAATTTGCTGATTAGGCCGTGAAGGTCGCCCGATCGACAGAACGGCATTACCATGTTCGAGTATGGCACGTGGACACCATCCTGAGCAGTGTGGACATCTTTCACGCCCAACACGTTCTTGTGGCTTCCCAGGACTTTGGTCAGGATGAAAGCTTCCATGGGCAAACATTGATCTCCTACGCCGGGACGACTCTGAAGCTGCTTGATGATTAACTGCTCGCCAGAAACTCGATGTTTCACGAGATGGACAGGGGCCATGGAGATACGTGAAAATGTCTTGATCAACTGATAAGTTGCAGCAAAGCTCTCTGGCATCGACGGTAGAGCATCGAAATTGTCCCGACCCCATGGAAGGAGTGGCCTCGATGTGGAGGTGCAGGACTCCTCGGGTAGTATCTCGGCGGTCAAGTCGGAGTGCATGGGGAAACTCGGAAGGGAGTAGTCGCTGAAAGTGCCGTACAAGCTAAGGATACTGTCAGCTGTCGCACGCTGGTCGTAGCTGTGTGCTTCCGCGCCCTGCTCTTCATCGATTAGTGGTCTCCTCCCCAGAAGCGGCGTCCGGCTGGAATGCCTTGAGCTTTGCCTATCTCTACGAGATTGACGTCTGATGGAGATTTCCTGCACAGCAAGTAGCAGTGCAAGACTCATGCTGGCGAAGGAGGCGAAGTAAAACAGCCTCGAAGCGTCGTACATTTGTCCACGTCGAACTAGAGAGTAGAGGACGATGAGGATTGTACAGGACCGGCCTGTAACCAAATGCTTCGAGCTTTATACGTGAGGTTGGGAGATCGATGAAGAGGACAACCAGAGAAACTTTTGCTGCATTACAGGCCTTGATATATGTGCGCAGTCTTGCAGACAAGGGAGGCGCTAGAGGTGCGAAGACCATCTTTGTTCTTTCTGCAAGACAAAGACGCGGTCCAGGGATACAATGCACACAAAGCACATTGTGACAACTCTGCCTTGTTCATGCACGTCATGCATGCGTGTCTTGGAATTTCCGAGTGCGAGCAACTTTTGCGTTGTTCCAGGAGGCAGGGGAAGAATGAAGAGGCTATACCCTTTTTGCGAGCTCGAAACATTATATCGTGTTCGTTGTAAACTTTACAGACCATCGAACCGACACTTTCAGCTTGATATCCGTCATCCCCTGAGACCAGTGCGATGACGCTTTGGATGACGATGGAACGGATCTGTTGTAGGAGGAGTAAGATCGACAACACTCGGAACCGACCAGTCACAGTATGACATGCATAGATCATCAGTTTCCTGGGAGCATGTATCGACATACCCCAAGACGAGATGAAGCAGAGTTCAGGCGCTGAAAGTGGTCTTTAAAGGCCTTGCCTGGAAGCGCGAACTGCCAAGCGATGAGCTTGTCATCGTTGTGCGAATCAAGATTGTTGAAAGTTATGAGCCATTCAATTACTCAAACTACCTGCAGGGAGGAAAACCCTCTTATATCCGTAGGAACCGATAGCGGTTATCCTTACGCTAACAGTAAATTACAACAAAGATCTCTCACGGAGTAGAGTAGCGATCTACGGAGCACGACGATCTTATGCTGTTTGGGAATGTGCACCCACGCCATGAGTGAGTTTTTGGAGGTAAATTTGACAGTTGATCGGCCGGCCCAAGCCTTTTGCTCCTTCCAAGTTCTACTTCCCCAGTTTGCAAACGGACAACGCAGAGAAAGCTCGATCTGTCGGATCCTCTAGCTGAACGCTAGCCGATGTTTGGTCATGTAGATGAAGACGATCTAAGCGGCAACTGGTCTGAACTGTATCTGTGTCTGGTACTTTCTCCACGTCGCACCTAAGCATCCGAGGGATCTCATCCAAAGTAACATGGTCCATGATCAGAAGAAGCCCTCGCGAGAACATTTCGCTGCCAGCATGCAAGAAGATTCGCAAATTGAGTCGAGGTTGTCGAAACTGACCGCCGAACAACTGCCAGCAAAGACGACTTGGAAGACAAGACTCCAATCTTGGCTCCGTGCCCCTATCGACAATGACCAGCATCTGCTCGAGTTTGAGCTCATAGCTCTTGCCTTGTCAACTGGTATCATCGATGCGGTCTCCTTCCCCAAATTTCATTGCTGTGAGTTGGTCTGAAGAAGCCCTTTTGTTGCGCTAGTCTCACGTAACTCCAGTTGTTTCGAATCAGACCGGTAATACAGTCCTCTTCGCTATCAGTGCCTTCTCTCTCGTAGGGAGTCGAGAGGTAAGCGACTTCCTGATCCCGATAGCACACATAGGCACGAGTTTAGCTTGCTTCTGCCTCGGCATTTTCATTGCTGGACAGCTCGCAAACCACTTCCAGTGCAGATTTGTGCGTGGTTGGCTGCTCCTCAGCAACATTATACAGACGGCTATGTTCCTCTCCGCCGCCCTCACAAACCTTGTGATGCGGACTGGCGGCTACGCCGAAACGAAGCAAGGCAATAACACCGCCCCAGTACTGATCACAATCGCTCTCCTCTCCTTCGCGAGTGGCATGCAAGTTACGCTGAGCAGGCAGCTGGGCATACCGGAGATACCAACAACACAAGCYACCGCCGCATACGTCGATCTTTTCGTCGACCCGGACTTCTTCGCTCCCATCACGGATCAACGCGGTAGAGGAAGGAATCGGAGAGTCGTGTTTCTGGTCACACTAGTCATTGGGAGTTTCATTGGAGCGCCAGCTTATCGATATGTGAGCACAGGGTTGACTGTGTTGTTGGCTAGTATCGTTAAGACGATCGTGACCGGCATGTTCTGTTTCAACAGAGCGAACCGGGAGCTGGTGAAGCCGACTGCGTGACCCCGGAGGCATACTGCGACCCCTCAGGTCCCACCTTGCCAAGGTCAGGCTGTCCGCCTGCTTGCTCTCGCGGCAATCAGTATGGGAGGCACGAAAGTCCATCAAACGTCTGGAACTGYACCAGTCGACGCTCCAGGAACACAGCCTGCTAGGAGGTCGTACGAGCGCCCTTCTGGCGTTTCAAGCTAATTGATTGGCAGACCAGTATCGATCGAAAAGCGAGCGTTTTCCGCACGCCGGCTTCATGGGGCATGACAGGGACTCAATCAGGCATGCCGGTATCGTTTCGCAGTTGGTGGACGGACGCCTCTGTACAGGAGAGAGTCTGGACATCGTGACAACCGTCTCATGCTTGAAAGATCATGCCTGATGCCTAAATCTGTTAATAGTATAGCATCAAATCAGGGGAAGCGCTGAGGCTCCCCAATCTGACATTGGAGAATTCTTCTTGCCACAGACAATTCGAGTGACATATGAGAATCGCATGCATCAATCGGTCTTCCTAGCCTTCTCAGCTACATTCAGCATCGCGGTATTGCATCGCTGCCACTCAATAGTGAGTTGAATTCGACTGGCTCAAGCCCCCTAAAGGTCCCATAACGAAGGCTGCGTTGTGATCGGCTTTTGACAAGCGTACCGTTCGTGGTTGAAGATGTTCACTAGGCACAGAGGCCCTACCATACCGTGCCGCCGCGATGCTGGTAGCTTGCTTGAAGTGCTTTTGCAGAAGCCTTTGGCAGCTGCGTGCAGGGTTGTGACCTTTGCTCATAGCAAGAGAATACTCGACCGGCGCGGCAGAGCCGTGAAAGTGTCTTCGAGAGAGATCGCTTCTACTATCTTTTGGCTCTGGTGGCCAGCATACATCAGTCTCATAAACATAGCTCTCCTTTACCGGTAAGGGAGCGCAGGAGCTTTCGAAGCTCAACCAGGAAGCTTCGTAGTGGTCGAGTGTGAAGATGGCGGACAGCTAACAGACTCAGCAGAGGGGGCTGTTCATTCACTTACTGACGGCACTGTGCGACGGCCCGAGACTGCACTCCTGCTCCAGCTTGTACCACTGATGCGCGCCGAACGCATCGTCGGAACTGCATCGTCGCCGTCGCCATTTGATCTCGGATCCCTTCGACATTAGTCTGCACCCCTAGACGCTCATATCAGCCGCTGTCTCTGAATCTTGCCCGAGCAGCAGAACGTCCGTCCTTGCCTCCGGACTCGACAGTCAAGTCGCTGCAGCACGCTGGACACTAGCAAGCGCCGCATAATGCAGACCATCTGCTCGAAGCGCAAGCCTCGCACGAGCACTGTGTCCTCCATGCAACCAACTACCACACGATCCAAGTCTGCTGGCGGCAGCATCTTTCATGGAGATGGCAGAAAGGTAAGAGAAGCAGGACCCGTTGACATACCGCGACTGACATTCTCCAACAGCTGCCGCAAGATTACCTCGACGAGCGGACTAGCTTTGACCATTATGCCGCGCACTGGATCATCCACGAATTCTCCGACGCGACAGAGGCCAGAGTCTACATCACTGAGAACCCCAACACCTCTGAGAGATCCGTAGTCAAGTACACGTTCCCCGTCCGAGTCCGAGACTATCGCAATCTCAAGCCGAAGGACACCATCTGTTGGCACTACCCCAACGAGGCCCGCGCGCTCCTTGACCACATCAGACCACACCCGGGGATCGTGGAGCTTCTCGAGGTCAATGCCGACATGATTCCAGGTCGCTTCATGATGCGCTTCGCCTACTGTAACGGTGGTGACCTGGTTAGCCAGATCGCTTACACCCGCCAGAAGCGTCGTTCAACGGTTCAGGAGCCCTTCCTACTCCATGTCTTGGTCGAGATGGTCGACATCCTCGCATACACCCACCATGGACTGCGCCATGTCGGCGGTGGTCAGTACATACAGCACCAGAACCACACGTCGATGGTGCACGGCGATGTCAAAGAAGATAACACATTCCTTCGCTGGGACACTTCTGAAGCAGCCAAAAGCGGCCTTCCATCCATCGTTCTCGGCGACTGGGGTACTGCGGTGGTCGCGGGCACCACAAACAACAACGTTGGACCAGGCACTTGGGTCTTCCATGCTCCCGAAGATGTCGCCATCTACGATGGCCATTCATTTGAGGACATCGACACATTCGATGTCTATCGACGGTTCCTCGATTCACGTACCTCTGCCGTCGATATGTACGCGCTCGGCCACATCATTTACAAGCTCTCTGCCAACGAGAATTTCAACTGGCCCATCGGAAAGGATCCTAGAGAGCTGAGAATCTCGCGCCAATACGAGACTCCGGGCTTGAAGGAAGTGGWGATGAGCTTGCTGGCGGTCGACCCTCTCTTGCGTGGCGAGGCCAGCTTCAAGGATAGCGTGGGCTTGCTTCCGAAGATCCAGGAGCTGCGCGAGGCGCGGGACGTGATGCTGGAGCGCCGCGGGAGGCCAGATATTATGGACTGGCTGGTGAAGCCTGGTCGTGTCGCCAGTGGTTGAAAATGTAGAACATCTCTGTGATTGCAATTTTACCCTACAATCGTTGTTGCAGCGCTCTGCTATGCAATAGGGCGCTGGACGGTCTCATTTGCATCGTTCTGTGGAGATACATTTTCTGTTCCAGTGTAGAAAGGCGGGTGAGATAGATATGCACGGGTGTTGGGAAAGCGGGCGATAAGGCATGAGGTGAGAGATGAGATCCATGCTGCACGTGGATAGCATGATATTAGGTAAAAGTGTAATTAACGCTCCTATTTGCCATTAGTTCGACAGCCGAATTACCCTGAGCTTGTTCGAGGTCAAGTTTCACGTTGATGATGGACACAGTACTTCACACTTCTTATCGACCACCATGTCTGGATCGAAGTGGACAGTAGAGCTAGCAGACGATCAGACGGCGATTTCCGATTGAAGAGCAAACGTAGCAACTCGCAGTCAGGATCCCATCGTGACTACCTTTACATCATCTACGACGGAGTGGAGTGCAGCAYCGAATAAGAGTAAGACATTGATCACGCTAGGGCTGGCTTGTACCTGATCAAGGGTTAAGTTCGAAGGAAGATTGGCGAGTTGTTGTTGTTTGTGACAACAAAGCATTGCAAAAGAGTACACCATATCTATTTGCATCACCCGCGACCCACCAAGCAGCATCGCCACGCTCCGTCCTTCCTCCACAACGGCCAAACCGTTTCGACTGTACCTCTTTGTCGCAGGCTCATCGGCGAAAATCCAGGGGCGCGTCCCGTCTCCTTCCCTGTATGAACTAGGACTTGTCCCGTTCTCAAACTTCAAAGCCCAGTAGAGCGACATCGAGTCTGCTCCTCACCACTGAACAACCCGCACTCGCGCGGTCACGATCTCCGCACATCCTCGCCAGTCCCTACCACCGACGTCTGTCCACGACCCGCCCGCCAACAATGGCGTCCGCGTAAGTGCCATGTCGACCCGGCGCTGCCGCTCCGGTCTCGTATTTCCCCATGTGCTAATAAATGAACCGTAGGATAACCGCGCAATGGCGCTCCTTCTGGCACACCATGACCTCGAACGACCGACATGCGGGTCCAGACTCGCCGTACCGAAGCAGCCAGCATCAGCCGCTGTCCCAATCGCGCTCCGGACCCAGCGCGTCGTCTGGCAACCTCAACGCCGCACTCGATTCGCGCCAGGACCTTGATCTGGAGTCCGGCGGGGGATTCGTCAGTCATGGAACTTCTGCGAACGGGACTTCGAGTCCAGGATACCAGTCTCCGCACCGCCGCAGTCTACAAAGCAATAGCGGCGGGAAGTCGGAGATGCAAAGTATCGGGGTTGGCGAAATTCAAATGCAGAGCTTCGACGACGGTCTACCTCCGCCGCCGCCTGTCCGACACTCATGGAAACGTATCGACCGCTGGCTAGAGGACAACTACGAAGAGGTGTGGGAGAATCTGGGCGAGGCCGCTACGCACAACGACGTCAACGAGCTGGAACATGAGCTGGACTGCACTTTACCCATCGAGGTACGCGAGTCGTTGCAGATCCACGACGGTCAGGAGCGCGGTGGGCAACCCACAGGAGTTATTTTTGGGTGCATGTTGCTGGACTGCGAGGAGATCATGCAGGAATGGCAGCAGTGGCGAACCGTCAACGAGCAATACCTGACCGAGTCGCGCACCTTTGAGATCCCTCAGGCGCCACTGAAGGCATTTGCTGGCTCTTCTTCTTCTGCCGTTCCCGTTGCACAGGCTCAACCCAACAGCAATTCCAACCCGCAATGGCGCGCCGAGCTGCTCGACAAGCAGGACTCACAACCTCCCAACGCCATTCAAAAGGCATACGCACATCCAGCCTGGATTCCTCTCGCACGCGATTGGGGCGGCAACAACATTGCTATTGATCTCGCACCTGGACCTGCTGGAAAGTGGGGTCAGGTCATCCTCATGGGCCGCGACTACGACTGCAAATATGTGATCTCGCGGTCATGGTCGGCTTTCCTCGCCACACTCGCCGACGACATGAGCACAGACAAGTGGTGGATCGACGAAGACACCAAGGAGTTGAAGCTACGCGAGTTCAAGCAGCCAGGCGTGGAACCCGCATACATTGACATCCTCCGCTGGCGAGCTGACCAGAAGTATGGTCGGCGGAAGCCGCAAAAGCGTCCTCTACGTGTCAACAGCAACGTCTCACCTGCACAGAATGGATTCTCTCCGTACGGATCTCCCACCCGTGAAGATCGAGGTCGATCACCGCATCGCTTCGCGAACGGCAAGGCGCCTGCTCATCRCAACTCAAGTCCACGAGGCCTCGTTGGCAGTCCGCTGGCGCGTGTCACGGAGGAAGCCTCGCCTGTGCAACCGCTCTCGGTCGACACATCATACGAACTTTCGCGAACGACAAGTGAAAAGCTCATTTCTGGAATCGACACGCCTGCGTCTGCGTCTGCGTCGAAGGGTGAGAAGCTCGTTCCCGGAATCGACACTCCAAATCCAAACGACTATGAGGACCGCAGAGAAAGCGGCTCGGGCTTGCCAAAGAGTCGGCTGGGAAACAAAGTTCTCAGCAGCAGCGATGAGGAGGGCTCGCCCGTGAGGGATGTAAAGGGAGGAGCTTCGGTTGACGACGATGACATGAAGGAGGTGAAGATCTGAGGGAGTGGAGGTTGTGCATTGGATGATGAATGAGATTGCTTTTAGCATTGCCTGCTTGCCTGCCGTTTGGCTTTGGTCGGCATCATATGGATCGACATTACCCGTATGGCGTTGGAGGCGCGATGATTACTGGAACCCGCAAGTGCGATGCGAGCGGTTTCGCCGCTGCTGCTGATGTGTATTGACGACGAGTGTTGAAGCATGAGACGAGGAACAGGCTCTACGCTTATCACGTAGTTGTATGAGACGACTGAGCAGAGGGGATGTGAAGAGTTGAGGAGGACTATGTAGCTAGCTACCACTACTACTGTTGCTATCATCAATTGGAAATCAGGACACTCTGCACGTATACGTTCTTGAAGAGTCTTGGCTGTGTGGGAGGGCTCGGTATCTAGACAGTCAGGTAAGTCACAAACAGCCCCGAACTAAAAGTTGTACTCATGCTCTAGACGAGACGTCACCCGCTGACGGAGTATGAATCAGTTGCATCGCTGATCAACCGCCAGCGCATTTTGCTAGCAGGTATGAATCTTGCAAAACGATAAATCTGGACCACATGTTCCAAACATCAACTCTACCTAGCCAACCACTACTTTATTGAGTGGACGAGATTCAGCGTATCTTGTTGTAAGTACCCAGTGGCTCGTATCTCTAGCATGAGGTAAAGGAGGTAGGCACCTGCTTTGGCTTATTGGTTTATGATGCGCCTGCCAAACTCGATGGCCTCTTTCCTCTCAAAGCCTCGCAGCCTACTGAATCAATACATGTACTTGCAACCAGACGCAGTCCAAATATATACAGACACACATCCTTCGATATGGCAAGCATTGCTCCACAAGAATCAATCACCACTCAGTCCTCACCCGAGAAACCCTCCATCTGGGCTTCCTCTCAGAAAGCACATGAAGCTGGAGAGATACGCTTCTCTGGCTTCGAGCCATGCTATATTGCCTGTATCAAGGATCTCGAACACCGCATCTCTACAAAATTGGAGGATAGCGTAGGAAATGGCAATGGTGTAGACCTCCCAAACGGGCTGGAGGAACTGCTGCTGCGCTATTGTAAATGGTGATCATCTCCTGCTGCACGTGGGACTGCGCTGAACTCCCCAATAGCACGGATAGTCAAAGCCCTGGAGACGACCGAGAACCGCGACCGAGCGTTTGAGGAGGAGGAGGAGGATATAGACTCGAAAAGTCTAGATTTCCATGGAGTAAGACGTCGGCTAGAAAGGGCGAAGGATCTGGATGAGATCTACGAGAGCCTGAGGCGGAATTGGTTGCTCAAGTTCTTCGGTACGTCTACAACGACTACACAGAAGACTGTGAGACTCTGCTGACCACAGCAGGTGCTTTGTTCAAACGTGACTTGGCCATTTCGCTCAAAGAACGCTTCGGCAATCTTTCGCTGATGGTCGATCGATTGTTTGTTGCCTTGGCGGGTGGAGCCAGCATGCTCGTCCCGATGATCATCATGGCTTTTGCCACGAGCAGGACTGCAAGATTATTGGTGACCAGCTTGGCCACAATCATCTTCGCAAATGCCATGGCGCTCACGAGTGCGTCAAAAGAGAATGTCGTGGCTTCTACTGCTGCATATGCGGCCGTTATGGTGGTTTTCATCGGTAGCGCGACGAGCGTTTGATATCAATCTATTTATTGCGACCTCCTACGATTCGATCTTTCCGCTTTTTCAGGCTCGGGTATGAGGAGTGACGAACAATGAGATCTTTCCAAAGAGTCGTAGGATGCGTAACTCTGTCATCGTCGAGACTGTCCACACCTTTCGGACAGCATTGCCACTATCGGATTACCACGAATKACAACATATACAGTTGTCAAACGAGAACCAAGACTACGGACGCCTAGGCACCGTCATTATTTGCCGTCGAATGAGATTCAGATTGTACGTTGGTCGCCGCAAATAACATGTTAGCAAAGATATGGCCTGTGCCAACTTTTGGCCTTTGTTTTTAACTCCCTACATTGATCACATACTGCTTATCTCAAAATTCAYAAGTGCTAAGTCCGGAACGCTCACCTGAGGAGTACTACTACTTGAACCTGCATCCCGCCAATCGTCAAGTCGTCCACTATGAGTAGCAAGATCAATCAGCAGGGCAACAATCAGCGAGGGAACCGCCGACAAAGCCATACCGGAGAGACAATCTGCCACACTCCTGAACAGTGGCATAAGCTGATCATCTCGAGGCGTCACCTGCCCATTGATCAACGCTCAAGGGAACTGGCCGATCACCAATTCGCGTTGGAGGATCAACGACACCGTCTTGCAGGTAACGCGTGGTCGACGAGGAATCTGCCGCAATCAATCCAGAATATGAACAGCAATGCGATTCTTTCGTTGCGCATAGAGGAAACCTGGGCAGAGCGATTGCTAATTCGGCCTCACCTCGAAGCCCAAATTCAACAACGGATTAATGAAGCACTCGCTCAAAGGCAGGCGGCTGAGAAATACAGAGAGGTTCGTTTGGCAGCGAAGGAGAGGATGTATGACACGAAGCGAGGAACGTGAGAAAGAAACGAACCGAGAGGATCGTTGAATCTCCCGAGGCAAGCCTGATCTGAGTGTTAGAATCTGTACCATCATTACCTTCGTGGTTTTGTATCGTTGTTCGTGCTGTAGGTTCTCTGTTGCAATGGTCCAGTCTGGTCCCGGTGCTGCTTCAATTCAAACACTCCGCGCAAGGCTGTTCAGATCGGATCCCCAGTCACACAATTCTCTTACACTTTCTTCAGAGTGACCAGGCCATGCATCGTCAACCACATCCGAGGCATGACACCTCCCAGCGTTTCCCTCTTCTCCTCTTCAGCAATCTTCCAGGATCTCAAAATCCAGACACTAGCAGCGCCACCCAGGAACATGCACCCAACGAATACTTGGGAGCTTAAGTAGCCTTGAGCAGAGACCAATTGAAGGGCGATTGGCTCAGCGAAAGTTGTCGGAAGAACCAAAGGTAAGCAAATCATCCCAAAGACTGATGGCAAACGGCGAATGCCAACTACTTCAGCCGTCACGGGAACGACACAGCTCCAGAAAGTCCCAGTGACCGCTCCGCTGGCGACGGCGAAGACCAGGAGAAGTGCATATGACTTTGCCGGAACCCAGAGTGCCAGGACGAATGTACYGCAGAGCGCTGTGCATACGGTCGCGACGTTGATGCGTCCCCATCTGTCAGACAAGTAACCGATTCCGGGTCTTCCAAGGGCAAGTCCAAGGTTGAGGGCAGCACCGGTGATTGAGCCTTGTTTAGCGTTTAGTCCAATAGAGAGGGCATAACTGGGCAGTGAGTAAAGCAGCGTGATGTAGCCCAACTCAGTCAGGACTCCCCAAACAGTGATCAACCAGGTTTCGACATGTGCAAACTCCCGGAGGTTGAAAGCGCGGCTTGTCGGGAGGACGAACTTGTTGCGGTCCTTGAGGAGAAGGGCACAAGCCAAGTTGACCACCAAGGTAGAGATTGCCAAAACGCGGTATGTTGAACGCCATCCCACGCTGTCTAAGCCTGCACCGACTCCCAGGTTGTATGCCAGACCGCCAACACCGGCACCTGATGATGCGATGCCCAAGGCCAAACTTCGCTTTCTTTGAAACCATTGAGGGAGGACCGAAGATGCGGTGATGTACAGCATGCCCATTCCCCATCCGAAACATGCACCCTGTGCTAGGAACAAGTGCCAGACCTGTGTTGCAAAACTCGAGGCAAGCATCGAACAGGATATCAATATTGTTCCGGCGAGTAGCGTGATTCGAGTTCCTAGTCTTTCATTCATAATGGCGACTAGAGGAGAGACCATGAGGGACTGAGAAATGGAAAGCCCTCCGATTAACGCATATTGCAAATGTGTTGCGCGTGCGAAGGTGTCGTGCGTACGAAAGTAGGCAAGAAATACACCCCACGCTGCGTTCACGCCCCAAGTATCTTTCTGCAGTCAGTATGCGATGTGCATGAAACTCGTCTTGCTGGTGACCTACGGGCATTGAGGAGAAAGACACAAACCGTGCAGATCCAGCYATAGCCTCCATCTGGAGCTATATCTTCTCGGAGAGCAATGTTAGTCTCGGTGCCGGTCAATGTTTGAAGGTCAATGTCTTCGTGCGAAGTGCCTGTGCTGGTCAGATTACGAATAGATTGCGAGCGAACGATATCTTGGTGAGACATGGTGGTGTGAGCACTGTTGAAGTAAATGAACGCATCCAGAGAATCTTGTGAATAGAATGCTGAAGATTGAGTTACCTGTACGCCCTTTGCGAGTACTAGGTACTAAGACCTGATGTGGCAAAGTAATCCAGGGCCAAGAATGTGGGAGAAGTGCTTTTTATCGGAGGAGTCAGAGGTTGAGATGGTGGCCTGAGGCACTCACCGAACCTTCACTTCACATGTCTCATCCGTGTATGCATGTATGTACCATGAAGTCGATTGAGCCAGTACTCGAACGGAAGAACGAAGGTTCTCATACCGAATTTCGCCAGAGTGAGAATGTCGGAACTCCAGAGATGAAGGTGTTCGCAGCATCCAATACAGCACATTCGTGCATTGGAGTGGTAGAAGGCTACAATATCGAATCCTAGCAGCCTCGAACAGGGTGTGTCGCCAGTAGAAATACTCGGAAGCAGTGGGAACCAGGTTTGCTAGCTGCCGTCTTCTAGCGTTCTGCCATTCTGATGCACGAAGGTGTTGTAAACCTTGACGAGCGTCTAGACAGGCATCATATTCCGCGTTACATGCCACCCTAGCACAAGCTGTTTAACAGCCGGCGTCCCCTCGCTGGAATGGAACATTCCGATCAAGAAGCGGGTTCTGCGATGACATAGCATCATAAACCATGCTCTGAGTCTCCGATAGCAGCCGACATTGCTTCGAGTGACGCCCATATGTACAGAGCTGACCCGCCAACACATATCTAGCAGTCGCAAGCAAGTCAGCTCTACTGAATCCTCTCTACCAGACCCAACAATCGATTACAATGACCGCAGAACTGAAAGATCCAAAGGAAAGAAGCTTTCACACCGACGCTTCCTCTAAATACCTTCTTCCTAACGAGTTCGTCCTTCTCGCCCGTCTGACGTTCAAAATTGACAATTGATGTTTTGCAGTTCTCCTGAACATGCCCGACTCGAGGCTCAGCACAGAGCTCTCACCGTCATACTTGAAAGAAGACCCTCCCGGGCTCCAGTCTCGAATCCCGCCGAGATTCTGGACGTGGGTTGTGGAACAGGCTGCATGACGACCTGGCTGGCCGATTCCTTCCCAGCCGCCACCGTGACAGGCCTTGATCTCTCTCTCGTACCAAAACTTCGCGAGCAGCCGGCCAATGCGCGATTCTTGAAGGGTAACGTTCTGCAGCAAAGCCCTAGGGACTGGATCTCGGAAGACGGTGRTCGACCCTTGTTGGATGAGAGACAAGCATTCGACTTGATCTTTAGTCGTCTCCTGATAGCTGGCATTGGTAATTGGGAGGAGTACATCGTCAAGCTATTCTCTTTGCTCAAACCAGGAGGATGGGTTGAATGCCAAGAGCTCAATATGGTCATGCACGACTCTGAAGACCGGGTCTTAGATGTCTGGCAGAATTTGATGACCGATTGGGGTTCGAACCAAATTCATACAAAGTGCGGAGAGCAGATCAAAGGGTTGATGGAGAAAGCAGGCTTTGAAAAGGTCGGGAGGGAGGTTTTCAAGCTACCCATTGGGTCTAAAGGCCAGCCTACGCAAGAGCTGCGGGAGATGGGGGATTGGTTCTTAAAGGACACGCTTGAGGTCGCCCAGGTTGCTGCGAAACGTAGTGCAGTAGGTCTTGAGCCGGAAGCAGTGGAGGCACTGTTGCAAAAGACCAGATCAGCATTTGCCGAAGCCAATGGGTGGCACATGAAGTTTTATGTTAGTTTTGGCAGAAAGCCGGAGTAGACCAATACAGCGAAGCAAGACCAAGGTACTCGTTTGTGAAGGGAAAGTAAGAAAGCTGCCATCGGCTTACTTCATTTGTGTTCAGTCTCTTGAAGATAGATCAAATTCTTTGTTGCCATGTCCATGCACCACACCAACGCCTCGCTAATCGACAAGTCAAAACCCACAGCTAGGARTTTGCTCGTATACCCGAAGATGGCGTGCCTTCGTAGCTCGTTTCTCGGATGGTCCGCAAGCGTAAGTCACTGGCATCACCGGACCCAGTCGCCTTTGCTCGAATTTGCTCCTTCTTCCTCGCACGCTCATCCGCTTCTCGCATCTCCTGGCCAGCTTTCTCAAGTTCGCTCATCTCCGACTTCTGTTTGGCCGCCGTGCCGGAATGCTGCGCTGCCCAATTGCGTGTCCTCTGCTCGGCAGTCGTCTCGCGACCACTAGTTCTACTTGACTGATTTACATCCGCCGGGGTACTGACAGTTCTTTCCGTCTTTGGAATGTCCGGCGGCTGGAGTGGATCCTTTGAACTTCCTTCCTTTGGATTCGAGCTGAGCCCGTCGTCGATAACTGTCTCATCATCTCCGCCGCCACGTGTATTTCTCTTCCTTGGCCATAGACTCGGCAGCACAATCTGCTGGAAACGCGGCTCCACACATCTCTCATCAAACCATTGATGGATTCTTCCCTCCACTAGCTGCGCAATCTTCGGGACATCCTGCAGTCGGCTTCGACTTCCGATCAAAGAGTGAACGCTCAGATCCAGCCGATAGTCGTCCAGAAAAGTGAAAGTAAGGGTAGTCGGAGAATGGCCCGTGGGGTTCAAAGGATGCCCTTCATTGTTCTCCTGCGAGGACGGCGAGAAACTCAAACTCAAAGTTCCAGAAAACCGCACAACACTGACCGCCAATGCCACGGGAAGCACCATCATGAATGGCTTGGGGTAGTTCAGCACGAGCTTCGTCTCGATGCCCAATGTAACCACATCACCCAAGTCTACATCCATCCTCGCTTGAAGTCGCTCCCCCCGTTGCCCAGTGAGWTCTTTGAGCGGCACGCCATTCTCGTCCACGGGTATCACTCTGCAATTGCTGAAAATCGGGAATTCGTCTCCCAGATTGATCTCTGTGACCTTGATCTCGTCGACAAAACTCGGCTTCCCTGGCCCATTGAGGACCTGATTCAGACTATCGAGAACGGCTTCGTCCTCCTGTGCATCGGCTCGCAACTGTGCAATCGTCTGTGCTATGAGCACATTGAACCAATCCAAACTCTCTGGTTGATGGCCATGAACATTGTAGTACGTCTTCTCCAAGATCTTCTGAACCGTGAGACCGCCGTCTGTACGTGGCTTTAGCACGGAAGCTGCAAGACTGGGACGAGGGCGAAGAGCGGTGGACAGCGTTCGTTGTCGGGTATGCGAAAGCGTGCGATTGCGGCGGGCGGCCGCTCGGGTCGATGCTCGTTCATCGGCTGAGGGAGCATCGCCGAAGATGAAGAACTTGATGAAGATGAAGAGGATCAGCGCGAGGGTGAGCTGGCCGAGCAGGAATCCCCAAGCGAACGAGCCCGAGGATGGAGGGTGGCCCTGGACATCTGGAGGGTTTGGCTTAGTATTTTCCTGCCGATTGAACAGAGACGTAGGAAGTGCGGACTTTGTTGTGCCTGCTGCTTGGCCTTGGACATCTTCAACCAGTCCGTTCTCCACACACCAACAACGTCCAATGGCGAAGGTATCGTTTGGTTTCTTCGAATACATGCACATGCAAAGCAGATCGGAATTGATGTCGACCCATGAAATGACGTCGTGGAAAGTTTAACCGCATCGCCTTCCTTCCCGAAAAGTACCTTAATCACTATCATCAATCTCTATTCTACTGCTCTATGCTTTTACCATCTACTCGATTAAGTCGCCATAAGTGGGTCCACAATGTCTGCTTCCTGAATACCGCCAAGATCATACACCTGAGATGAGCCCGGGACCTTCAACTGCATGGTCGACAAACTGCCATCTGCTCCAAGCGTCGGTGCTTCAGAGTCAGCCGATCTCCACGTCGCCTCTGCATTCTCCATCATTGGAAGGCGTTGTGCATTTTGGGGTGGCTCTGTCTCTTCCATGAGCTTTGGGCAGATCCTCACAATCCATACCCTGAGGGCCAGCAGTGATGCACAAATGATACCAACATTCGCCTCTGTCACCGACCAGATGATGGACCATATTCCGCTCATGATCAGGTCGCCTTGCGTTGCGGCGCCCACCACGGTAGCGACTCGCACAACGCTTACCGCGCAGACAAGAAAGCCAAGCAGGAAGACTAGCATCGTTGCGATTTTCTGCTTTCGAGGGAGGCGCAGGCCAGAAATGGATGGGATGGGGAGTAGCAGAACCAGGATGTCGAGACCAATGTCAACGCCTGCCACAGAGGTCCAATAGATCTGGGCATCTCTACAGTGGCCAGGCAAATATGGGTTCCAGAGCTTGCGGGCTGGATTGCACAGAAAAATGCCGCCAAAGATACCCCAACAAGTGGCAGGTAGTAGGCTGGCCATCAAAATGTAGCACGTAATTCGATTGCGTCGGTTGTTGAAAATACGCAAGTATTGTACCAGGATGGAAGCCTTTGTAGTGCTGACTGTAATCGCCCAGACTGAGTTTTGTGCGACGATGAGCTTCGCGATCATGTTGGTATTAACGTCACCATGATATTTGCCTACACCGTGGTGCACACTCGCTCCAATGAGACCAGACATCATCCAGACGAGAATCTGTCGCAGTCAGCACAGTTCGGTGGAAATGATGGGTCCCTTAGTACAAAAGCTGAAGACATACCAATGATATAAGAATGATGTAGTCGTCCAGCCCTACACGTCGAACGATCTTGCATCGCGCATACCATCGCAAGCCAACGACTACCGAGGAAACAGTCGTGAGAGCTATGGCAGGACCCAGAGCCTGCCAGCCAACGTCTCCATCCTCAAATTCAACAGCTGTCGGTGATAAGCCGACTGGATCTGAAGGTGTTTGTCCGTTGGAGTCGGTCAGCATTCTTTCGAGCAAGCCAGCGATGCAAAACAAATTAGCTGCGCCATCATGCAAGCTGGTGACGGCTGTCAAACATATGCGATTCGGTTTCTTTCAGAGAGTAGGTTTCCCACCCAGAGCCAACAATATCGCCTTAGGGCCCGAGGTCAAGTATCGATAGGGAACAGCGTGTATTCGAGTTGTTGAACCAGTGTGCAAATATCCGTCCAGAGAATGTGGAAAGTACATTGCGTTGATCCTAACAGGCCTGCACGGAAGCAAGGTTTTGGAGGTCCACGGTGCCTGCATGACAAAGGCGGGCAACTGGTATTGATGATGCTGTGGAGATAGTGATGAGGTGATTTTAGAGATGATCGCGTGTCGACATCTCTTAACGATTCCAGACAGGAGGGAAAGAAGATGTGTGGGACACCGGATGTCTGACAATATATGGCGTCCACGGTGACAACGATCGGAGAACGTGGATGATCCGTCGTGATAACCAAGATACTGGGTGTGCAGCAAGCTTCATCGTCGTCATAAAAGTATCCGCCAGTGGTAAAGTAGTACGGCAAGCTCTTCGTCCTTGCTCGTGTCCTTGGCATGTACAACTACGCCAGTGAAAGTATATATGTATCGCGATACAACGCACGTTGCGCATCAGAGCACTGGAGCTGTAGAAATGCCGGTGACACCTGCCACTGCTTGAGGAGCTTACAACTTGGATTGACCTCATGGCTACTGTTGTCTTGGACCAGTTGCATACTGTAGTGAAGTACTGCTGGCGGCGTTTCGAAACAAGGCCATCTTGGTTTCGAGATATGCTTGGACGACTGGATCAATGTCTTCCGATATCCCGTGGGCCCGTTTGGTAGGAATGGAGGCTGTCCAAGTTTCGATGGCCATGACCTTTCCGTCTCCGAGATAGGGATGTGAAGCAGAGGTAGAGGATGATGTTGTTGGAGCCGCAGAGGTGGCGGCATTGGACCTTGCAGAACGCATATCAGTGTCTAGGGAAGCTGAGCTGTCGTAGCTCCTGCTGTAGTGGGCGGACGGAGGCATGATATTAAAGTCTCTCGGAATGTCCGCAGAGGAATGGTTTGAAATAAAAAGAATGGCTGCAGCAATAAGAATATGCTCGATTTGACGCCGTCACACCCACCCGAGTCCGAAAGGAGTTTCGCACGATGCAGCAGTGTAGCAGCAGCGGCCGCATCCTGCAGCTGTGCTTGCAATATATTGATCGCATCGCGATAGGATCTGTCAAACAATGCGATTACTGGAAGCTTGCCTTGACAAATAACCTACCGGCCGAACCTCGACCGCGTCGGAGGAAGTCTGGGAGGTGCGTGGTCCTGCAGTTGAGCGCCGTCAACGCCATTCCAAATTCGAGCGATTATCAACCTATCCGTTTCACTTTGACTCGCGAGGTCTCGAACACGTGGTGGAATATGGGCTGCATAGTGCAGACGCCTTCGACGTGGTATGGTGGTAATCAGCCGGAGCGAGTGATTTGTGGGAGAGGGGTGATAAGAAATGGTCGACGGACAAGCTTTTGGATTTGACATGGAGGCGTCGATCCAGTTCCGTCCATGCAAATTCGGGAAAGATGAACCGATTCGTGAGGCGTGGAGGCGTACATCATGTCTCGTCTCTCAACGAGGACGAAAGACACTGCAACATGATGCGATCGCACTGCGACCTCCAAGAAGACTCGGTGAGAGACCACACCGTCAAGCTACACCGAACAGCGAAATCTTATCATTATTAGGAACGTCGGACAAGAAGTGTAATAATCTGTGGTAGTAGGTATTCATTCCATTTTCGAGAAACTCTAACCTCCAGACACATGGCCGCCGTGGCTGACCTTAGCGCCGTCGCGTGCAGATACATAGACCGCATGGCGTTCGCTGTCAACAATTTTACGAGGCGCTTACGCAAATGAAATCTTCCATCCCGACCCAACAACGACAGCTGGATCGCGGACAACAGCCCAGGCTGCCTTGCCATCCTCGCTTCCGTGGAAGTCTAGACCGACCTTCCTGGTTGAAGCACTTTTGCTGCTCTGTTCTTCGCTTACTTCCACCTCAGTCTTGCCCTTCCACGCCGCAGGCGCACCTACGACGATGATCTTCTCCACACGGACTTTTTCCATCGATTTGAGATACTCCTTGGTCTTCTTGCCCGCCGTGCCCAGATCCTCGCTTATAAGCGTCGAAGTCGAGCTTTGGTATGCGAAGCGACGGTGAATGAATGCGCCCTGCTGGTAGTCGTAGCTGTCGCCATCGTCGAGGTACAATGTACCTTCCGCGTCGCCCGAGTTCCCGAGCACGATCACAAGGGTAAGTGGATCGTACTTCATCAATCCCGAACTCCTTCTGGGGCGATCCCGGCGTGGGATGATGTGACCACCCTGCATGAGTAATGGAATTGTGTCCAAAGGTGCGGCAACGGTGACTTCTCCTGGGCCTTCATATGTCCAGAAATCAAAGTAGTCGTAGTACTTCTCCTTGTCGGCCAGGTAGATCGGCTGTCCCGTCTGACCAGCCTGTGTAACAGGCTTGGCGAGCAGGCCATAGTTTCCAATGTACAGCTGATTATCAATCGCGAAACCTCTTTCGTCACCCGGGAAGACATAGTAATTCGGGCGGACGATGGGAGCGCCGGTGACACTAGCTTCGTGGAAAGCCGTATACCAGGCAGGGAGGAGGCTGTATCGGAGTCGCACGGCCTGTGTGATGATTTCCTCATAAGGTTCGCCTACCAGATACGGCTCTCGGCGCCGGGTATCGATATGCGCGTGTGCACGCATGAAGGGGTAGAAAATGCCTGCTTGGTACCACCGCGTGAGCAGTTCCTTGTCAGGATTGCCAAAGAAGCCACCAACGTCAGCGCCTGCAAATGGAAACCCGCTGATGCCCATGCTGAGCGTCATTGGAATTGATGTTTCCAAATGCGACCACTCGGCTTGGTTGTCTCCAGTCCACATGGCACCTAGTCGCTGACTGCCCGCCCAGAAAGAGCGGGTCAAGACAAAAGGACGAACGTTGTGCTTCTCCTCCTCCTTGTCGCGAGCGAGGAGTCCCTCATACGTGGCGTTGATGAGAGTCATRCCGTTGATGTTGTGAACAYCTCTGTGCTCCCAGCCACCGGCGTGCAAATTGTCCTTTGGCATGGTCGTCTCTGGTCCGTTGAACACCGAAGGCTCGTTCATGTCRTTCCAGATGAACAAGTTCTTAGCAGCACCAACGAACTTGCTGTACTTGAACAAATCCGACCACCACTTCCGGGCTGCGGGATCGAAACAGTCAACCCAGTGACTGCTGCCAGGCCAGCACCATCCCTCGTAGATGTTGCCATCCTTGTTCTTGATGGCCAGATTCTTCGACTTTAATTCGTCTACGATGGGATAGTTCGCTTCATTCTTGATGTGAGGATCGATGATGACCACCAGTTTTCTTTCGTGCTCGTCGAGCTGCTTCTGCATGCCCAGAGGGTCTGAAAACGTCATGGAGTCCCAAGTGAAGTATTTCTTGCCGTCAGTGTATTCGATATCAAGCCAAATGACATCGTACGGGATGCTGTGCTTGTCAAACTTCCTGTCCACATCCCTGACGTCCACGTCTGTGACATAGTTCCAGCGACACTGGTGGTAGGCAATAGAGAAATGCTGTGGTAATTGCTGTGTGCCAGTGAGATCGGTGTACGCTCCAATGACATCCTGCGGAGTTGGACCAAGGAAGACAAATACGTCCAGCAAACCATTCTCACTAATCCAGTGCGTGTTGGTTGTAACTTTGCCAGCAACGCCGAGGCTCAAAGCATTGGCGACGGATGGCTTCTTGGTAATGTCCACCCAAGTTTCTGCACCGTTCAGCCAGAAAACACCAACGGTGGAGTCTTTCTTTTGCGCCTGCATGAAGGGAATGTTGCCGTACAAGGTCATCGGGCTGTCCATCTCGTACTCGAACACGTCAGAGTTGTACATCCTATACGGGTCCGAGTATTTGCCATCTCYGCCGCGAGTTTCCTTCAATGCTAGTGGACCAGCGTGAGAGGGGATGCCATAGACATGTTCGTATCCGGGAAATGAAATATCCAGGGCAACGGCTTCAGGTCCACGGGGTTTGGTGTCTGTGTTTCCACCGAAGGACTCCTCCCACCAAGTGCTTTCATCTTCTCCCGCATCGTTGGTGGACTCTGTCTTGCCCTCTTCGTCCGATTTCGCCTCCTCCACCTTCTTCTCAACTTTGGCACGCCAATGTTCAAAGTTGAGCAGACCCTGATCGTTGAATTTGATCTGCGTCTCACCGTCCCGCCTGAAATCAATGCTGAGCGGCGAGTGGTGGATGATGGCTTCAAATTTGCTGCCAGTACCGTACACCACCTTGGTTGTGTCCTTGTCTGAGTCTTTGTCAATGGCCGCACCGGTACTGATGGTAGTACCTCCAATGATTGCCCACTTCTCAGCCTCGTTGTATCGCTCTTTCCTCGCCTTGCTGTCGTGTCTAAGTTCGATTTGACCCTTTTGACGCTTTTCCTCATCAATCGTGACACGGGCGACTCCCGACTCATAGAATGCAAGCTTAAAAGGGAGTCGGACAATCTCCTCAGATTTGGCCAGCTTCTTGTGTACGACTCCCGTCAAGAGACCGTCGTTGAATTTGATGGTTGATCGTTCCAGCTGGTAAGGAGATTCCCATGATGAAGTAGCAAGAGCATTGTCGGCATAGAGTCGATTTCGTTTACAGAACCCAGACTGATCGCATGTTTTGAAGTTTTCGTGCTTAACCGTCACTGTCGTATGGGATTAGAGGCCGAGAAAGCTCACAGGAGACTATCCAATGCTCCACGATTGAACTCACCGGCCGGCGTGATCAAGCAGCAAAGCGTCGCAAGCAAGAGCGTGAAGCTGATCCAGCTGCTCCATGAGCTGTTGGAGCCACGCATTGTTCCTCCTAACGATTGGCTATGTAGTCGTGATTTTGATGGCGGACCAGCAATGCGATTGACGTGTTTATAGGCTGTGGGATCTCAATCCCCAAAAGTCATGGTACGCGTAGCTCGGAAACTCGGAGATATATCCGTCGTGATGCTGTGACGAGCGACCAAGCTGAGGCTTTGCGAATCTCCATTACCTCTGTGGCTGTCTCGATGTCGAAGGTACCGCTGCGAAACTCCGCAGTGTTATAGTTGTATCCAAAAGCACGATAGAGATGGAGGATAGCAGTCCACGACTTACTCGACTTGACCTACCGTCTCCTAGACCCTGGTAGCTGAAGTGGAAACCTTTGAAACTGCAGGTGCATCGAATCGTGCCCCACCTTCCCCCCAAAAAACATTCAGCGGTCAAGATCTCTTCATCTTGAATCATCCCCCAAACACCTCCATACTCAACCAATCCAACCAGAAACTACACAATGTCTTCCTCCGAGCAGACGTGAGTGAAAGACTACATATCTCGGCACAGAGGACAGTTTCAATGCTGACGTTCAAACAGCTTCATTGCCATCAAGCCAGATGGTGTCCAGGTAAACACGATTCCCCCTCTAGACACATGGCCCTAGTGATCTGACTTTCTGCTCAGCGTGGACTCATCGGCGACATCATCTGCCGCTTCGAGAAGAGAGGGTAGGGCTCCTCGATCCCTAACTCCCACAGAGACAGACATTGATCCTTTCCAGCTTCAAGCTCGTTGCCATCAAGCTCGTCACCGCCTCCAAGGAGCACCTCGAGAAGCACTACGCCGACCTGAGCGAGAAGCCTTTCTTCAAGGGTCTCGTCACCTGTACGTGAAAGGGAGCAGAATGGATTGAGAAAGCACACGGACAATCACGACTGACCACATGTCAGACATGGGTAGCGGCCCAATCTGCGCCATGGTCTGGGAGGGACGTGACGCTGTCAAGACTGGCCGTGTCCTCCTTGGAGCCACCAACCCAGCTGCGTCCCAGCCAGGCACCATCCGTGGTGACTACGCCATTGTAAGTCGGAATTGGACCTTGCTTGCAGCTCAACCACTAATCCAGCTCTTCGTAGGATGTCGGCCGCAACGTCTGCCACGGATCCGACGCCGTTGAGTCTGCCCAGAAGGAGATCGCTCTCTGGTTCGAGAAGAGCGAGATTCAGAGCTGGAAGTCTGCTCAGCACGACTGGGTGTACGAGAAGTAGATGCATGGTCCGACCTCAAAAATATAACGCTGCAATGAACAACGACACATACTGGCGCAGTACGGTATAGATGGAGTAATGCGTTCCAAAAAGCGGCGATGACAGAGAAGGCTCCACATGCGGGCTTCCTTCACGCAGGATAGGGAAACAAAATGCAAACATTCACGAGCCGTCGAGATTCTTTCACGACGCAAGTCCCCGGAAAGGGTGAGTGCTGTCACCAATGCCATGCTCATTCACGACATCGACCAAAGACCTTTGGGCGTCTGCGAAATTCTCCTGACTGTTCCTTATGTGCATCCAAGAATTCTGACCACAGAGCATGGGCTCTAGTTCTTTCGTATTCGTGAAAGCACAACGAAAAATGTGATGTGAACGTCTTACAAGACTTGCATACGAATCAAATTGCAGGAAGCCAATTATCATCGGGCCCGAATATACGTACTTCGGCACGGCACATAGGCGTAGCAGACTATGCCGTTGTTAACTGCGTCACATGTATCGATAAACCTCTTTGGTGATTCATTCGACTAGCATCCTAATTCTCTGTCGCCTTTGCTGAGGAATCGATCCTTCGCCTTAGCGAGTTTGATSCCACTTCGCCGAATGCCGGCCAACCTCCATCTCCACCTTTTGACTTCATGGACATTTCACACACCATGACCAGCAGCGGGTGCAACGACGAGGCCATCTTAGGAAACCAGCGATCCGAGAACTTTAAACACGTTTGCTTCTGGATTGAAGAAAGTCGCGGCCTATCCCTGGAATGAATGTAGCTCTTGCGTTACTGCAGCGAACCCAGCTAGGCAACGAGCTATTTGGACTGCAACTGGACTGCCGATTTCGTATCTCGCTACAGATACTACCTTAGCCTACTCAGCGGAGCCTCTCTGACGGAATGTCCGATCAGATCCTCTTGGGAGAGTTCATCCACAGACAGAACTCCATAAACAAGCCAGCTGCCTGTATAGCATGTAAGCGAAAAAAAATCCGGTGCAACAAATCGAATGAAGGGTGTGACAACTGCAGCAAGTCAAGTCTGCAATGCGTATATCCTGCCCCCGAGGTTGGCGCCAAACGAAAACGAGGTCCCTACAAGAAGGACAAGACGCCACGCGAACGCCACTTGGAAGACCTCGTTAAGTATCTAAAGCCTGAAAAGTCGGAGAACGATACTGGAAGCTCGGATCAAGGCTCTCCTCAGAACGAATTGACGCCTGGTTTGAGCAGCCTGAGTCGATCAACATCTGCGCCTTCAGCTGCACAGGCCTCTAACTCTGAATCTCTGGTCACGGACGCTTTGATAGCATTGACACGTTCGTCGGTCGCGGATCAGTGTGCCCAAGATGACTCTGGGCAGTCTCTCTTACACAAATACGTGTCATCTGGTGTACATGGCGCCGCAGCGTCTCAGCATCCGTAAGTACCTGACGGACGGACTGAGCACGCTGAGCACCGCTTATATACTACGCTTCTTCTCCTAGACCACGACCAAGTCACAGCTAATGATTGTGCTCGCTCTAGTCCTGTCCGACGCATCTTCGAGTACTGGCATCTTTTCGTTGCTAGGGTTGATCCAATGGTCAAGGTGATCCACTGCCCTACCTTTGCAAAGAAGCTGTTTGGCGTAATTGACAACATCGGCAATGTGTCACCATCGACCAACGCACTTTTGTTCAGCATTTATTACACAGCACTGGGCTCATGTACAGCCCGTGAGGCTCGGCAGAGGTTTGGGGAGAGCCGGGAGGAGCTGATGCAGCGTTTTGGCCGGCATTTTGAGTCTGCTGTAGGTCATAGTTTCGACGTACCTTCGTTGGAATCGCTACAGTCGCTCATACTGTACATGGTACGTGATATTATTACATTCTTCGCAGCTGCTTCGGTACGAGACTGAATAACCCTGAGATCGCTCTTCCGCAGATTCCCAATCACAGACATGGAGGAGGAAGCATCAAGCATATGTTCACTTTGGCAATACGATCAGCACAAATGATGCGGCTACATGAGGATCCAGGGTTATCCTTCTCGCCGTTCGAAGCCGAATTGCGGCGTCGTCTCTGGTATCATCTGTGTGGTCTAGAGTCGCGATCGGCTGAGGAGAGCAGCTCCAGGCAACCGAGTTTCTTGCACAACCATGCTGTTCGAATGCCTTCGAATCTCAACGACTGGGATATTGCCCCTGGGATGTCCCAGGCGCCGCACGCACGGAATGGGATCACGGAAACGACTTTTCCGATACTGAGATTTGAGATACACAGCCTGATATTTGGATTACTTGAAATCAAGAAGAAATGGGCGACGTTTGAGCCTTCCGAGACAACGAACCGCATGCGAGAGGAACAAATTGAATGGCTCGAACGGACACAAAGGAGGCTGGAAAATGAATACATGGAGCATCTTGATATCTCGCGGCCGCACGACTGGATGTGCAATCAGTTCGTGGGATGCATGCTGGTAAGTCGCATGTTACCATTTTCACAGACAGCATTGTCGGGGTGAGAACGATGCAGTACGATTCGCCTCGTATTGAGTCTCTCCAGGAGTGACTTTGTCAACCCAAATGATCTCAGCGATTCTCAGCGAAGCTGGCACGTCGCAGCATACTCGCAACAAGATCACAGATGCCGCAAGAATATTCCTCCGTTGCACAGTCCACATATTGACGGCTCTTTGGACTGACATCTCGACAGATCAAGGCTCGGCTGATGGTCGATTTCCCTTCTGGGACCGTTCCTTCAAAGACGATGTCGCTACGAGAGCGCATGCACCTCCTCCAGGCTTCCGTAGAAATCATTCAGCTCTCGCACTTACTTGCTACCGACGACCGGATAAGCGATTGCCTATGGTATTTCCGCGGCTACATCCAGTGGCATTGCATAGCGGTCGTAGTTGCGGAATTAGGCTGGAATGCGAATCAGAGCTTCTCAAACAGTGCCTGGGCTGTCCTCGACCCAATACTCGGCGATTGGGACATTGTGTACAAGTCCAAACGAGACGATCCAGCGTGGCATCATGTCAACACCATCATTGAGCGCGCAAGATCGTTGAGACTACAAAACAGAGCTCATACTGCTAGGAGAATCCCTGCAGAGAAGGCTAGATCTAGCGTGGATGTGCTTTTGGGCAGAGCTACCTCGACTGGCACGTCGACCATGTCTCCTTATCAAAATCGTAGCACTGTCACGGATACTCCAGGCGGCCAAAATCAAATGACCCCAACGATCGAATGTCATGACCTTCCGCGAGAGACATGGAGCTTACAGCAGCCGGAGCCTTTGCAGTTTGAACAAACCCCTGTATCGCAATATCAGACAGTTGGGTACCAAGGCGCTGATACGTATGCCCCTGTGGGGGCGATGGGGAGTTTTGGCATCGACTCGAGTGGATTCGATGAGATTGACTTTGCTGCTTTCAACGAGGTGTTTAACAGTCAGAGCTGGAATCATTTCGATCCGATGGAAATCAGCAAGTCGCAGCGGTACGAGCCCGCGCCCTATACGGCATGATACACTGAAGCTTTAGGGCGGTATCAATCAGCCTCTGTGGGGATCGACAGCTTTACCGGCTCTATGGCAAATTTGGATTTATGGGCAGATTCTCTGGTTCCGCATCTCGAGCTAGTCTTTATACTCGACTTGCAAGTGATATCCTTCGTGGAACCAAATGGCAGATTCCTGGTCTAACCTTCTACCCGACCGAATACTATCGAAACCGTATAGCATGTTAAGAGTGACGATCGCGAGACGCGCTCGACACTATGGGTTCTTATCTCCGACAGCCTACACATAAATCAAACATGGAAGGACAAGGCGCTTGGGGGCAATGCTGGTAAAGCAAGATTTTTAGGATTAGGCCAAAGCTGTTGACACGAGGAACACTCCACGAGATGAGACTTTGAAAGGCACTACAGAAATTCTTGCAAAAATGCTTTCTTGAAGAAGCATTGCACGCAGATTTTTGAGAGTGCGAATTGATGACCCTATGCCGTCTATAATTTGCCTTACTTATCTGACCATCCCAGTCTCAGCCATTCTTCGGCCTCGAAAGCATCACGCACATCAATTTTGTTGGACGATGGCATCGCCTGTGCTGGCTCTTCGGGCTCGAAAGCATCACGCACATCAATTCTGTTGGACGATGGCATCGCCTGTGCTGACTCCTGGCGCGACTTCTTGAAGGAGCCACGCTACAGCTCCTTCTTTCCGCCTGCGTTCTGCAACGCCACCTCGACCTTCTTCCTCAATTCAGCACCCTCTGGTCCAGGAGCAGTACCGCGCCTCCTCTTAACCTCTTCGATGATCTCATCGACCATCTCGTCGAACGTGTCACCTGGCGCAGTAGGGATACCGAGAGTTGCACCTTGCCTGAAGTTGACAAATGGTTAGTATGAAAAGTGAACCGATTTGAGAATGACACGTACAAGCTTTCCTGGCTTTCGTTCCTCTTGAGAGAACCTGGCCGACCAGCTCCTGTGCGTGCCCTGACTTTCTTGACCAGAAATGCCTTTCCTGGCGTGACCAGAAACAGACTGCATGCCGTCACTCCGATGATGGCATAAAAATAGACTCGTGCCCAGACAAGAGTACTGTCATGTATGTTGAGCAGGATGAAGGGTGCTGTGGTGAAGGAGAACACAAGCTGGGTGACGAGCCATGTAAGAACATCGTAGTATCTTTTGTTCGCGGTGGGCTTCTTGCCGTCGGGGGTCATGAAGAATGGTCGAAGAAGACGACGAGAATCTGGAGACGGTCAGCAGCGGTAACCATTGATACTCCAATGCAACAGACTCACTCTTCGCAACATTCTGAATGAAGCTGGCTAGCACGAATGCCATGTAGTAACCTGGTGCGAAGCCATGCCAAAAGGCGCTGGTCACGAAAGTTGCTAGACTTGCTTTGAAACCTGGCTTTTGTCCCTTTGGAGTCACACGTAGGTACATGTAATTCCTCAGCCAGTGRTTCGTGTTGATGTTCCAGTTTCCGAGGTATGCGTGACTGTTCTGTGCAAATTCAACACCAGTGGGCTTGATGTTTGTCAGTCTGCTCCAGTCTGCCTTGCCGGTCTTTGGGTCAAAACCCTTGTATCCGATGCCAGCGAGAATGCAAGCACCCTCGGTCAGTGTCCAAACACCGTAGTACTTCATTCTCTGCACGAAACTGAGCATATGGAGATGATAAACTCTCCAAAAGAAGTTCATGTCCCGATAGCGATCGCTAAGGACGACCTGAGGGTTGGAGTATGCTGATAGCTGCAGGAAAGCAAAAATCCAGAGAAGGCCAGTCACCATCTTGAACATGGCTGGGGTGGCGCTACGYGGAATCTTTCGCTTCTTGCGGGTTGGCGGAGCTTTCAATGGATCCGTACCGGGTGGGAGATCAAACATTGTGGTGTTGATCCAACGCTCATAGTCCACAAAGTCGAATGCTGGACCGACCATGACTGATGGGAAGAAGGCCACGAAGCCAGCGTAGGTCAGAATATCGGGCAGGCTCTTTACAGACCGCTCCTTCTGAATTTCGTTCAGATCGGCTGGGTTCTGCTTACCGTCCCACACATTCCAACAGAACGCGGAAAGCTTCATGACCATGACCATCTGAGCTCCGGTGATATCGACCGAACTGGGTGCATCTTCAATCATCCGATAGACGTGACTGATGGACATGTGACCCATGAGGAACACAAAGCCGACCCATGGCATGAAAGGTCCGTCAACATATGCAGCAATCAGGTATGTTCCAACCGCATCGATCAAGATGACAACCAGTCCGCCCCATAGGTCGAAGAGGCCTACCAGGTAGAAAACAGCTACCCTGTCATGGAGTCAGTATGTTGGCAAGAACGAGTTTTGGTTGGAAACGAACGAGATGTTGAAGATGTTTTTGAGGTAAGGCTTATCGTCTGGCAGACGTTTGAGCACCGCCGCAAGTGGGTATGAGATCAGGAACAGGACGATGAGTTTGACTGCAGCACGGATCAGCGGGATGCTGCGATCAGGCGGTGTTTGCCGACTCACATTCATCGGTTGAGGCTCCAAGCTTGCCAGCGACATACTCGAACGCTAGAGAATTGTAAATTGAGATGATCTTTTGGGGCGCCTGAGATGACCATACGAGTATTGATATAGGGCAGCATGGTTGACAGTTCCCAGTAGAGAATTGGTTCAAGCTTCGTGTCTCCAGAGCATCGGCATGGCACAGTGGAGTGGGGCTCGGTCGTGGAGTATAGCTTGTGGGCCGGTGAGAGGTTGGTTTGAGTGGGTGCCACGCTCAAGTGAAACTACCTTGTGGCTTCTGTCGTCTCATTCCTCGTGGTTTGAGAAATTGATCGGCAGCTTCGACCGACGTCATCCCGCGAGCTGGGTGCAACCTCGGGGGAAGTTGTTGAGCTCCATCGTCAACACCCTGTCCATCGCTCTTACATCAACACAGCATCTGGACACGCAGACAAGCTCTTCCAGAATGCTTCTTCTTGGACTCACAGGCAGCATTGCCACAGGTAAATCGACCGTGTCTCAGATCCTCTCATCACCGCCTTATAACCTACCAATCGTCGATGCCGACAAAGTTGCTCGTTTGGTTGTAGAGCCCGGCACTTCGGGCTATCAGCAGATTGTAAACACCTTTGGTCCATCGACGCCAGATCTGCTGCTTCCACCGACGCCTGAAAATGGGGGAGAGAATGGACACAGTGGCAAGGGCAGAGCACTCAATCGCCCTGCTCTAGGTAGACGAGTATTTGGCGAGGGCGCAGATGAGGACCGGCAGGCGCTGAACAAGATTRTGCATCCTGCAATCAGAAAGGAAATGTACAGGCAGATGCTTTCTGCGTATCTAAGAGGCAATTGGGCGGTAGTTCTGGACGTGCCGCTGCTCTTCGAGTCTGGATGGGAGCCTTTGTGTGGCACGATTCTGGTCGTTGCGGTCAAAGATGCGAAGATACAGATGGAGCGACTACGAGCCCGGGATGAGCATTTGACCGAGGAGGATGCGAAGAACCGCGTAGCGGCGCAATGGGATGTCAGAGACAAGGCTGAACGATGTCTCAGACGTGGCAACAAAGCGGGCGTAGTCGTGTGGAATGATGGCGGGAAAGATGATCTCAAGAGACAAATAGATCAGGTCATGGCGCAGATCAAGACAGGGAGCCCGCAGTGGTGGGGGTGGTTGCTCCTCCTGTGTCCACCTCTTGCAGTGATGAGTGGGAGCTGGAGCTACGTTCGTAGCTGGTGGATCAAGCGGCAGTGGGAGCAGGAGAAGCGGCTCGAGAAGGCGAAGCTGTGAGCTAGATCTTCAGAGGAAATGCTTTACGCTTTCATGAACAATGTCCAATGTAAGTAAAATCATGGTACGTCGGCGTGGGTGATCGCGCTGAGCCGCTTCCATCACTCAGTCCTCTCCTCTCCAAAACATACCCTATCCAATTCGATATGAAGTGAAGCCTGCCATTCACACCGACGCTCACACCGACAGAGCTGCTCAAAGCCATCCTGGCAGTCTCCTCTCACTCCAAATCCATCTTGCAGGCTTTTCGACTCGACAAAGGCAACATCGCCGCATTTGCCCCTCAGCACATGGCATTCCGACAGGTTGACAGCGGCGCGGTGGATGAGAACGTATTTGTGGACGACCGATGCGCAACCGTCTGGGAGGCGCCACGGCTCAGCTCATCTCGCACATTCGCATCGCGCCCGGAGCCGCGCAAAGATGTCGAGATTGTGGCTGCTGAGACCAAGCGCGATGCAGCTCTACTATCCACGAAAGTTAAACCGATAGAAGGAAACCTTCTGCGAAAGCTGTTCAAGGCGACCGTCGAGGAGAAGCAGCGAGCGGCTCAGGCTGTCGCTGCGGCAAGACCAAGTTCAACCAACAAAGTAGCCCGCGAAAAGGTTGTCAAAAACGTCGAACCGCCAGGATTCAAGCTCCCCCCAGGAGTGGGTACATCCCGTCCGCGAATGCAGAGAGTTCCGGATGTGAAGCCACAGGAAACCCTCCCACAGCCCGCCGTATCCGCCACTTCAGCAGCGAATAAGGAGGCGCCTGTGGTAGATCAGCCCTCCCAACCCACCATCTCGACACGAAAGAGGGAAACTCCCGTGCTGGCAACTCCCAAGTCGGACTACTCACCACTAAAGAGGGAGACACTAGCGGTGAAGCCTTCTCCAAGGTCAGGGAAATCAACCCCAAAGGAAGTAGAACTTGTCCGTCATTCAGGCAGTCTTCGAAAAGAGGCAGCTGTAGAGGCTACGGTGGCTCCTCTGAGCGTTGCTGGTGTAGACGATGCTGTAGCGGCATTGCCTGCCATTGATGTGGCAGAGCCTACGGTTCCTGTAACTGCTGAAATACCTGCTGGAAAGAAGAAGAAGAACAAGAAGCAAGAAAGGAAGAACAAGAAAGCTCTTGCCCGTGAGCAAAAACAACTTGCAAAGGGGGCTGGCATCATCATCACCCGTGATATCGCTCACGGCGAATTGGAGAAAACTGATTTGCACAACGACGACGCGCTGATGTTGGGCGCTCTGCCTTGCATCAGTGTTGCGGGCTCCGGTAAATCAGTACGATCTAATGAATCTATTGGAGAGTCAAAGCCGCTGCACACCGTCTCCAATGAGCACAGAGGGAAAATTCAGACGACCGCCGAGGCAGAAGTCTCGCGCTCTCCATCCAGGGCGAGCAGGGACTTCAAAGCAGCGTCCACGAGACCACCATCAATTCACACTACACCGACGAAGTTGTCATCTTTCATCAGCTTCGAAGAGATCGGAGAGGCATGGATCGGGCCAGCTGTCTCTCAACACAGATCAGCTCATTCCTCAGGACCGCGCTCAGCCCCTATGAACTTCCCGGGAGAGAAATCTGAAGAACTTGGTGAATTGAATGATACAGAGCAGAGATCGAGGCATTCTACTCCAGCAAGAATATCGAGCATCCAGAGTTACAGGTCCCCCTCGCCTGCGGTCAATTCTGAGCTAGCAAATAAAAGCGAGGAAATGGGTCGCAGTCAATCGCATGGTCAAAAAGGACGCTCCATCCATGGCTCGTTCCACTCTGGTTCCAATAAGTCATCAGTCAAAGCTTCACAGACTTTTGCCGACGCCACACCAAAGATTCATTCGGGGAACAACAGTCCAAGGCAAACTTCAAGAATTAGCTCACCGAGACATGAATCTAGACATGGAGGGAGCCGTGACAGCATCCAAGGGACCAGTGTCTTGCCAAGTTTACCAAACCCGGGCTCTTCTCAAGGGCGGCGGCCCAACACCAGTGGATCACACGCAGGAGAGTCGCCGGCAGGCGGAGAAGAGGCTCGGGGCGCACAAGCAAATTTGGATAGCCCAATGTGTACAGTTGGAGGATCTGGTCACTCGCCTCGTGCCATCACTCAGCCTGACAGTGAGAGATCGTCTATCCGCAGTGAGCACTCGAAAGGGATATCTCGGTCTAGCCAACAACACCACCAACACTCAAGACATGCATCAACGCGGAGCTTCTCACCCAGGGATGATGTATGGCAGGAGCCTTCCTCTACGAAAAGCTCGGCCAAGAGATCTCGACTCTCGCAGAGTACCGATCACGGCTCTCTCCCAAAGAAGAGTACCAACAAACCTTCAAGACTTACATCTGTGATTGGCTCAGTTGCTAGTATGATCTCTAGGGTACGCTCTGAGCTCACATTTGAGGAACTTGGCGAGGGCTGGCATGATGGTGGTGTACCGAGTGATGAGCTAGAACGCAAAATTCTGGAGGCCCATCGTTCGACCACGCGAGAATCAACTCTACATTCCATGAGTGACAATCAAGGTGAAGGGCGTGCGGACCGAGTCGAACATCACCATTCCCATCAATCACAATCAAGATTCAATGTTCACTCTCATCACTCCTCAAGAAGAACATCAGACCGCAGTCACCACCCATCTAAGCATAGCGATGCCCAGTCGTCCGGCAATTCATCCCATCGCTCCAGATCAGATATGCCCTTACACTCTTTGGTCGGCGCTCCTGTATACGCAGTGCTCAGTTCTGAGGGCCAAGGATCGGGTGTCATCAGCTCATTCGAAGATGAAAGCTTCCATCCGCAGGATGCAATTAAACTTCGTGGACAGCGACCGACCGTCTTTGCAGGAAAGGGCTGGATCACGCCACACCCACTGGAATCATCAGTAACGGAAAGGACACCGGCCATTGTAGTTCCGAGCGATGCAATTCCAAACGGCGCAACCTTGTCCTATGAGGAATGGAAAGCCATACAGGAAGGCGGGCTTCGCAATCATCGTAACTTCTCCGTCACTGAAAGCGACGAATCTGGCGGAAAGAGGCACAAAGATGATCGCTATCAATTCTCGGGGTGGGAAGCCCAATCGTGGCAGGAAGTCGAGCCTCCTACTCTTGACCCTAACGCCGCCAGTGCTCGTGTGACGAGTAGTCACGAAGCTGCCAAGGCTCAGTCTGTTCAGATTGAGTCTGTCAGTGAGAGATCGGCCGAACAACGTTCGCAGCACTCACACGGATCAAGCCGTGACAGAAGTTCTAAATTGAGCCCGAGTGAGCGTGCGTGGGAGAGGATGGAAGAAGGAAATGCACTGCATGGCAGCCACAGGGGTGACAGCGTGCTATCGGGTACGGCAAGTGGGCGTGCGTACTCGGTGTGGAATCAATCAGATTCACGGTCAGGCTCCCGGCGCTAATGTTGGCAAGCAAGACGTATGTTGGCATGAATGATTGCTTAAGGGATGGAGTTGGAATGAATTCATCACTCTGTGCCAACAGATTATCGTTAGCCTTGGAGTTGTAAGATATGACAATCAATGAACATTCAATCGTAATTCTTAATTGTGCTCTTGTGTGGCCGCGGTGCGTTGGCCGAAATCTGTCACCCACACTCTTGTCCATGACATTGGATACAGGGTGGTGAAACCTTCGCGGTCGAGATCAATCCTGAAGTACTGTAACCTATTTGCTACCTGGGTTTCGTTGCTCGGAATCCATGGCCGGGAAAGAGTCGGCAGATACAATGTCAGCAGACCAAGATATCACGCCTGTCTGGCGTCACGGAGATGATGTTGCGGACCGCTGGTTATATCGCCGGGTGTTGGGACTTGCATGCGAGATATCTGCATACCTTACTTCGTTGAATAGGGTACATATGTTGGAACCATCGACTCTGTCTCTCCGCTAGCGAAACATGGTACATTCGACCGGTACATGCGAGATGTGAAACCTGCGTTTCACAGGATCACAGGGGAAATGCCTCTTGCGAACCCCGCGAGATGCACGGGCTAGATTTGTACCTAGCGAGCCGCAACTTACCGAACTTGCCGTCATTCGGCCACTCTGACCCCTAACGTCGATCGTCGTCCGGGTTGTTTGTCAGTCGTGCTGCTTGTCTGCTTGCTTCTTCGTCGACATGCGAGCTTCGGATTCTTGACATTGACGTTGCCACTTGCCATGCCGCGTTAGTATTTGACCAGCAGCCCAACCCTGACCGAGAGCGCATCATCTTCGATCACGGCCCACCAACGTCACCGCACGCACACGTACGCACACCACACACACATCCACCATGGGCTTCCTCAAGCACTTCCGCTCCAAGTCGCGAATGAAGGGAGAGAGGAGTCCACCAAACAGCCCGTATCGATCCCCCAATTATGCTCGTGGCGGTCGCGACTTCACCACGCGTCTTCCCGAGAAGGTGTTGGCCAACATCTTCTCATACGTTTGCCCACACACTCAAGATTACACCTACGATTCATGCGAGTCTTCCCAGATTGGCGAGGGATGCATGCTCTGCGACCTACGTGACCTCGCCCATTGTGCGCAAACGTGCCGCAAGTGGTATGCCGTCGGCCAGCAGCAGCTATACACTAGCGTGCGCATAGATGCCGTGCACTACTGCGAGCTCGAGGAAGTGCTGGCGGAAAAGCGAAGAAAGGCTGCAAAACACTTCCGCGCAAGGAGCGCTCCTGAGCCTGTTGATATCCCCAACATTCGTTTGTCGTTGCTCTGCAGGACTGTGAGAGAGCAACCCAATCTGGCCGCGCAGACATTGTTCTTGAAGATTCCTTACATGGCCAGGGAAACGGCCAAGGCTGAACTCGCTCGCACCATATCGGTGATGCAGAATCTGAGATATGTGGATCTTCCGGACGGATTTTACAACGGCGACCCAAGTTGTCTGCCTCTGAGGCAGGAGCTGCAGTCAAGATGTCCCGATCTCAGAAAGATGAGCTATCGTAGCGGATCGGAAGATGCACTGGAGCTGTTGACCCACCGCCATTGGCAGGCAATTGAGATATTGGACTTGACGAACCTCGCGCTCGAGCCAACCACTCTTCGAATTGTGCTGGCGAGTCTTCCAGCACTGCATGACTTGACTCTGACAGACATGCCCTGGATGGATGACAGCATCTTTTTGCCATCCACAGGTCAGCTGCCGGACTTTCCACCTCTCCAGACCCTGCGGCTGAAGGATCTTCCTAACATCACCGCACAAGGTTTGACCTCATGGCTGCAGGCTACTCATATTCGCGAGATGCTCTTCTCCCTCACTTTGGAGTATACTGGTGTCACTATACAAGAATTGGGATCCGTCCTTTGGGCTGCAAGCTCGATCCGTCATCTCTCAATAGTAGAGACTGTAACAAAGTCCCTGTCACTCGCAACAGCGCAAATGGCACCTCTGACGTCGATTTCTCTCAAAACCCTGCACTTTGAGATTTCTGGCAGCGAGGATGCCCATGGGTTACAAAAGCCGGCCGAATCGTACTATGCATACCTGGCCCACTCCCTCCACCAAAACTCTCTTCCTGCTCTCTCCACCCTCTACGTTCGGGATCCAAACTTTGCCGAACTTCTAATACTTCCACCGATAATGCCTCCGTTTGGTTCTGAAGGCGGCTCTCTCAACAGTAAGATGAGCAATCTCAGCTTTGCGTCGACATACAACAACCCTGCACCACGCGCTGCCGGTGGCGGGTTCAATCAGACTTTGGAGGTATTTTCCAAAGGCATGGATGAGCTAGAATGGGTCTTTACATCCATCTCGCCTCCAAGTGCAGGGAGAGACCGCAGTACGAGCGTGACAGGAGGTCGACCGTTGAGCGCGTACAGTGCTGGACGAGGTTTGGGTCCACAATGGGCGCAAGGCGGATTCGGTGGCGAGGCACGCAAGTCTGTGATTGTAGGGAACGGGTTCGGTGGTTTTCTTGCAGTTCCGCAAGATCAGGCTCCTCGTCCAATGACTGCAGATGGTAACGGCGGGCGTTGGGGTAGCACGAGCAGCGGCGGTACGCATGGAACGAGTATGAGCCACTTCCTCAAGCCACCACCTGGTATGGGGAAGATTACGTCTTCACACGAGAGAAGGTCAAGTAAGCAGGATCTCTGGCGATGAGGGAGATGCACGTGATATGGAATGCATGGGATATGGCGTTTGTGCAATACAATGATGTGGACTGACGAACACCATGGTTTTTGTGTTGCTATGAAGTGGGCAGGAGATGCTCAAGATACCCTCACGAATAGGTATACGGCGTCTTTATAAGATAATTAGTTTTCGAGAATGAGCAGGCTCATCCTTCGCTGTCTTCTCTACTTGTGGTTGCCATGTTGGGACGTACAACTTTGGTTAGGTTTCGTAGCAGTCCTCTTGGCGAAAGGTCGACTCGCGGAAGTGAAGCTTGCTTGGAGCTTTCAGCAACCTTGCACAGCATCCACTGCGTTCCCATTATTGCCATACTCATCGACTCTCTGATCACAGTTGTATGCTGGGACTCAGACCTCGTCCACGACTTGTTCACAGACCTTCTCTTCTCGATTTGATAAACTCGTCCGCGGCTTCGCAATCCGTCGAAGCGCGCTTTGCCCCGTCTGAGCTAGGGCCTGACCTCAGCGACGAGCAGCGTCCATACACTCCACCCGAATACAAGCTTCCACTTCCTCCCAGCCCGGAGCTCGAACGAAGCCCGCCACCACCCTACAGCTTCACCGTCACTCAATTCGACAGCCTCGAGGAGCTGTCCGAGGAGGAACCACCAAAGCTCCAGTCACCGCCCTCCGCACCACCCGCAAAGATGGCACCCAAAAAGGATCAGAAGAAAGATGAGGAGAACCAAGGATCCATCTTCTCCGTCTCCGGTCCCGTCATTGTTGCTCAAAACATGACGGGATGTGCCATGTAYGAGCTGTGCAAGGTCGGATACGACAACCTCGTTGGTGAGGTCATCCGTATCGACGCCGACAAGGCCACCATCCAGGTCTACGAGGAGACGGCAGGTGTGACTGTCGGTGATCCTGTGACCAGGACTGGCAAGCCATTGTCTGTTGAGCTGGGACCTGGTTTGATGGAGACAATCTACGATGGCATTCAGAGACCTCTCAAGGCCATCAGCGACGTGTCTCAGAGCATCTACATCCCCAGAGGTATCGACGTCCCATCTCTGGACCGCGAGAAGAAGTGGGCATTCACACCAAGCGACAAGTTCAAGAAGGGAGACCACATCACAGGTGGCGACATCTTTGGTACGGTGGTTGAGAACAGCTTGCTCAGCGACCACAGGATCCTCCTGCCACCTCGTGCCAAGGGTACCATCACCTGGATTGCAGAGAAGGGTGAATACACTGTCGACACGAAGATGTTGGAGCTTGAATTCGAGGGAAAGAAGAGCGAGTACACCATGATGCACCAATGGCCTGTTCGTGTCCCCAGACCTTCCACCGACAAGCTCAGCTCTGGTGATCCATTCATTGTTGGGCAGCGTGTCTTGGACGCCCTCTTCCCTGTCGTTCAGGGAGGTACTGTCTGTATTCCAGGCGCTTTCGGATGTGGCAAGACTGTCATTTCCCAGGCCGTGTCCAAGTTCTCTAACAGTGACTTGATTGTTTACGTGGGGTTTGTTGTCACCTCTACAATCTTACTCTATGAGGCGAATGCTGATTAGAATATTACAGCTGTGGCGAACGTGGAAATGAGATGGCCGAAGTGTTGATGGACTTTCCAGAGGTATGAGCTCTTCAGATGCATCTCATTTGCAATGACTAACTTTGAACGTCCAGCTCACCATCGATTTCGACGGCCGCAAAGAGCCCATCATGAAGCGTACCTGTCTCATCGCCAACACCTCCAACATGCCCGTGGCTGCTCGAGAGGCTTCCATCTACACTGGAATTACGATTTCCGAGTACTTCCGCGATCAGGGCAAGAATGTCGCCATGATGGCAGACTCCAGTTCTCGTTGGGCTGAGGCTCTTCGTGAGATTTCCGGTCGTCTCGGAGAAATGCCTGCTGATCAAGGTTTCCCTGCCTACCTTGGTGCTAAGCTGGCATCTTTCTACGAGCGTGCTGGAAAGGTCACTGCTCTTGGCTCTCCTGACCGTCAGGGCAGTATCAGTATTGTCGGCGCCGTCTCACCTCCAGGTGGTGACTTCTCAGACCCCGTTACTAGCTCCACGCTTGGTATCGTTCAGGTCTTTTGGGGACTCGACAAGAAGCTTGCTCAGCGTAAGCATTTCCCGTCCATCAACACCTCGCAGTCTTACTCCAAGTACACCACAATTCTGGCCCCCTTCTACGCGGAGCACAACCCAGAGTTCCCCCAATACCGTGACCGCATTCGAGAGCTGCTCTCGACCTCTGAAGATTTGGATCAGGTCGTGCAGTTGGTTGGAAAGTCCGCGCTTGGTGACTCGGACAAGATCACTCTTGATGTCGCGGCTCTCATCAAGGATGACTTCCTCCAGCAGAACGGATACAGTGATTACGACCAGTTCTGTCCTCTGTGGAAGACTGCGTGGATGATGAAGGCTATGATGACCTTCCACGATGAGGCACAAAAGGCCATTTCTCAGGGCAACCACTGGGCCAAGGTCCGCGAGGCCACTTCAGAGATTCAGACTGATCTGAGGAGTATGAAGTTTGAGCTCCCCACTGATGGTGAGGAAGCTGTGGTCAAGAAGTACGAGGAGCTGATGCAGAGGATGAACGAGAAGTTTGCGAGCGTGACTGACGAGTAAAATATGTGATGAGCTCGCAATGTGCTGTATCAGGGAGTCTGGGCTTTGTGTAGATAGCGGGAATATAGAATGTCAATAACTGCGAGGTTGTTGATGCAATTGTCATGCTCATGCGATTCGCACGAGGGCCGGTGGAATTGAAGGCTGCCGGCTCTCCTTGAATTGAATCAACGACTGTGCTCGCGAACAGGTAGATGTAGATGAGAAGCAGCAGCCTTACGTAGAGTCGAAGATCTCGTTAAACAAATCTCCTAACTTGTGCTATCATTGTTGCAGCAAGCACAAGATCTTTGATTGCTCCAGGTAGGGCAGTCTCGTCGGTTTGGAATACAATACGCRATTGTCGAGATTGGAACCAGTACCATACCTCACGGTATGCTGGCACCTTCGCAACATCATAACTCTCATAATTGGCACAATAGAAAGGGGGCCTGACCGCTTCGAGTGATATTCGCAGTATCTTCGGTTGACTGCTGCCAACTTTGTAGGGTAGGAAACACGGATCATCAATTTGGAGATCCTGGGCAAGCAATCCTTGTTGGATGATGAAGCTACAAGTCTATATATATCGTCAGCAATTTAGTAGAGTAGAGTGGGTACCTATATAATACCGTCAACTCCCGCATCAGTGCGAATATCACATTTCACACTTTATCAAAATGCAGTACCTCCCCATCCTCCTCGCCGCCTCAGCGGCCTTCGTTGGCGCCCAGAAGGCACTCGAGAAGCCACCATCAAACTACAGATGGAGCGCCCGAAACTTCATTGCCGACTGCACTGATACATGCCATTACACGTTCGACATCTCGGGTGTTGAGGCGGAACCTTACCCCAGCTTCAAGGCGGTTTGCACTGGGACTGCCAGCACCTATTTCGCTAGTTGCCAATTGCTGGAGTGGAGTGCAAAGAGGGCGTATGAGCCTACTGTCCTAGCACTTGTGCCTCCTCCTGGTGAGGACGAAGTCGCGCACTTGCAGGTCTCGTTGATCTTTGACTCTTATGATGCGTATGTTTTTGGCGGCAAATCATGGGGATTTTTCATGGTTTGATGAGTACTGTACTGATAAGAGAGCAGGTCTTACAACATCACTGGACCGGCGGACCTGAAGTTCAATGGGTTCGAGACGGATTTCGACATTGTTCCTACTGATCCTCTTGGGACCAACATCATGTCATGATGGAATGGGGTTGCAGGGAAGTGGCGTGGTGGTGCGTTGGAGGTTGGAGGAGGCGGAGTACATGTAGCTTGCGTGTTGGACGTGTAGGAATGAATAGATGGCGTCGGTCACCTGCTCTCGAATTCGGGCCATCTGTACTTCCAGAGGCACGTGTGCCCGTTTTTCGCCATGTCTCACTCATCAGGTGATGCGATGCTATCGATCTCTCATGCGTGAAGTCACGAATATAGAGCATTTTAGAGCCGTCAATGAAAGATTGCATGCTTGAAGCGAAATAGGTCAAAAGGTCAGTATCTCACCAACCTAATGTGTTTGTAGCTTGAGATGAGGAAGTAGGAGGAAGAGGTGGTTTTGGTTTTGCGCCACAATTGTTAGCCACATGACCCTTGTCGCAGCCACGACCTGACGACGACGCAGGAAGTTGAGAGGGAGAGGCTCCAGAATAACAGCAAGCAACTTCTTGGACTTGCACATCCAACCTCGAGGCTGCAACCCTTCACATCACCATCAATCAACAGCCTCTATACCTTCGCAAGGTCATCGCAAACACCCTCCAACCGCAATTTGTCGACCATATCTTCATCTCTGATAGTGGCCTGCCATGGCGCAGACCAACCCCAACGCGTGAGCATGCAAAGAGAAGGATGTACTGTAACAAACACCGCGCTGACCAGCAACAGGAWCAACGTGAATGATCCGGGCCTCATCACGCTCGTCAACAAGCTTCAGGATGTCTTCACCACCGTCGGCGTATGTAGCTGGAAACAGATGGATCACCTTCCAGCACTTCGACGACACTGACCAGCTTCATTTAGGTACAAAACCCCATCGACCTGCCTCAAATCGCTGTCGTGGGCTCACAGTCCAGCGGTAAGAGTTCCGTGCTGGAAAACATTGTAGGACGAGACTTGTGCGATCCACACCGCCCCGCCGCGCATGATACACCCCCACTAACATGCGCAGTCTGCCACGAGGCACCGGTATCGTGACGAGAAGACCACTCATCCTCCAGCTCATCAATCGAACGACACCCCCAACCAAGCAAGAGAACGGAGACGCCAACGGCGAGGAATCGACAGATAAAGAGGCCAACGCTGAGGAATGGGGAGAGTTCCTACACATTCCAGGACAAAAGTTTCACGATTTCAACAAGATTCGCGAGGAGATTGTGAAGGAGACGGAGAGCAAGACTGGCAGAAATGGAGGCATCTCACCTGCACCCATCAACCTGCGAATCTACTCACCCAACGTCCTCACACTCACGCTGGTGGATTTGCCTGGATTGACCAAGGTACCAGTAGGCGACCAGCCTCGCGATATTGAGAGACAAATCAGGGAGATGGTGTTGAAGCAAATCTCCAAGCCAAACGCCATCATTCTTGCAGTCACAGCAGCCAACTCTGATTTGGCCAACTCCGATGGACTGAAGCTCGCGAGGGAGGTCGACCCAGAAGGACAGCGGACGATTGGTGTGTTGACGAAAGTGGATCTCATGGACGAGGGTACCGACGTTGTGGATATTCTGGCTGGTCGCATCATTCCACTACGGTTAGGATACGTGCCTGTGGTGAATCGTGGGCAGAGGGACATCGAGACGAAGAAGGCCATCTCATACGCGCTCGAGAATGAGAAGAACTTTTTCGAAAACCACAAGGCGTACCGGAACAAGGCTTCTTACTGTGGTACGCCCTACTTGGCACGGAAGCTGAACCTGATCTTGATGATGCATATCAAGCAGTCGCTGCCAGACATCAAGGCCCGGATTTCTGGTTCTCTGCAGAAGTATTCGGATGAGCTCAAAACACTCGGAGACAGCATTCTTGGCAACCCAGCGAACATCATCCTCAACATTATCACGGAATTTTCGAATGAGTACCGGACTGTATTGGAGGGTCACAATGCAGAGCTGTCTTCGGTGGAGCTGTCTGGTGGCGCACGTATCGCATTCGTCTATCACGAACTGTACAGCAATGGTATCAAGGCAGTGGACCCATTCGACCAAGTCAAGGACATTGACATTCGCACCATCCTCTACAACTCTTCCGGATCTTCACCTGCACTTTTCGTCGGTACTACCGCATTCGAGCTTATCGTAAAGCAGCAAATCAAGCGCCTGGAAGAGCCCTCTTTGAAGTGTGTCAGCCTCATCTACGACGAATTGGTACGAATTCTCGGACAACTCATGAACAAGCCTCTCTTCCGCCGCTATCCCGCGTTGAAGGAGAAGCTCCATGCCGTCGTCATTGCATTCTTCAAAAAAGCCATGGATCCCACCAACTTCCTCGTCAAAGATCTTGTCGCAATGGAGGCGTGTTATGTCAACACCGGCCACCCAGATTTCTTGAATGGACACCGCGCAATGGCGATTGTGAATGAAAAGCACGCGGCCAGCAAACCAATCCAAGTGGACCCCAAGACTGGAAAGCCCCTTCCCAACGCCGTTGCACCACCGAGAAGTAACAGCCCTAGCATGGATCTCAATGGTGACGGTGCTGGCTTCTTTGGATCCTTTTTCGCCAGCAAGAACAAGAAGAAGATGGCTGCCATGGAAGCTCCTCCTCCTACGTTGAAGGCGAGTGGGACGTTGAGCGAGAAGGAGACGCAGGAAGTGGAGGTGATTAAGTTGTTGATTACGAGTTACTACAACATTGTGAGGAGGACGATGATTGACATGGTGCCCAAGGCTATCATGTTGAAGCTTGTCGAGTGAGTACCAGAGACGTTATTGGATTCGGGGATTGGTTTACTGACCTGTTTGCGATAGACACACGAAAGAGGAAATGCAGAGGGAATTGCTGGAGCAAATGTACCGGACCACGGAACTGGATGATTTGCTGAGGGAGAGCGACTACACCGTGCGAAGGCGGAAGGAGTGTCAGCAGATGGTGGAGAGCTTGGGGCGGGCTAGTGAGATTGTTAGTCAGGTGCAATGATGAGGTGGTGACAGCGAGTGAGTGGGCGGTGGGGTGGCATGGGATTGATAGAGATGTGTTGTGTGTGCGGGCAGAATATCAGTCAAGCAGGCATGGGCAAAGGAGCGTGTGTGTCTTGAAAGTGAGAGAATACGATACGATACGATAAAGATATCCCTGGGCTTGAAGCTTGCAATTGGTTGTTATTTTCTTGCTTGCTTGGCTGGCTCGGATATGGATTGCATGACTGAAACCTTTTTGATATGATTCCATGTGAATGAGACCATGTTGCGAATTGTGAGTGATTGGTCGACGGTAACGAAACGCTAGTTGGCGTTCAGGGGATACCTCGCTATAACAGTTCTTGGAATCGGGGAGCTTTGTATACCGTTAGCGTTAGGGTTGGGRTAGTAGATGTATCTTTGGTTTTTGAGATATTGAGGTCTTGGGGGGTAGTAGAGACATTGATTATCGACCGGTATATATTTTATTGATATTTATGCTCGTCATGCGAGATAGGCCGGAGAGAAAAGGCGGTTACTGTGGTTTGGAATAGAACTGGAGGTGTGTTAGCAGTAGGGTTGGGGTAGTGAAACACTTTCGAGTGTTTTAGGTGAATGTTGATGTTGTGGACTTCTCTTCTGATTTGGTTGTCAGTGCTTGAGGGTAATTGGGGTATAAGGCGGGTGGCTTGGATGAGACCATGTTCAAAGTGATTGTCGAAACAGTATTTCTGTCATTTGGCTGTTCCGGTCATGTTTAGTGTACAGTTGATTTTGAGACGTTGCTAGATATTCAATCGCTGAACATGATCTCTGTCATCAATAACACAATCAAGCATACTCCTTCGATGCACGCCGTCAAGAGAAATTTTGAAAGACCGCAGTCGAGAATGTGAGAACGGGAGAGAGCAGCTGGTAGTTTGTAACTCTATTCGTCGAGCCAGCGTGGAATTAGACCCAACACGGATCAATCCATACCATGCTAGCTACGTAGATAATACAGCATCCTCCTCGATGCAACAATCTACAAATACAAGCCTTCCGGCTCACCCTCGGTCTTGGTCTTCATGACATTCTCCCTGGCGGTTCGGAAATCCTCCATGTTGACCCTCATTCTCCTCTCTCTCAACGCCATCAAACCAGCCTCAGAGCAGATAGCACGGATATCGGCACCACTGAGATCATCCTTCTGCCCGATAAACTCCTCCAAATCAACACCTTCGGCGAGGTTCATCTTGCTGGTGTGCAGGGTAAAGATCTTGCGCTTAGTGTTTTGATCGGGGTTCTCGAAAAGAATCTTTCGGTCGATTCGTCCAGGCCGGATGAGTGCTGGGTCGAGAGTCTCGATCTTGTTTGTTGCCATGATGACCTTGACATCTCCTCTGTCGTCAAAACCATCGAGCTGGTTGAGGAGTTCAAGCATGGTACGTTGGATTTCACGCTCACCACCAGAGGTGGACTCGTAACGCTTTGTTCCAATAGCATCAATCTCGTCAATGAAGACGATGGAAGGAGCGTGTTCGGCAGCGACTTGGAAGAGTTGGCGCACGAGACGCGGTCCATCTCCAAGGTATTTCTGGATCAACTCTGAACCGACAATGCGGAGGAAGGTGGCAGATGTCTGGTTGGCAACAGCTTTGGCGAGGAGAGTCTTTCCAGTACCGGGTGCACCGTAGAGAATTACACCCTTTGGAGGCTTGATACCCATCTCTTCATAGAGCTCGGGGTGTAGGAGGGGAAGTTCGACGGCCTCGCGGACTTCTTGAATCTGCTGTTCGAGACCACCAATATCCGCGTATGATTCAGTCGGGGCTTTGTCCAGCTTCATCACATTCACCAGCGGATCGGCGTCATCTGTCAATACCCCCACGACGGACACGCTCTTGTGATGCAGGAGGATGGAAGCGCCGGGTTCGAGGAGATCCTTATCGACAAAAGACATGATGGAGACGTAGTATTCCGGACCGGTGGCGGAGGAAACGATAGCGTGGTCGTCGTCGATGATTTCCTCGAGATTACCAACCCCCATGGGAGAGCCACGCATGTCATCGACCCGACTTCTCTCATCGGCGTTGCGGTCGAGAGCATCGCTGTCGCCGCCGGAGGTTTGAGGTGCTTGGTTCTGCACTGCTTTGGCCTGTGAAATTTATGATGAGCGTGTGTATGGTGAATAGGGTAGTGTGTGTGATGCAGTCCCACCTTGCGTATCCGCTCCTGATTCTCCACAAACTCCTCCTCCAGCAGTAAGTGATCGTGCACACGCTGCATGCGCAGATATCGCAGCTTGCATCTTGCGGTCGGATAGATGGTGGGAAGTTTGGCGGCGGCGTTGGGACCCACGGCCTTCTTCTTCTTGCGGCCGATGCGCTGTGTTTGTGGTGGCGGCTCGTACTTTGGCTTATCCTTCTTGTCGCCCTTTTTCTTGTCCCCGTCGCCTGGTGGTCCACCGGGGCCACCGAGGCCTGACTGGTTCTGGCCCTGCAAGAGAGATTGATGTTAGTGATGGCTGATGAGGAGGATAGGATGCGCGACTGTTTCGCTTACCATGGCCGATTATGAGGAGGGGTGGATGGCGCGCTGGTGGAATGTGTGTGATGGAGTGGATTGGATTGTGGTCGAGGTCGAGGTGTTGCGGTGGAGATGTCTCAGTCGATGGCGAAGATGATGATTGTAATCGGTGATGTTGCTAGCAAGCTGGAGAGGTGATGGCGTTGGCTGACGCGATGGACGGCCTGCCTGCCAGCTTGCTCGGAGGTCGGAGGTCGGAGGTAAGCTGCAGCGCTAGTTCCATCCACTTCACTTCACTTTACGGACGCCTTTTTCTATACAATCACCCAGATTCATTACCTGACAGTCCAGGTCATCCAAACACGAAGCACATCGAAGCAGGCATGCGTTCGCTGTCAAGGTCCTGGCTATCTGGCGTACTTCAGATGCTGCCTGGTCGTTGTCTGTCAACATATCCCAGGCAGTATACCACCATCTGGAATGCGAGGCAGTCAACAAACGGCTTAGTTTGTGGTCACGAATGACAATTGTCAGCATGGACAGCACACAAAATATACTGCAAGTCGTCAATGATTAAGACCCTCGGAGAGTCACAGTCCTCAACTCATTCAAGCCCACTCCAATGTCCCAGGAAATCAAATGAACGCCCTGTAATATCAATCAGAAAGGCCAACACACTGTCCACCTTATCCTTGTTGACGCTACAACGAAGAAGAGCACCTAAATAAACTTTATCGACTCCTATCTTATTTCCTCCCCTCGATTTGCTTAGACCTCGTTCGTAGTCTCACTCTCTATATGTACTCGGCGCCCGTCTCACAATGTCTTGGAAGGGAACAAAGGTGATGATTGGGCTTCTGTTGACATTCAAGACATATTGTCTCTCATTCTGCGAAACAGGGGTACGGCTTCGGGGTCAAATACTACATGATTCCCCATATTGTTCTCTGCTCATCCATCCATCCATCCATTCGACCAAACCGAACCAAAACCAACCCAATTTCAGCTGCCTCCACCACTATTCTACAAACAAGATCAATCAGACCAACCTCCATTTTCCACTTCTACAGCAACAAGAACCAACCCACCATATCAATCGCAACACAACACAAACAAAACCATGTCCCCAAACACCAACACCGACAACAACCTCCCCTCCACCCTCCGCCCATCCCCCTCTTCCGGCGGAGGCTACATCCGCACCCCTTCCGGCACGTCTTTTGAACCACGAGCAGCCGCACCCCGTGCTCCTCCACCACCTCCAACCATGCGTTGTTATCGACAACAATGTCTTGAAGGCAAACATTTGGGATGTGGGATCTGTGTTGTCCCGATTGGGGAGGTGTTTCAGAGAGGTGGCAGGATTTGAATGGAAAGGTTGGAGTTGAGAGAGGGGAGGCAAGGGAATTGAGTAGGGGAAGAAATGGAGGAGGGAGAGACGGTGTTGTTTAGTAGGCGGTGCGTGGGGAACGGAGAAGTGATGTATATCTCTATCTCTGGAAATGATGGGATACAATTGGCATTGCACCAAATCATCAAAGCTTCCAATAGGTCTCCTCATGCGTGACCATAAACATTCTGTACAAAATATAGCTACAATCCGCTCGTAATCATGCTGAGAGACGGTCTCGACTTGCTGGATAACGTTGCCGTCAGAGGGGACACGCGCTTGCCGTTGGGGGTGGTGATGTAATGAGCTCGGCGCAGATTCGACGAAGGTTGGGCGGGAAACGTCCCTTCTCTGCGTGACGCTCTCCATTCTCCATGGCGACAATAGCCTGCTGGGAGCGAGGAACCTGCGTCGTTGCCTCACCATCCCAAATTCTCCTGCAACCCGTCCCGTCCCTGTTGTTGTTGATTACTTCTTCCCTCCACCACCCTTGGCCTTTTTGCCACCCCTGCCCATACTCCTCCTCTCGGCATTCGCCGCCTTTCTCTTGCTCGCCTTCCTCCACGCCATGAACCGATCTCCTCTTACAAATGGTTCCACATCCCTCGCCTTCTGACTGAATTCCGCGGCCCGTCCAATTTCCCAATTTGCTTGTCGATATTGTCCCCTGCCTTTCATGTGCAGAACGACTTCATGAGTATCTCCCTTTTTCCCTCGTAGGATGGTGACGTCTCGATCATCATTCGATTTCTGTCGAATTTTCGTGCTGGGGATGGCGGCGGGCGCACTTCCTTCTTCGTGAGTGAGGTCGCCGATGGAGTGGATTTCGGGAGTTGCAACGTCTTTGGATTGATAGGCCAGCATGCCCAATTGTCGGCGTCGGACGGCGTTGGGGGCTTGGGGGAGGGTATGTTCTTTTTTGAAGACGACGCCAATGTATTTTCGTTTGGGGTGAAGGTTGGGGTCGCGGTAGTAGCGGACGTAGCCCGGAGCGGCGGCGTGAATTGTGTGGTCGCGGCCCTGGAAATGTTGTTTAGATTAGGGAGAGGAAGGGAGGATTGACAGGCATAGGTACCATCATGCAATTCTCGCCGGGAAACCAGAGGGTCCCGCGTTGTTTGTAGAGAATGTTGCCTGGGACGACATATTCTCCTCCCGTCTTCTTCGCTCCCAGTCGTTTTCCTGGGCCGTCTTTGGCTCCATTTGCGCGACCCTGAAAGAGGATGAAGGGTTAGAGATGTTGGAGGAATTGGAGGGATGGGAGACCTACTTGAGCTTGATGTGAGGCGTGTCGGACGGATGGGAGAGATTGCAGGCGAAGGGAGGATAGTGCTGAAGATAAGGCAGATAATGCGCATGTGGAAGGCGCGCGAGATGAGAGAGTGGGCGCCATGGTGGATGATATGGCAGGTATGGTATGGCAGGCAATGCGGCAATGGCAAGAGGAGTGAGGTGTTGGCTGGGACGCTGAGGGTAATCAATATATTGATGGGTGGCCCTTCAATACGCGGGGCATCGACCTCCGTCTACATACTCCTCTACAGCACATGCACATCCCTTCGACACATCGACTCTGAAAGACTCCCCTCTTTGCCAATCGCTCCCCTCTCCCTCGACCACCCGTTCCCTGAGGAACTTGCCTCCCTCCCCACCCTCAAAACCAGCCTCGACGGCAAAGACTCCCCCCTTCACCCTCCTACCCAACATGGCCTCGGCCCTCTTCTTCCTCGACCTCAAAGGCAAGACGCTCCTGGCGCGCAATTACCGCGGCGACATTCCCATGTCGGCCGTCGAGAAATTCCCCATCCTCCTCTCCGAAGCCGAAGACGAATCGTCGTCGGTCCCGCCGTGTTTCAGCGACGAAGGCATCAATTTCCTCTACATCCGCCACAACAACCTCTACCTACTCGCCTTGACCAAACGAAACTCCAATGCCGCCGAAATCCTCCTCTTCCTGCATCGTGTTGTCGAGGTCTTTACCGAATACTTCAAGGAATTGGAGGAGGAATCCATTCGAGATAACTTTGTTGTCATTTATGAATTGTTGGATGAGATGATGGATTTCGGATACCCGCAGACGACGGAGACCAAGATCTTACAGGAATACATCACCCAGGAATCACATAAGTTGGAGGTCCAGGCCCGACCTCCGATTGCAGTCACCAACGCCGTGAGTTGGCGGTCGGAAGGGATCCGATATCGAAAGAATGAAGTCTTTCTCGATGTCGTGGAATCACTCAACTTGCTGGTCTCGTCCACGGGAAATGTCCTGCGATCAGAAATTCTGGGAGCGATCAAGATGAAGTGTTACCTCTCTGGAATGCCCGAATTGCGGTTGGGATTGAATGATAAAGTCATGTTTGAGACGACGGGACGCGCCACGAGAGGCAAGGCGGTGGAGATGGAGGACGTCAAGTTTCATCAGTGCGTGCGCTTGTCGAGGTTTGAGAATGATCGCACCATTTCTTTCATTCCGCCCGATGGCGAGTTTGAGTTGATGAGTTATCGGTTGAATACCCAGGTCAAACCGTTGATTTGGGTGGAATGTATTGTCGAGAGTCATTCGGGGAGTCGCATTGAGTATATGCTAAAGGTGATACTTCCATATCTTCATCTTGTGGATGGACTTGCTAATGATGATGATCATCTTCTAGGCAAAAGCACAATTCAAACGCCGCTCCACAGCCAACAATGTCGAAATCTCCATCCCAGTTCCCGACGACGCCGACACCCCTCGTTTCCGCACCAACATCGGTTCCGTACATTACGCTCCGGAAACCTCATCAATTGTCTGGAAAATTAAACAATTCGGCGGCGGGAAGGAATTCTTGATGCGTGCGGAATTGGGACTGCCCTCGGTGAAAGGGGATGAAGAGAGAGGTGGTGGCATGATGGGTGGGTTTGGAGGGAGTATGGGTGGGACAATGGGAGGGAAGACGGGCAAAAGACCGATTGGAGTCAAGTTTGAAATCCCCTATTTTACTACCAGTGGGATTCAGGTGAGGTATCTGAAGATTATCGAGCCAAAGGTATGTTATTCCGAGAGGATCGATGATGATTTTGAGTGAGTGCTGACGTTTTTGGTGGCAGCTGCAATATCCGAGTTTGCCTTGGGTGAGGTATATTACGCAGAGCGGAGATATTGCGGTCAGGTTGCCGGATGTGCAATGAGTGAAGCGATGAGGGGAGGGGAACTCAGAGGAGTATTCCAGGCGGAGCGATGATCGTGCGGATGGAATGTAAGGAATGGACTGGACTGGGATGGAACCAAGGAGCATTTGAAGTTTTTTGCAAGCGTTCTCGCGGGAAAATTTGGGGGTTATTCGAGTTTCGTACTCCTCACGTTGGGAATGGAGGGAAAATGTTTTCATGATGGATCATGCAGGAAGAAGAAGATAGAAGAGACGAATGAAAGAATCCCACGGATGGGAATGGAGACGCTGACGCTTTCTCGGTCGTGTCGTGTATTGCTGACACTCTCAAAAATCTTGTTTAGTAGGCGCTGGTTGGATGTTTCGCCTCAAGAGGATCTCAGGGAGAGTACGGACGGGAGTACCTAGTAGACTAAAAGGCGGGAGTCGAAAGCCTGGCAAATCTCCCCATCGCTATATAGTTCAAGTTGTTTTTGATCGAGGTGAAGTTTCACATACGCACATCCAGATAACAGCCACATGACGAGCTTCGCTACTAGATATGTGCCCAAGATAGCTGCACGCAGCATTATTCCGCCGAAGATGATGCAGAGGGCTTTTGTTGTTCAGGGAAGGGATCCAGTGAGTTCGGGAACCAGGAGATCGAATAGGAGTGCCGCACAGACGAGATTATTATGATTCTTGTTGTTATGATTGGGGAGGGTTATTGAGTTTGAAGGTGGAGGAGGACGTTTTGTAGCCGGTGGAGGGAATTGTTATATTTGTAGAGGGATCCGGACGGATTCCTGGCAGCTGTATTATGGGTTTTGTTTGGAAGTGCTGAAGGATCCTGCCGTGATGGAGTAGAAAGAGGTTGCTGGTGGGACTCCCCTGCCAAGACTTTTGGTGAGTGAAGGAAAGTCGTGCGCTTTGAGACGTAGTTTTACTTACTGCAAACGAGGTCATCGGATCGTGCAGAACACGATTTCACGGGATATGCTCAAAGATGAAGTGCTTTTCACAGTCCTGTTCTTTCACATATTTCAATGATACATTCGGGATGACAGATGAGACACCCTCAACGACGTATAACGCAACGCCAATACGTTGTGAAGGTAATGGAGAGAGTGTTGGTTGAATGAGCAGGAGCTTGATCTCCTGGATGAAAGATCATTCTCTAGCGACGGTCGAGGTGGACGCGGAGACAACTTGGCTGAGAGCAGAGTTGAGAAAAGAATCTCGAACTCAGCTGAATTGGTGAACGCTGGAAGCTGTAGGACGCAACAAAAGAAAGCCAAAACAGCGCTAGAGAGGAAATAAACTGAAGGATACTCATTTGAAACCCTACGCCCTACGCCCTGCTAATACCACACGCATGCTTCATCAAGCAGCACTCTGCCGACCAGTAAAGTAGCAAACCCAGCCCGCATTCACCGGTTCCAGCTTTTGGCCTCCATGCCATCTGGCGGCAGCGTCTCAACCTTACCCTTGCTGACCTCCTCCCAGTTAGTGGAGAGAGATGYTCCATTCGACTCGGTGTAGGACTTCATCATCGCACGCTGCATATCGGGACTGGCACCCTTGAAGATCGTCTTGAAGAAGTCGTCCGGATTACCACTGGCCGCTTCATCGTCGTCCGCAGTAATCTTGTCCCAGTCTTTCGGGCCTTTCTTGGAGGAAGTTGGGTAAGCTGGAGCAACAGGCGGACGGTCTGCGAGAATTGCGCGTGCGATCGTGTTTGATTCGTTGACATTGTCTTCTGCCTCGTGATCTTCCAAAGGCACCTAAAAGTGAAAGTCAGCCACATCTCAGACATTTAGAACGAACAGAGAAAACGAGAAGTGCTCCCCGAAACCCCAGCAGRCCATAGACGCATAGAAGCCTCCTTGTTATTAACATCCGTCCATCCCTGATGGAATTCTGTAGTACTCACCTCGCTCTCTAGTTTGGACCACTTTTGTCCAGGAGTGGTCTTGGCAAGAATGATTTCCACCTTGCTTGGAAGCACGCGAGTAGTGCTCTTCTCTACATTGACTGCTGCGAACAAAGGCTCCAGCGTCAGTWGGTATGACGAGGAGCTCGAGATTAGCGGAAACTCAATGGTGAGTGATCGCGGAGAAATGTTGATTTGCGCCTTATCTGCAGGTACGCCCTTGGCAAGGAGAGTGATGTAGACTTGCTCGCTGGTTTGATACCAGTCGTACCGGATTTTATCCGCTGGGGTCTGCTGCGGCGGAGGGGCCGTAGAAGATGCTTCTTCCTTGGTAGCACCCGAGGTAGTATCTGCCTTTTGAGTTGGGACGTCAGGGACTTCAGATACGGTGCATACTCGCAGCGGATCGTCCGGATCGAGAGCATCGAGAGCCTTTTGAGCCATGTTTTTCCACATGCCGGCTTGCTTGTGGWCCTTGGACTTTGCCAACACGAGATCCAAGACAAAGCAAGCGTCAGCGTGGCGCTTGAGTTTCGACAGTGCCACGCCGCGACGGAATTGAGCTTCGATGATGAGTTCCCTTTTCGCTCGCTTGATGGCATTCAGGACTGCTTGTTCGGCGTCTTCCAGCGCTGCAGTGAAGTGAGAACCACGCTGGTTGGCATTGGAACGGTGAATAAACAGATCCGGGGATTCCGGAGATTCCTTAATGGCGGCTGTGAATTGTGAGATGGCTTCATCGTAGTTCTTGACCTCAAGCGCTTTCTTGCCGCGTTCAACCAGAACTGTGAGAGACATGATGATTGGTGGAGTTTGTTGTTGGCTTGACGATCTTCGTGAGACGCGATCGAATTAACCGTCGGGAGTGCTGCCTGGCGTGAGTTTGTTATTTGGATTCGTTCTGGAGTGCAGCAGATGTAGATGGAAGGCGCGAGAAATGTAAAGCTAAGGTACCTTAGGCAGGCAACGCGGCTCTATCTCCTTGTTCAGCCGCTTCAATCAGCCAATCACGTGTGGGAATACTAAGATACCCTGGCCATTCCATGAAGACTTCACCTTGCTCACGACTACATCATACAAGATAACACCATTGAAAAGAACGCCAACATGTCTCGCATGCCAATACGGACCTTCTTGGTCGCCGCCAAAAGACAGCTTCAAGATTCGATCAGAGACCAGACCTACACATCCTTTGTAATCGGCAATGAGTCTGCAGACCTAGATTCCATTACATGTGCGCTGGTATACGGATACATCCAGTCGAGCAAAATCGAGTCCAAACGTACTGGAAGACTGGTCGTTCCAATTGCGAACCTTCCTGCTTCTGATTTGCCTCTACGGACTGAACTCACTGCACTGCTCAAACATGCAGGCATCAAGCCGTCAGATCTGATCACATTGGATGACCTGGGAACGAGCCCTTTACCGCTGGACAAGACAGACTGGACGCTGGTAGACCACAATGCTCTCCAGGGTCAGCTTGGTGAGCGGTACCGGAGTAGAGTCGTTGGCGTCATCGACCACCACGAGGAYGATAATGCTGTCCCCAAAGATGCTGCATTGCGGATTATCGAGAAGTGTGGAAGCTGCAACAGTCTCATGATAAATTCTCAAAGGGAGACTTGGCAGTCGCTTGGTTCCATGGTGTCTACTTCGGCCGTCGGACTCGGCCAGGATGACATCCTTATCGACGACTTTGCATACGCCTCGACATGGGATGGGCAAGTGGCAAAGCTCTCCTTGGGATCCATTCTGATCGATACCGGCAACATGGAGATTGAATCGAAAGTCACTGATCACGATCGGAAGGCTGTCCGGTATCTAGAAGCCAAGATCAACGTCTCTCCGAAGCTGGGGAAGGATTACGATAGGAAGAAGTTCTTTAACGAGATTCATGATGCCAAAATGGAAATTTCCAGCCTGTCTCTTGCTGATGTCTTCCGCAAGGACTATAAGGAGTGGAAAGAGGGCGATCTGACACTGGGAATGAGCAGTGTAGTCCAGTCCTATTCCTACCTTCAGGCGACAGGAGAAGACCTCCAGGCTGCTTTGAAGAGCTTTGCCCAGAAGAAGTCCTTGGATCTCTATTCGATTACAACTTCCGGCACGGACGAATCGGGTCAATTCTACAAGGAAATCTTGCTGACCGCCTTAGGCGGTCAGAAGGCTACAAAAGCGGTCGAAAGGTTTGTAGCAATAGCTAAAGACGACTTGCAGCTTGGAGACAGAGACGGTGTCAAGTGGTCAGCTCCGTCAGATCCCGATATCTCGTTCCAGCATCTCTGGAATCAGGGCAATGTCGAGGCAAGCAGAAAACAAGTGGCACCTTTCCTGCGGAAGGCCATGGCCGATCAGTGAATACAGTCTCAGTAGCTCTACACACAGGCCCTAATACGATGCCATGGGACTGCATACATTTGAACAGCCAACCAGTTCTCGTATCGACATCTCTGGAATCGCATTGTCCGGTGCCACAGGATGATCCTAACAAAAGCATGCTGCAGTCTATGAGATGCATCACCCTTCACTTTCTGTGCGCATGTAGGCCTCTGACAATTCGGCTGACCAGGTTGTTCGAGACTTTGCGGATCAATATGACTGACCGGATGCCACAAACGCGGTTCAGGACCATGCCACCGGCCTATCCACATGACCATATAATCGGGACCCAACGCAAACTCTGTTTTCCCGCGGAGGAGGATGTCATCATCGGAACAAAAAATTGAATAATTTTCCTTGTATGCCCAGAAAAATTTACAAGTGGACCGTTCGTCCTAATTGCCGCTGGGATGCAGAGCGAGATCGTCTACTTTGCCTGAGCGAAGCACGCCCAATTCGGCTCACAGCACGAGGTTGGTCAGGTCTTCAGATTCCACCGAGACACCTTTACATTCGCGCCGATATCTCTACCTTACCTTTCTCCGCGCCGCTGCTTCGCTTACAGCGCCCCTGAGTCAATCCATTGAGAAGGATCTGTGAATTTCTCTGAGCGCTCGACATACAAGGACGGCCAATGCCATATTGTTGTGGCCAAGGAGCTCTTCCTTAGTGGTGGGAAATCTTGGGGAAAGTCCTCCAGGGCTGTATTCGTGCCCGGATTCTCGAGAATTGTAGACAATGTTTTCGATTGTAACGCCATCTCCAACCCGATCTTCGTGACTTCCCATCGGTGACTGATATGGTTCGGCTGTTGGTTGCATGTTGTTGCAACAGAGTGTCGTTCGTCAGTGATCATGTTTTTAGTCGTGGACACAAGGTACCTTACGTGCCACCCCGCCTCCTATATCGGATCATCATCCATCGCATTAGCTATCATCATCACCTACATCCATCAACGGCTACACCTTGACGGCCGACGCATGCTGTGCCATCTGGATGATTATCCATGTCGCAATTGTTTTCCCCACGGCTCGTCTTTGCGCTGCTGACATCCAGGAAGCACTGAGTACATGTCCAACGCCGCCGCCCGGACATCCTGGAACGCTCTTATCAGGACCCATCATATCACTTCTCGCAWGAAGGTCACCAAGTTACGCCAAGCTGCGAGTAATGACAATGTCTTCGCTCTGCTGCGAAGTGGAGGATCACCTGGCATCATGTATGTTGAGGGAGGAAAAGCTGAAGTAGAGAACTGGGTGGCCGCCGTTCAGGTACGTTGTCGTAGTACTGCGGGCCCGCCGTGCATCAAGACTAGGAGGCTGCCTTGTGCACAGTTCTCCATGATCAATGCTGAGTATTCGCTGCAGAGATTGCGATACAAAGACTTTCAGCTCGCTGCTCGTCCTGCAGCAATTGAAGTTGAAAGCGCCATTAGTACCACTGCCGATCAAACTTCCACTGGGCTGTTCGAGACTGAGTCTGTTAAGGATTTCGCTGCCCAAATGGAAAAGCGCCGTGTCCTGGACTGGTGGAGAAAGGCAATGGGCTACTCCGGTAGTGAGGATCGCTTGTAGCTGCCAAGACTCGAAAAGCCTGCACCTCAATCGATGTCGACGAGGCTGCAGAGATTGCAATTGAAGAAGAAATCTACCCTCGGCGAGATTCAGGACACCCCGGCCACATAACTGGACTCAGCGAAAAGAAGACCGGCAAAAATATGTCGACACCAGGAGCCTGGGAACCAAGCAAAAGCAAAAGTACTACTCACTCACTTAATAGTGAGTGAACATTGTATAGCTCCGAACGGTTTCGATCCGTTGCCCTCCGGGTTATGAGCCCGGCGCGCTTCCGCTGCGCCACGGAGCTTTAATGGTTGTACATTGGTTGTGAGTCTTGCAAAAACGAGACTGAATAAGATCATCTCATTTCGCCGCTGCCGAGATGTGACTCACTGGCTGCAAGGGACTATCAACATTGCGGATCCACTACGCCCCTACAACGGCCAAAACAATCAATTTGTACGGGTTATTTCATACCAGCCCTATGTCGTCGATATCACTGATGTAGAAAGAGACACAAGGGATGTTTGGACCACGACCACTCTTCAATACACGTCACTTCTTCCGGTTAATAGCTGCCAATCTCAGGACCCGAGAGCTGTCTCTTCATTCCAGTCCATATTCTCAATCTGCGTGGGGGTCACCCCAGCGGCTCCATCTGTGCCACATAGCACCATCGAAGACGAATCCGAAGAGCTTGTCTTGTTCCTGAACGCCGCGAGTAGCCGTCCAGTTGTAAGAACTTGGGAGCCGCTCATTTTCCGAATCTAACATCTGCTCCGTTGGATACGAGGAGCCTTGTCCGTTCCACTGGAAGAAGACAGTGTCGATCTTGGACCCAGCAACGAAGCCGTGAGCCCTGTGTACCCCGATGCCGCCTTCCACCTGGAAGAAATCTTGAACAGCTTCCCTCATCCACCAAGCATTCGAGACTCTATCTTGCAAGTAGAGCGCCGGACAGACCGCGAAAGCTTCCACTGGCACTTCTGCAAGCAGCCTCGGCGGGACTTTGGCTTGCAATTGTGCCATGACCATGCGCTTCAGATTGTAACCCATCGCCAAATTCGATGTCCATTCGAATTCGTAACTGTCGAACAGAGGACGACTCATGTCAGGTCCTTGATTCTGGTGTTGCCACGGGGAAGATTGGGAGCTTGAGTACGGTTCTTCGGGTTCGGGTTCGTTCTGTGCAACCATGTGCGCTATGAAGACGGTGTCGTCTTTGAAACGAAGGTATACACACATGCAAGTTCGGCATCCATATGTGCCTACAGCATGGATCTCTTCTTCGCCGATCTTGAATGGCAGCACGTGTATCTCTCCTCTGCTTTGTGCGACGTCGCGATACTTTTGCGGTTTGGACATCTTGGTGCTCTCCAGTTGTTTACCATGAAAGAAGATGGGAGGACTACCTATCTATACCTCCTGGTTTGCTTTCTATTGCCTGCAGGCTCGCTTTAACKATTAAGCAGACAATGAGAGAAGGGGTAGGACAGGGTAGATGGCGAGAGAATCGACGAGCATGCCTCCACATGGATCACGAACTGCCTCGTCAATTGACAGAATATTTCTCCTTACTGCAAATACTCTTGTCACCGAGAGCTGCATGGCTCTGGGAGCATCAACTCTAACATCTGAACAAGCTCGGATATGGCACTTCTGATTGGGCAGAAAGCTCTGCACAGCTCAAGCTCCTTGTCCGTGAATCGATGAAGGTATATAGTCCATGTCGATAAGCAATATCCAGCAGTGTCAATAGTAACGTCGACGTGATGTAGATGTAAGTGTGAAGACTGTCGGCGTTTCGATAATCTTTGCAAGTCTATTCCTCGCCGCCAAGCCGATCGGTACGAGCCTACGAGGTTGATACGAGTGGACCTCTCCTGCCGATTGATGGGCTTTTGAAGTCATTCGACCTCACGACACACCACCGTCAACCCTCCGCTCCACCCAAATCATGTCTTCCGCCGTTCTGGCTCGCGTTGCGCGAGCAAGTCTGTACAACACTCAGGCCTGCCGTGTGCGCCCGGTGCGCGCCCTCCAGATCGCGCAGCTCAAGCCGGCCACCRCGGCCTTTTCCTCCGCCAGCAGGAGAATGGCGGGCGACCCCGATCCGCACGACCCACACCACGAGGAGAGCTTCGAGGAGTTCAGCGCGAGGTAGGTTTCCGCCCGCGCGCCCTGTTCCGAGGACCGCAATGGCTCCGGGCAGCAAGGTGCTCAAACTGCCTCACTCCGCCGATCACGACATGGCGGATCCCGGACACGACCATGACCTGACACGTGCTGACCCACAATCCACCATGCAGGTACGAGAAGGAGTTTGAGCAGGTGCAGGACGTGTTCGAGCTGCAGCGCAACCTCAACAACGCTTTTGCCTACGATTTGGTCCCTTCACCTTCCGTCATCATCGCCGCACTTCGGGCTGCCCGCCGAGTGAACGACTTCCCCACCGCTGTCCGAGTATTTGAGGGTAGGCAGGATATATACCGGGGATACGGAGAGCCATTGTGACTAATGCTGTACACAGGTATCAAGGCCAAGGTTGAGAACAAGGGTCAATATGATGAGTACGTCAGGGAGCTGGAGCCAATCCGGGAAGAGCTTGGAATCAACTTGAAGGAGAACTTGTACCCGGATGAGTCGTAGGGCGACTATCTGAACAAATGAGTGCATGTGTCTGATAGAAGATGTGGGAGGTAAAGGGAAGCGAGGTTGTTGGGAAAAGTAACAAAGGTGTATACGGCAGAGCAATGGAGATGGATGTGATGTGCTCTGCCATGCTACAATAGTCACTCAGCATATGTACAGGCTCTCCTTTTTGTCGACGTTCCTCGCTATTTCTGGAGAGCAGCGTGGGAGGCAGATAATGGTCATGCTGCCTTGATCCCATACTGACCTGAGCAGACGAAGTGACGACAAAATAGAGAAAGGAAGAAGGTTGGAGTATGTCTTCAGCAAACGACCACTGGACGAATCAGCGCTTCCGCACGTCTGCATTTTCAACATTACAGGTGGATAACGGCTGTCTACCTATAACTGGTGACACAAGCGCGAGCTCTTCCGCCAATACTTCAGGCCCTCTTGCAGCTTCTCAATCGATGCTCTCTGAGCGCTTGACCAAATGCTCGCCTGAGGCCTCCTTTGTCGCCAGCACTTCCACTCCCGAAGCCGCAGAGCCTGCCCCAAGCATTACCATTGCTTTTGCTGCGCCTCTGGGAAGAGGATCTGCTCCCGAATCCATATTGTCACCCAGAATCTCCTCAATCCGTAACCATGGAGCAGTCCGGAGGTACGTGGAGAATCTCGTGCTATATGGCGCGGAGTTGGCGGCAATCGCAGCAAATCCCAGAAACAAGATCGACGCTGTCGCGAGAAGTCCAATACCATACGCTAGCCAAAGATGCCACGCAGTATACTTGTAGACGTTGACTGCGCTCCAGTGCAGAACTGGCACAGTTACATTCGATGAGGTCGCGGGATTGCTCATCATTGCTACTGTCATGTTCCGGAAGAGTTCTTCCAGCTGTCGAGCCAGCGGAGGACCGTCGCGCGCAGAGGCAAAAGGAGTGTCGTGGACCCGCGGTGAATCCTCATGCTTCGCAAAAGCCCGAAGTTCTGGAGAAGTACTGAGCCTGGTACTGAAGATTCCAGGAAAAGGAACAGGAGTGTTGTCCATCGCACCTCCATCGGTGTACACCTCATTCGTTGCCTCGCTTGCACCGTTGACGGTACCAACGACTGTCTGGCCTATCATCGCCATCATCGCGAAGCAATTGTAGATCCTATTGCCTGACGGCTCATTCACAACTGGAGACCCTGGGCCATCGGGCATTGGGATGTATTCGGTCGCCAGTCCGAGGTCAGATGTGTCGCTGGTCTTGACGTCTATCATCTGATCATTCTCTAAAGTACGGACGGTAACTTCGTACGTAGAGTTGCGAAGCTGACAGGATGTAGCCGTCCATTCTTGTCGAGGGTCATCGGAGTCTGGAGCGGAGTCCGAAATTGAAGTGCGAGCGACTACAAAAAGTTGCGGTGGTTGTACGCCGAACATTGACGTTCGAAAGCTCGCTATTGAATCGCACGCAACGGTATAGCCTTCGCTGGACGTTTCCAATGGAAGGGATGCATTGAGATCGAAGAAGTCGTGGAACTCCGGACCGCCATCCTGAGCAAAAGACAGGTATGAGATGAACGACATTTCAGCGCGAGCGCAGTACACGTGGTGCGTTTTGACTTGCTTGGTGGAACACTCCAAGATGGGTCCGGAGAACGTCGTGCTGTACGTAGAATTGATTTCGGCTGTCTGTATTCGGGGGATAGCGCCTGTAGAGGCGGTMACAATACCCAAAGCTCCAGCAGAGCCTCTCAGCTCTGCTGAAAAGGTGAGATTTGTGGTTTGGCCAGGCTCCAGATTTACTCCGCTGAAACCCACGCTGCGACTGTAGTTGCCTGAGATGAGAGCAAGATTAAAGTCCATACTGGGGACTGAAGCGGATGAACTGGAGTTTGCCAGAGCCGAGACGACTGATAATGTTCCAGGAGGAAAAACAGTGATGATGGATAGGCACCATGCGGCTACAGCCAATGTGACTAGGAGAGGAAATTCGCGCAGTAGCCTCCAGTCGTCAAGAGCAGATGGCATCGTTACCAGACAGGTGAGTGAATCGATGTGAGAGACGCGCAGCTTCTGGCCTAGCAGCCGTTTCCAAAGGATTTGAGAGTATGCCAATGCTACGGCGGCGGAGAGAGATATCTTGGTGAGCGTTGTGAGGGCTGTGCCGATGTAGATATTCTGATTCTGGTTGTAGGTCTGTTGGTCGACTCGCTGCCCACGCAGACTTTCATAGAAGCAATGATGGCCCACTGCTGCTGAAGCTGCGATCGTGAAGCACACTAGCATGAGGAACCGTGAGTCTTGAGTCCGCGTGATGAAAGAGGACATGTTGAAGGGCATCTTCAGCGGAGCTCCTCAGCGAGCACGCTCTTGAAGCGGGTAGTGATAGAAATGGGCAGATTTGCGGTGATATCTTTTTGGTCGTGTTGTCGTTATGAAAGAAAACACAGCGCTCCTGATTGAGCAGGGCAGCAACCTTTAACTCCTTCATTGGCCCTCCAATGTAGAGCCCGTAGGAGGCTCGATAGCACTGATGAGAAGGCCGCGGTCTCGCGCTAAAATGTGCGGCTGAGGTGCGATCCTAAAGTATGCAATCCTTTGCAGCTTTACTCACCTAGGGCTGTGGGGAAACCAAGTATAGCCTCTAGATTCGCACACTATGGTGACTAGTGGCTTCCCGCTTCCTTCGAAAGAGTATCAAACAATTGAATGAAGAAGATCGGCCTTTCGTATGCTGTCAGACCGTCAGATGCCGTGCTGTGTTCCTTTGAAGTGCAACGTAGAAGTGACTTGTGCTTAGATTTGCCCTGAACTTCAATCTGACGATGAAATTTAAGATAAGTTAAGTCTAATGAAAACCGCCATATACCATACCTTTGTCCTTCTTTGTCGGACTTGTTTTCTGAAGGATCGCGGGTGAGTCTCTACATGGTCGCTACATTTCTGTGGGTATATCAATCGTGACGGTAAGGTAGCTACTGGTAAATGAATGGCACATATTACCATGCACCCAATAGCCTTAWTTGCTTCCAACGGTCCTGAAATGTTTCGTTCTTATCATTGAGGGAACACCGTGTAGACTGAGCCCTTGATAGCGTAAAGTACAGTACCAGGAGTAAAAAGCAACCGAAATTTAGCGAGCGACTAGGTAGGAACCATGCGAGAGATCCAAGTCACATGACCCGCCCACCAACAACCTTCTCGCGGCTCCTCAGGATTTGGTCACAACCACAATCATAATCGAAAGACCATCATGTCCGCAATGTTCGAGAGGATGAATAGTGTCGACACTTGCAATTGTCATGCAGCGCCCATACTATCACCAACCAAGAACACGCAAGAGTACGAGTAAAAGACGCGGCTCCTGCAGCTTTGCCACCTTCACCGAATTCCCTTCAACATGCCACAGCCTCTGCACAGTGCACGATATTCCAAATGCACTTGCCTTCGACATCAGGGCCTATCAATAAAAACCTCACAGTACTAGACATGATAGCAGCTTTCTTGGATCCCGCGACGCGCGGTTCGCACCAACCGTCGACTTGGCAAGCATGGGCACAGCCTCACAGGGAAGCAGGAATTCTACCGCCTACAATGTACTCGCGTTCTGTGGCGCTGTTGAGACAACTTTCGTCACGACCCTTATAGGCATCCGAATTTGCACACATGGCATTCGCTACTACTCAGTACTAAAGGTACAATACTATCACGCATCCCAGAAAACTTTCTTCACATCATCCCACTATCTCGCTGTTCTACGTACCACTTTCTTGGCCCTACAACGCAAATCCGCAAATTCCCCTATTCGTTATTGTTTTCTTATAAGATTCAAGTTGTCCATCATGACAGACCACAGCGAAAAGTCCCAAGAAGCGATTCAGGAGGCAGAAAAGCCATCAATACCGCCACCCGCGTATCAAGAGACCGCCACTACCTACATCGAGGAGGACAACTTCCACGCAGTTGACGCACCAGACGCCATGTCTCAAGATACCATGGCTCCACCAGCGGGCCCAAGCAAAGCAGTACACGAGGAAGCTCAAGACACAGATCGGCCGAATATGCCGGACAGAACCTCATCAATACTGAAGGGCAAAGGCCGTGCTTACTCGCCCTCTCCAGTGGTGGATACTCCCGATCAGATCGTATCGCATGATGAGAAGGTAGAAGAAGGATCAATCATTCCGCAAACATCGCCATCAGCAGAAGAAGAGAAACGAGCTCTTCAAGTCCATTTTGCCGAGCCACAAGAAGAGGAGGCAGCACCAGTACTGCCGGCGCGACCATCTGACATCCGAGTCTCGGAATCTTTCTCGCACGAGATCATACACTCAGATCCTGTATTGTCAAACTTTCCACTCGAAGCAGCGGGAGCTTTGCCACTCCGATATGTATTTGCATGGAGTCGCCCCTTGCTCGAATCTCCAACATTGGAGATCAGACCGGCGGACAACGCAACGATTCCATCATCATCTCCAGCTGTACCACCTACTAGACTTTGGAGATTGAACTACGACAAGAAGTACCATGCTCGGCTCCATCGATACACATCCACTCCGCAAGATTACAACAGCAAGGCACAGCTTGGCGACTTCCCCTACCGTCAGATTGCAGAAATCAAGTTCCCGGAGTTCATAATCCCTGGAATAGGCTGCGGAGCGATGGTCAAATTTGACATGCACGAAGAAGAGCTCGCACGTCTCGGGAGCTATGCCACTGCCCGCGGGAAGAAGCCCATGCCTCGAGTGCAGAAGTTTATGCAGTGCGAAGGCTGGCTTACAACCTCTTACACTATGGAAGTTCCTGTTCTTGACCACCTTCAGGCCAGTTGGAGAACTGTCCCTCGTCCGAAGGGAACCAATCCTGGTTCGGGCTTGGAGAACGCGAAGGAGACCGCCATTGTTGAACGTAAGACCACCGACATGGAAAAGGAGGCTAAAAAGCAGAACATTGCGCTTGTGACAATCAGCGATATGGTTGCGATGGCGAAACGCACCCTCCATGACGAGACTTGGACTCCCTATGCACCTCAACAACTGGTAGTGGAATCCGATGGACGGGTCATAGCGACTTACCAGCGTGCTTCGCCATTCGCTAAACATGCTGGCGTTCTTACCATTCACAATCAAGAGTTGAGCCATGTCAGCTGTGTGCCTGAGTTTATTGAGGGTATCGTTATTGCAACAACTACTATGGTGGGCATGCAAGACCGCATTGGGCTGGCCTCAAGCTTGATGGAAGCTGCCAGTACTAGCGGGAAGTGGTCTCAAGGGCAATGGATGAGAGTGCAAAGAGAATGGAAAGATCGCAARGCAAGGCGACAATCAGTAGGAACTCATCCTTATGGAAATACTGCAGCACGTCAGCAACCAAGCCGAGACTCCGAGGAGGTCGGGTCGGAGGCTTTCGACGACGGACTTGAAGGAGCAATCGGTGTTGAGGAGAGAGAGGCTGCGAGAAGAGAACAGCTGGCCTGGGATGAAAATCTGAAGGCTAGATCGGCAGATGATGATGGCCTTGGCGATGTACTCAGTGCCGAAGAAAGAGAAGCAGCGAGAAGAGAGCATCTAGCTTGGGAGGAGTGGAGTAGAACAAATGCTCTGTCGGATCTGCCAGGGACAGAGCCAAGGGATCAGGCAGCGGGGTGGCAAGAGAAGAACCAAGATCATCTGCGCTTGAGGACAATCTACGCTTGATAAGCGATTCGTAGGAATTATCTTCTGATCATGTATTTTAGTAGTAGAATTAGGAGTACGGCGTCATGTCTATCTTCGAGTCTGGCTTGGTGAGGTCCCAACCCTGCATCAATCATCCCATTTCCAGCACGCGACTTTCAACGAGAAGACAAGGAGGCAGTGCATGCAGTGGCACTCCTATCATCCCGAAGCTGGCGTTCCACATTGAGTGATCCATGACGGCTATTGTACGTTGCATATGCGTGCGTTGTGATCATACAACCATTCCTGATACGCAAGTATGACGACTTCTCGCAGGGATTGATTGCTACCGCTTGTAGCAAGCATAGATATATATGCCACTCTTTTGTTGCCTTCCATCGCCCTAAAAGCCGTAAATAAACAATCCACAACTTCACAAACACCCACCAAATACGATCAATATGCAAAACGATAAGGGCCAAGGTGTATCGCACGCCACCGATTCGTCGGTACCGCAGACATTGCAGGAGAAGGTATCGACCACTTCAAACAAACCTCATTCAACAGATACTCATCTTTCAATAGGTCCCCAAGGGTGTAGAGGAGAAGATCCCCGACGCTGCACACAATACTGGCAGCAACCCACAAACTGGCAAAGTCTCGCACGCCACTGGTGACTCCAAGGTCCCACAAGTCCTGCAAGAGGGACTGCCCGAGAAAATTGAGAAGGTGGTGCCAAACAAGATCCACGATACCAAGGGAGCGGTGTTCAGCGATGGCAGTGTTGGCAAATAGGGGGTTGTGTTTGTAATTGTGGAATTCGATCGCCAGATTTCTTCCCAATGATGGATGTTTGTTCAAGTGAGTCAGTAGGATCAGTCCTGACATCCGGCCCGCTGGCAACTCTTACCAGCCGCTCAAATATGAGTCCCTGCCATGTTTGCCAGTGACACCAACGATGATGTTCTTGCTGAGATGGAGTGGCCAGGAAATGAATCAGGTGGGGAACAAACCTGTGAGGGTTACAAACTTGACAAAAGCCCGCCTATAAGACGTACGCAGGATTTGTTCGTCCATGTGCCGTAATCTCTCATTCCAAACGTTCAACATGCTCACATTGGAGATCTCCCTCGAGTCTCTGATGGTTGTCATCCTTTTTGCTGTACTTGCCGCCTTAGGCATCCAGTCTGGAGCTTTTCACTACCGAGAATACCTCAATGATCCATCCGACCACGACGGGATCCCCGCATGGAGCTGGCAGCGCGATTCCTCTGGAGCTCACCGTCACGGTACTCGGCTCAAGAAAGAACAGTCCGAAATTCAGCAGCTTCTCGAACGGATGCCCTTGCGTGGAAGCGGGGACGTTTGGGATGCAGGAGAACGTGTATCACGACAAGTCCATCATCCTCGGCAGCGATATCGAGGCCCGCATCAGCAGTTCAACGATTTCTCGCTAGACATGCACGGCAACTTTCAGGATCTGACTCAGGCGCAACAGTACAATTCAATGCAGAACGAGCTATACGGCAAGAATCGTGGGAGGCAGGCCAATTACCACATTCCATCGGCGCGTGCATTCCACTCGGATTCTGGCACCAATACGGACCGAGGACTCCAGACTGGTCATGCAAGCATGATAGAGACCGAGAGCGCGGATGGAATCGTACAGACACAAGATCAGCAAGAACCGGATCGTCCGGAAACGAGTGTGTTGGAGCCCCAGGCTTCGCTGGTCGTTGAAGCAGTCTCCAATTTGCCAAAGCGTTACAGTGCATCAGCGTAGAAGAGGAAGGCTGAGGAGCTTCAATATCGTGGAGAACATGCTGTCAGTAAACAAACAAATTCAATGCTCTGCTTCAGGGGTTCATATCATCTCGWGGTGAGGCTGTGGTTCATGTGCAAGTCTTCGGCTCCATCGGTCTCGTATTCGCCGTTTGTGATGGACCTTCCATGATTAGACTCAACAGGCAGCGTGTAGTCACAGAAACCCGCTTGTCCTCTTGCAGCGCGGAATGTGAAATCATGAGTCTTGGTAATGATGTTGTGGAGAAGAGAAGGCAGGTCACCTAGGAGCGAGGAGGCGGGCAAGAGGCAAGAGGTCTTGGCACTAATCCTCGTACTTTGATCCCAGCGCCCGAGTTCATTACCACACTACCATCTCATCACGATGCGCCAGATCTGCTGCGTGTCGAGCGTGTGTTGTTAGACGATGGCGCTCACCCCATGCTTTCAAGGCCTCCGCGGTAAAGAGCTGAGTAGTAAGCAGGCTGCAGGCAGCCGTGAGTATATACCACTACTTCCGTTCTCTATCTCTCTGAGTACGCCTCTCATTATTTTCGTATCATGGCGTTAGCAACCCGCAGCAGCACATCGAAAGGAGCCGGCTCTTCCAAATTCATCTCGCGTCGGGCAGACGCCTCCGACGAACAGAACTTACGCCTACGAACAGACGCCTCGAAAACATGGGCCACCAACACAACCTTTCAGCCTTCATCTAGGAGCTCAGCCCCAGACGAGCCACCTCGATTCATCATCGATCTTTCTCTTCCGCCAGAACAAAGATACACCGAGGTGTGTCAAGCATTCAAAAAGGAGGTCCAGAACCTCCCGCCTCTTTTCGATGAGGTCGTTGGAGCTTCCAAGTGGATACATCGTCTAGCTTGGTTGTTTCTAGGAGGACTTTACGACAAGGAAGAGACCAGGGAGCTGAAAGGGATCAGCCAGGCGACCGGAGTGCAAATGTACCTCTTCGTCTGCTTCAACGTCCTGCTGGACTTGCTCATGGGCTGCTCAAGTGGTGGTGCAGCAGTGCGGAATGAAGAGCAAGGCTTTGGAATAAAGATGGTTCATTTCAGAACTCTGGATTGGGGAATGCCTTCACTGAGAAAGGTCGTCGTACAGCTGGACTTTACAACAGAAACGAATGGCCCGATTGTTGCCTCTAGCATAACGTACGCTGGGTATGTCGGTGCTTTGACAGGCGTGAGGAAGGACTTTAGCATGAGTCTCAACTTCAGACCGAGAAGGAATGACAAGTACAAGTTCTGGCCTGATGTCAAGTACTACTTGCACTTATTACTGGTGCTACTGGGCTGGAGGCGGAGCATATCTAGCGAATTGAGACAATTCCTCCTGCCGAAGCGAGTCGGGAATCGTTTAGACTGGTGGCGCTACGCCGACGTATTACTCAAGGTGGGCGGTAAGCACGGCGCTGGTAGATTGAGGAGCACARCTTGCTACCTTTGTTTCAGTGATGGGAAGGAGACGACTGTTGTGGAAAAGGATCTTACCACTGCGGTACTCAGGTCGAACAACGACTTTATTGTCATCACGAATAGCGATGTGGAGATGAATGGAGGTATTGCAGAGGAGGGAGGAGACGCCTCATCCCACGCCGGAGCACTGGCTGAGCTTGTGCACGATGCCATCGACAGGCGGCAATGTGCTGAGCACAATTACACTAATATGAGAGTTCTGAAGGGTGMGAAGCCGCCTTCCAATGGACGCGAGGAATGGAGGACGGTATTGGAGGTGGACGACATCGTGCAGCTTTGTCAAAAGTTTCCCACGACGAACGAATGCACGCATTATGCCTGCGTGATGGATCCTTTGCAAGGCAGAGTGACGTGGTGCAGGAGGTGGATGAAACCTGTTTCTGCCAAATGGATCAGGGAGCATCAAAGTCATGCCCGGTAGAAAGTATCTAGATGGCAAGGAGATGAAAGCAAACGCCTTTCCATGATCAAACACGTCAATGGCAGCATCCCTCGCATGCGTAACACCCAAAATGCAGGTCCAGCGTCACCTGCAACCCTGCCACTGGCTGGCCGGGTCCATCTCCAATGTGGTTCCTAGATTGGTGCTAGTACGCGTGGAATTGATTCGAGATCCGCCTCTCTCACGAGAGTCTCGCGCTGAGTCGTGTCGACGCGCTGCATTAGCTCCGACGGATCCTGTGCCCGTGCGGCCGTGCTCCATCGGTTCCCAACTCGCTTTTGCACTCTTCTTCGACTCTCGAGAGCACTCCATCACCCTCGTTCAACATCCAAAAGAGTCCTCAGTTCAGCCTGACGTGTGTGTTGTGTGTTGTTGACCTTCACCCAGCGAAGCTTCAGAACAGACGGGCAACCTGGTCAAGATTACCCCAACAATCAACAATAACAAGCCAGCTCCCACTCCCACGCTATTGAGAGAATCCGACATTTCACCATGACCACACACGCTCCCCGCGTGCCGTTTGCACCCCTCGACAACCCCCGTCTGCAGCACTTAGCCAACGCGAAGAATCKCCAGAATGGTACGACTGACGCGTGAGAGGTGTCGGCAAGTGCATTGTATTGACATGGCGATGAATTAGGCGCCCTCGCACCAAAGTCAACATCAACCCTCCACAGCAAATCCAGCATCGTAAAAAGCGTGTCGTCGTCGAACAAGCGTGCTTTCGAGGACTCCGCCTTTGACGAATTCGACAGTGAGAATGTCGACCCTTCCAAATTTGATTCGCCCACCAAGAAGAGCAAAAATGGTGCTTGCGAGGAGCCATTCACGTTCGCCCTGACCTCTACCAAATCAATGCCGCCGCCTTCGGCATTTCCTTCACGATTCTCCACACCTGTCAAACCCAGCACCTCCACTACACGTTCTCCCATGACAGCACCCGCCGGACGGTCCCCAAAGAGAAAGATTGCTGGAATTAGCAAGAATCGTCGTGTATCTGCTCCCTTTTCGCGCATTGACCCGCCGTTTGCTTCGCGGTCGACATCCACTCTGCCATTCAGTCTCGATGCCGTGCTGGGTGGATCTGTACCGGCTGCAACACCCAGTGCAGGTGCCACAATTCAAGAAACCATGCCCAAGAATTGGATCTTTGAGATTTACGAAGATACTCCCGAGGAGGAGGCCGCCAATCTGATGGAGCACAGCACGCTTACATTGGACCTCAGCTCGGATGATGAAGATGGGAGGAAAGACAGCAATCGCGGGAAGGAGAACACGCCGCCAGAGGGGTATGACGCTCCTACCGCTTCACGTTCTGCCGTCGAACCTAGTCCTACCGCCCCGCAGAGAGTCAAGAAGACTGAGCTCATTCGGAGGAAGGCCGATGTCGATGAGATGGACGATGGAGAGCGTTCGCCATTGTCAGACCTTGAGACGGAGCATTTCATTCCAGAGGGTCTTGACAAGGACTCTCACGTTGTCATTGAGGAGAGTGCTGAGAAGCCGAGTGGAGTGAAAGAGTTCACAGCGCCGGCGCCATTTCCACAGGCGGAAAAGAAGGCTGAAGTACCATTACCTGAAGAGAAAGCATCACCAGCTGTGAAGGATGAGAAGAAGGAAGAAGTCGTCGTCTGGGAAGACAAGGAACATGTTGCTGCTTGAATGATGTTATGCTTGCTTGGTTGCGGCGTTTGCTGGGTCTCAGTACTGGCCTGGGAGGAATGATATGCGTTTATGATGGTGATGGCTACAGTATGCTGTGTTCGAGATTGCGTTGCGGTGCTTTGATGGGTAATTGCGAAAGCGGGGTAAATCAAGTTGCCCGAATCCACAATGTCGAAATTCTGAATTGAACTGAGTTGATCAACCGTTCGTTCACTATGCTCGTGAGATCTTTATATTATTCTGGGTTGATATTGTCATTGTGGAGCGCAACCATGCATGTTCTGCAATAATCGAGACTCATGCCAAGTGCGGCGTTCCGGCGGGACATGAGACCCCTTTTCCGATACAGGCTCGCCTGAACGCTCCCATGGACGACMCTGGCCTCTCAGACAACATTACAAGGCCTGTAAAGTATTGAGTAGGCGCAGAAGAGATGGAAGTCAAGGCGGGTGGCGCCAGGAATACCGCTGGGGTGGTTGGCAAGGGAATGTCTTTGTGGGGGGAAGGAAGATCGGCGCTGCCAAGCCTACTTAGCACATAGAATTTTTATCGATCTTGCCTTCGGGCATTTGGTCAATTTGAAACAATACAGAGAAGATTAGCATGGCCCCTGCACTAAGGATGACACAGTGAGTTTCTTCCCGATTCAGCGCAACTCAATCAATGCTAACCACCTTTGCAGTGCAAACGTAAGTGAATCGAATACCCCGACAGATGATCAGTATACTGACTATCCAACCAGAAAGTTGAGCTTGAAATTTTTTTTTATAGTAGTATAGTAGTAGAGCTCTTTGTTTTTTGGAGCACTATGTTTTCTGGAGCTCTATGATTTTTGGAGCCCTATGTTTTTTGGAGAATGTGTGGGGAGATGAACTCGTGGAGGGAGTGGAGTTCGAGCATGTCATAGTGGAAGACAGAAATCAGCCCACGTACGGAGCTCAACTACATACACAGCAACACAAGGCACTCGGTCCTGAATTCCTCAACCCAGGCAAGCTCGGCGCATGCCTCGTGCCAGAGATTGGTGGTAGGCTGTTGGAGAAGAATAATCTAGCCTACTCCAGAACAACATCTGGGACCGCCGCAAACTCTTGACAGTCGCATCGGGATTGTCCAGGTTCGAGAAAATCTCAAAGGCACAGCGACCATCTGCTACACAGTACGTTCGATGGAAACCTCATTGCATCCGAAAAGCCAATATTGGCCGTCTACGCTAGAGAATCTGGCTCACATCAAATTGTGTGCCGTTTGTGATGCTCTTGTAAACGGAAAGCTCATCGATAATCCATATTTACTCTAAAGGTTTCTTGAGCTGTATTCCAGAGCAGCTGCTGCCTCCTCAGACCCAATTCCCTGTTTGCTAACAGGATACCAATTAACATTTTTTCAAGACCAACGACATTTTATGCGACGATCCCTTCGACCTTGCTGTTGTTTAGACGCGGATACTAACACTTTTCCATTCGGAGCTATCATCATCCGGTACGAAATTCACCGAGAAGAGCAGTCAATCTCAATCTCGCCATCTCATCATGGGACACTCCAGACAAGAGTCCTCGGTGCATGAAAGCCTAGCCCGTTCCGATGATTACGGGCGCAAATTCAGCACTTACATCTTCATCATTGATGAAAGAAGATCCGAGCAGCAGATTCCACCACACCAAAGTCCATCAAGCATCGCGCCGCAGAGCAAACCGCCAACGAGAACACCAGCTCGCTCCTCAAACGTGCGACACTTTGTGGGCGTCGCAACAATCCCTCAATTGCCGGGATTGCTACCTCATCGGCGGCATGAGAGTCATGAAAAGAAGGCGTAATTTCGCAATCTCACCTACGAGCGACAGTTCTGCCTCGACTCACCCGGCGTGCGGTAAAAAAGTCTTCCAAGCCTCAAGCCACGAAAATAGCGTGAGAGAGACACTCAAGAGGCATCAGCATAACGTGTGCAAGGGGAGYTGGCTTTTCGCGGAGTTGGCGAGTTTTGCCTGATCAAGGCAAGGCTGCCGCTCTCTTGATCAGGCATTGATCAGATCAGACACTGGTCAACTGCACGAGAAGTCAACTCCCCTTGCACACGTCACATGCAAGCAACAACGACAGGCTGCGCAATTCGAGCATCACGGCTGATCTCAGCAGCCACCGCATGGGTATGGCTCCCTTCGTTCCATCTTTGGCGACAGTAGGACGCAAACTTTGGAGCGTGGAGATACAGCGATGCTAACATCGCTGAAGATCGTCACAGAGGAGCGCGACGCATGCCAGCAGTTGCTGTGGGCACGAACGAAAGTCCGAAGAGGTACCTCTCCAGAGAAGTTCAAATATGTACGCCGTTGGTGACAATGGGACTCTGCATGTTAGTGACAATATGTTAGTGACAATGTGGAAGATTAGCGATCCGAGTGATGCAAGGACGTCCTTACAGAGGCATCTCTTCGAACCATCCCTGCGGAGCTATACTCCTTCGGCGACAATGATTTCCTGGTTTTAGCTGCGGACCTCCTGACAAGGTTGATATCGTGCAAGCGAACAGCTCATGTCGATCGATCCAGACACACAGTGCGCCATTATCTCGTGCCCGCTTTTCTCGAGATCCAAAAACATAGCCATCGAATATCGGCCCGCCATCCGCAGGGCACTTCCGCACCACGGCCGGTATCCCAAAAAAGATACCGGCTCCTTCGATATTCTTCCGCTAATTCAGACACCGACATCGTACGCATCATCTCCTTCGGCCTCCAGTCCTAGGATCTGTTACAGCGCGCTCGCTACTGAGCATAGTTTCACGACGCATCGAGCGACGAGCCATCCCYCTTGCGTCCTGTCCGGTCTTTCTGCAGAGGCTTTCCACTGCTGTTTTAGTCGGATATTTTCCTTCGATGGTAGTCCAGCTCAATGGAAATCACCGWCGAAGAGCTCCGCGTGGGGCTCGCAATGCTCCAACAAATACACCATGACCGCATCCACGACGAAGTCCTATGCGTTACTCCCGGAACCACCACCATCAACCAGACATGCAAGCCACTAGTCCAGCTATCCATCAATCATGCGATTCGCGAGAAAGCTGCAAGCGCCTACTACAGCGGTTCACGTATCTGGACGTTCACGGCTGTATTCGGTCATTTCGTCTTACGAGTTTGGCCACAATCAGCCGTGCTTTGCGCACACGATGCGAACCAACTGAAGAGCGACTTCACTCTTCTGCACGTGAGAGTGGTGTGCATTTCAGCAGAATTTAACGGTGCTCGCATACATTGTGGCGTGGCCCGTGAACCTCGTCCCCTTTAACGCTGGAATGTCGTATCCTCTTGATTCACAAGCTCGTCCAGGATCAACTGTGCTCGCACAGATACAGCTCAACCTTTGAAAGGTATTTCTCTTTCGCTCGAAGATAGCATTTTCCTGCTTTCTTCTTGCTTCACAAGTTCGACCGGAAACAAAGGTGCTCGTGCATTTGAAGGTTGTATTCCTTGTTCGCTTGAGGATCGCACCCCTTTAATTTTCCAGTCTAGCAACATCGACCATGCTCCTGCCAAATACAGAACCACGGGCAGAGGATTCTCTCTCCTTCGCTTGAGGATGGCATTCTCCTGCTTTGCGAGCACGGCAGCGATCGACTGCTGCACATTCCAGAGGTATCTTCCACATCATCTCCAACGGAAGAAAATAACGACCTTGCTTTCCAGATTCTGGAGGCTGAACTCAAGACGGACCGAACTTCACGCAGTCACGATGAAGCACCAACCGAGCATACAATCKGGAAGAACCCTCCATTCGAACATACGCTCGAACGAAAGCCTCATGGCATCATCGCGTTGTGTGACTACGCAGCTTGTGGTGATCACTTCAAGGGTGAACAGTGCATCGACATACCGTGCAAGCACTGTCATTGTGATGGTCTCTCAATGCACGCTCGCCAACCGAGAAGGGTCGTCCCATGCATAATACCGTGCTCATCAGGTGGCCTGGTGAGAGGATATCCGCGATATTGTGAATGTCAACTCACATGTGAATTTGATGCCAAACAGGAGGAGCTGGACGACAACATTCCATTGCACTGCCACGACAGGCGATACTTTGATAACATCGAGGCTGATACTGAAGACCACGGCAAACCAATCTGCCATGAAAATCCTCGATTGTGCATACCTTCGGTTTCTTCTGCTCCTCATACGTCCCGAGGTCGTCGCTCAAAGAGCCGCTCAGCCGAGTCAGGGAAAAATTCAAACTGGAGATGCGAACGAGGTTTACTTGCTTGTGTAACTTGATGTAGTCTTGTGGTGACTTGCTCGCCTAGTTTTGGTGATGGTGGGGGCTATTGATGTGGGAGATGCTTCGGTGTTTCGCTACGAGATTAACTTGGTTGTGGCGAGGTGTTTTTCCTGTCCTGACGGAGACCGCTCGACATACGCACCTTTGGATGCGATTTGCCGCAGAATGTCGTGGTGTGGTAGAGACTGCTCGAAACACTGTCTCGCGTGGCTTTGGTTGTGGCACTTGCGAAAATCACGATACTCGATGTCTCCGCTGGTATGTGATTCATTGCTGACTAMGGCACACCGTATCGAGGGAGAGCTCGGAGACGATGCATTTTGGTCGGGCAGTACCTTGCAATCAGCGAGAGCAATAAGGTACCTAGCGACCTCGCCATTCAAATGTTGCGGGAAAGATCTCAAAATCGGTGGCAATGGCTCGCGTGATTGGGGAGAGGAATGCTTCCAAGGCAAATACGCATCTCGAGGAAAGCCGGCTTGAATGCGGTCGGTGGGTTCAGTTCGATGGACTCCTCACCCTTATTTCTCCCGCATGGGACCGAAGTGTCGTCGCCATGGGTTGAGATCCGAAGCATCGCCGGCAAGAACTGTCAGCCAGTTTCCGTTCGTGTGAAACCTCTCAAAAGATGTTCGTGAATTCGAAACATCATTCCTGAGTTACGTACTCAGCAATTACGCCAGCTCGCGTCGCTTRGCTTCGGCGGTGGTCAATATCTTGTTCGTTGGGAGGGTACAGCACAGTATCAATCACACAGTCGATTGGATGGCTGTTGTATATATCCCCTACGACGTTGGTATCCTCCACTTCACGCTTGTCGTCTTGCTCGGATGTGACAGCTTAGAGCCCGATTTGCATTTGCGCTGCCTCTCCGCGATGGGCGTTTCTGAGTCCTGACCGACCCTTTCATGCGAGCACTGCAGCTTCCAGATTGAAAATCCGTGCTATCGACACAGGACTCGTAAACGTCCTCCCAGCGTCCATGTCCTTTTCTCACAACGTTTGGCCGTATGGATTGAATTCCGATTTGATGCGATTTGGATTGCTTTGAAGGCAGTGCCCACAGCGGTCAGCTTGCGCTGCTTTTTCAAGCCATGCTTTTCCAAGCCACGCCCCTGCCTTTCGACGCGCTCAAACAGCCTGGTTTATCTTGGGGTGTTGGAGAAATGCATGCGAGCGCTGCGCTTCGTTCCCGCGTTACATCTCTCCACACCTACGCCCTCTTGTACGCCCTCATGTGCTCGAGCTCGGAGTGTCTCCAGATATTCGCAGTGCTGCGGTTCCTCTTGTCGTGCTTCAAGGTCCAGTCTTCGTTCATCGTATGCTTAATCGAGATCGATGCTTTAGTCGTTGTTCGTCGTCTTTTTGGTCGGGCTACCAACAACTACGGGGGAAGCAGACGCTGTGAGGAAGCTGACGCCGCTTTCCTCGTGTTCTACGGGGAATGAGGCTTCATGGCTTGGTGCCATCGAGATATTCAAGCCATGCTGAGACGAGGTCGTCGCTCGCAGAGCAAGTCTGCGTAGTATGCCAAAGGGCAAATCGAAACAGCCTTGGTGGCGCGGTTGAAGAGGTAGCACAGGTGATGCGTGAACTGCTCTATCTGGTCAGCCTCGAAGGAAATGTCGTCCTTGATAACCACGTAGTAGGCTGGACGTGCGGTTCCTTAGGGGCCTTAGTAGGCCTGGAGGTAGAATTCGCGCAGGATCTTGTGGGTAATTCCACGGTCGACGACGGTGCCTAGAACTGGGTTCCAAGAGCCCTTGTCGCGTTGAGAGTTGTAATCAGCGTCCTCTGGCTTAGTCGGGTAAAACCGAGTAAGTGTGGTGACGCTTGCCGACGATAATAATGGCGATCTCGGGGTGCTTCGCCTTTAGCATGTTGCTAGCGTAGAGCCGCGCCGACTCATCCTCTCTTGCTCCGTGTTGTGTAGTCATGTCGAATTCCTCAACATCACGGAATGACACTTCCTTCCCACCAAACCTGATCAATATGTGGCTGTGCCAGCTGATTTCTCTTCAAAGCAATGTCCACCAAGAGTGAAGCAATCGAGACGCTGTGGCTAGAAGTGGCCCGGCATGATTTTTCGACGACAGAAAGAGGCTTCGATGACGGATGGTGTTGATGCTGGCGTTGGTGGCGAGGGCCGATTAACTCTGGTTTGTGTGTTGGGATTCTCTTGAAACTTCTTGCCGAATGTCCCAGATAGCGAAGGGCTGGAAAAGGCTTGTTGGGAATACATCTGCCGCACCGTCGCAAATTTGCTAAATGCGGCTGCGCGCCTCAAGAGTCCCATCATCAGTTTTGAAGGCTCTTCGCTATTACCAGGCTCGTGGTCGTGTTGCCATTGCCATGTTGGGAATGCCGAGAAATGGCCATAATCGCTGCGATGTCCTCAGATTGAAGTCATTGCTCACGGCAGGTGCGGAATCCCCATTCCGCTGAATCGTCTTCTCTCCGGTCTCGATAAACGTTGACTGTTGAAACCGTCTTCAAAAGCAATCTTCGTAGCCGCCACGTTTTCACTCGTGTCACTTTCAGCTCCGCTTTCACCTTTGTCGAGGGGCACCCAAGTTTTTCATAACTGACCACTAGGGTTAGGGTTTGGGTAACGCTCGTGCCTGCTATCGCTCCACCGGGGAGTACCAGACCACAGATTACTGTTGTTATGTATATAAAGTATATGCTCGGCGAGTTACCAAGTCGTTGCCTGAATGTTGGAAATAATGTGACCCTTTCGCTTCCAAGCTTCTCGTTTTGATCATTTCCATAATGCAGACTCTGAAAAGCATCAACCTAGCTCCTCAACCCAATATTCCAGACACGGGCCGCCTCCGACAATCGTTTCGCAATTCGAAGGTGGAAGGGACAACTGGTGGATCACAATTGCAATGACCACCTTGCAGGACCATCAGACGTGCGAGGTGACACAGCGACGATGCATAAGGAAGCATAGGCTCTGCCCCACACAAATACAGCTGACGGCGAGAGAGCTTTGTAGTTTCCACGTGGTAATGCGTGCAAACGCTGATGAGATTTAACGTCAAGCCTACATTACTGTGCACCGCCAATCGAAGCCGTCGAGCCAGTATAGACAGATTCGAGTTCAATTTCCTCGAGCGCTCTGTGCCTTACGACATACAAGCATGATAAGACCGACACCCATCTTTGAAAGCGAGGACCACGCGTTCAGCACGCGTTCAGGGAGCTCCTCTTCACGATCAGCCGTCGAATTCACCTGGGTCTGACACCCGCATGCAGACGAAAGCCCTTGTGAACAATTACGATGTCAGCCCCATCGTCGACTGCAAAGCATCGCCTTAATTGCTCAACTCAGACAATGAAATCGCCAGCGGCGAGTACAGAACATCAAAGACAGCGAGGCAAAAGAACATCGGCCAGCAACGAGCCCTGAATCAACACGAGGTAGAGGATGTTAGGGCAAGAGCAAGGATCAAAACATCTACGRTCACATTCAGAACGAGCTAGAACAAGACACCCGCTCGAAGGAATCACAAGACACGTTCGTGATGGGGTGTCCTCTTGATGTGAAGATCAGAGATGCAATCTACTTTCGAATATACCTGATCGTAAGGCCTAGCACCTTTCTCGAGAACGTCTCAACCTTCTCGAAACAGGATCAGAACCGGCCTCGCATTATCGGGAGCTCAGCGTGGTCCGCAGACGAAAGCCTGATAATACTTACCATACAGCAGCCTTGAGTCTCCACCTTCTAGATACATTGAGCGCAGACCGCCTGGATGCAGACTGCATCATTTTGATGATCAACGGCGTACACACACCCCAACCAAGGGCTACCGGGGACGACTGGAGAAAGAGCCACTGCGAGCCCGGAAATAAACGCACTAGTGCAACACGCGTATGGCTCCTCCTGCTATGGTGTAAGTACGAGTCGGCAAAATGCGATTGTCGGCAAGGGAGAGCCATGCAAGAACGAGACTCCAAAAGACAACGTGGACACTCTACCACAGAGTGTGGCTCCGCCTGCCATCATGCAACCGCCAGAGGCATTTCCTCACACATCTCCAGCGGTCGAGACCTACACCCGTAGAAGCAGTCAGCTGGACTACTGAAGACCCACATGCGTCGAGCTCGACCATATATAACGCCCCGGAAGCTCCAGAAAGTCCGCCACAACGATGGACAGCTTCAGGCCTGTACCCTTCCTTTCGGATGTTCGACATAGGAACGCCAATTGCCGATTTGGCATATCGCTATACATTGAGCTGGAACCGACGGTATAGCTAGAGCCGAGGACGGAGCTGGACATTCTGCAGTCGAGGCAGGTGGAGTACTCCACTATCATTCGATGGTATAGCCCAGGTGTCGGCGGTATGAACCTGATCATTTATCTGAGGATCTTCCCCTCCCAACTTACCATCTCTCTCTCTCTCTCTCTCTCTCTCTCTTCAAAGTCAAGATCATGCATGTCAACATTCTCATTCCATGCTTCGCAATCAAAGATTTCCCCACCTAAGAAACGGGAAACATTCCCTCGTAGTTGCAGATGCCCATGACCAACAGACTGCCTGAATCCTTTAAAAGGTGGCCGTGCCAACAGGCGTGTAGCAGAAACATTTTTAGACCGGCCCTCCTCTTCGGTGCATGCCGATTAGTTGCTTCTTGTTCAATCCAAATCATCCAACAACGCTTGTTCTATGTGTGCCTACATGGACGTGTTCAACCCTTACTTTTTTTGTGACCGAAACATTGACACTAGCATTGTCTTGCTCCGTCCTTGCCTTTTCCTATCCTTTTGCTGAGAATGGTGGAAATATACTACCGTGTGCATGGGAAAGACTCATTATCATTGGAGACTGGTATTTCCATGGACCACGGGGCCTTGATTCGTCCTCACGGCCAGGTCAGCGCGTCGAGAGATATCACAAAGTGCCATTCGACCTTCTCTTTTTTCACTGTCCAGGTCTGTGCTGGAGATACAGAGACGACGTCACTTGGACTGGGATACACCTCATCTTTATCACTGAGACACTGTCGAAAGCACGGTGTGGGAAGATCTCGATTGTGCTTTTGACGGCTCTGGTCGTCGACTGTCCAACTCAAATCCGTTCATACCAGATACGTTCCGTAGCCTGTCGTGGAGCATGCACTTCTCGATAAGGTAGGCTTGATCTGCATGGCATTACACCACAGGTCACGCAATCTCGTTGTGGGGGAGAATCGTCTGAGATTCGTTCGTCCAAGAAGCCCCCAACATTAAAAAATCCTTAGCGCCCTTCTTGCAGCGCTGCTTGTCGCACTTTCTGCTGGTGCTCTTGCCACCACGCGCGTCCATGATAGAGTCGTCTTCGCCCTCTGCCGCTCTATTGGCATTTGTACCACCCGCATTCCGCCCAACTCTGTTGACGGCTGTTGGCGTACTGCTGGAACTCCCAAATGAAATGAGCTCTTCGTCGCCACTGTCGTTGTGCTCCTCGTTAGCACCCTCCTTCCACCTCTCTTGTCGCCAGGTTTGCGCTTGGAAATCCACATCCCCCGCTTGTCTTGCCTCGTCTTGATTGCCTCCTGCCTCTCAATTCCATCCCCTTCATCACTGTTATACTCGGAATTCCCGTCACAGTCATCCTCATCATCTTCAGCATCCTCAGCCTCATCATCTTCAGCATCCTCATCCTCAGCATCTTCGAGCTCATGGGCCGTTGGGACCAGCCGGCAGATCGCAAAAGGCGTGCGATTTTTCGATGAAATCGTAGTCGTCACGCTGGGCAGCAGGGACAACGAGGTCGTTCCAAACAGCGACGACCAGCGTCCAATGCGAGAAATTGGCAAGTTTAGTTGYAAGTTGAATTAGCAAGTTGGCACTCTCCTCGTGGTCCTTGACGTTAGTGATGAGTTTATGCGGTCCATACGTGCGTGCAACGTGGAATGCTGGGTTGGGACGACCGTCGACAACCTACCTTCTCACAAGCTAGTCATACTGGACGCAGAGCCCATATCCGTCACCGACAGCTGCGCAAGTTTGATGGCCAGCTGGAGAAACGATAGTGGATCCGCTCCTGCTTTTGCGCTCTTTGACGCCATTCTTATTCCGCTGGTAAATGGCCACCATTTCTTGCTCCTCCTCTTCGGTCGCTCCTCCTCCTCGAGAATCGCCGCACGCAACAATGTGTGGTCATCTACAACCCGGATGCAAGTGAGCAGAGCAAAGTCGCCAAAGTAGTGCTTAGCAGGTTCGGTTGTGCGGAGTTCCTGATCGAATTGGCGCCCGGATCGTCTCCATAAGGCCTAGAGGTCTGTGGCTTGCTCGTGTGTTATTATGCTGCTCTGTACATCGCTCGCGGTTCAGTGAGGACTTTGACGTTTCAGGATGGAAAGTGCTTGGCTGCTATCGCTGAGTGTCCAGGTGGATAGCATGGGCGTTGATTGACGGTTTGGAGGAGACGAAAGTTGCAAGGTTGCGCTTGGACAGTGCGACGCCTAAGTTAGTTCTACATTGATTGCTTTGCTGTAAAATCACACTGCGCCGAAGAATATTTCTAGTTCTAGCCCCGGCTTTAACACAAATTCCAAAAAGTCTCTCAATCCGAACCTCACCGCTTTCACCATCTTCACTCCGACCTACCTACCTACACACAGGAAACCCATTACCACCAATCCCCAATCCGACGAACACTAGCAAGTATGAGCTAGAGTAGCGGTGGAAACCAGCCCAAATACTGCTTGAGGGCGGTGTCGACAGGAGAGGAATGCTCCGAATAAAGATGACCCCTTCCAGAGGCCGTGGTGTTGCCAGTGATCTGTCTACCCGTGTATATTGGAGGGACCGATTGTCATCCGATGAAATTGGAGATGAAATACGGGCTGTACGCGGCGCATGCGTGAAAGCCACTGCGCTTGAAGAGACTCTCCACAACGTAAGGTACTTGTATTTCGTCGTATGCCTCTTGTTATTCACGACCATCACACACGAAATCTTTCTCCCCGCGCCTCAAAGGCAAGTGCCACCTCTTACTCCTTCACCCTTTCACTTTTCTCACCCATACTGCGAAATCTCAGACTCTTAACATCCTCTACTACCTGCTTCCACAAGACTTCCTTTACTACATGAGAAAATCCCCAGTTCTTCCCTGGAATCCATACACAATATCCACCTCGCGCGACTGCAATGAACGTTAGTTGGCTTCTCCCAGTCGGATTCGCATCGTGGTCACCGCGCCTCAAGGCGGGCTCCTCTACTATTAACTAGCTTTCACATCAATTGCCTATGCATGTATACTTCACCGTACGAACACATAGCCTATCAAAGACGAATATAAGGGAATCGATATCAGAGGCGAGTTTCCGAAATGTGAGTCGATGGTTTGCGAGTGGCAACAGACAGCTCATTGATATGTTATTATACAGACCATGTGCCAACGCCACGAGCGATACCGGTGACGCCTTTATACCTCCAATGACTCTGCTCGCGACACGAGAGTCCGAGGTGCAATGGTCCCAACACCGATCGCGGCAAAGAAGCCAGGAGACCCACCACTCCGCATGCCTGTGGCAACTAACCCAGACCCCTGCGGTCGCTCAGATCTTTCTATCTGGATGTAGCGAACTCGAACCTTGGTGCTTCTCTGCGTGGTCAAGAAGATGGTCTCCATCGTACAGCCCTCCTCTCCCAGCATTTGCTCCACAAGCCTTTGAAGACTGTGGCATCTACCGCGGCGGAGAGTGGAGATCCAGTAGTAATTGACTCGCATAACGGCGGAGGTGCCGCCTTGGTATATGTGCTCAACGAAGACGAAGACCGGAATGGACATCGACATCGTGGAGCCCATTGTACTAGTTGCCCGTGCAAGCTCTACTCATATCCCGATTACCCAGCGCACAATTCAAAAGGCTGGGACAGCGGCTTCCGAATTAGTCACTCACAGCGAACAACTTACAGCCGCTGCTACTTCACAGGTCGAGACATTATGCGACTTTACTCCTAAGCGAATTCTGAGCCAAGTGACTGCATCTGCTGGACTTTTAGACCAATTCGTGTAACTTKAGGGAGCCAGGCTCAATGTGCAACAAGCAGATGCCATGGACCAAGATCCAGGCTCCACGCAGCTTCCTGTTTTGAAGCCTACGGAGCATGTGAACGTCCTGCAATACAACACATATGAGGGTATGGAAACCGCAGGTGCTGCCGGTAACCTATCTCGGCATTAGCCCGACAATCGCGTGCAGGCTGCGAAACAAACAGGCCTTGTGTATGCTGCCACAACGTCTTTGCGGTCGCTTCCACCAAAGAAAAACTTCGCGCACGCCTGGGATCTAGCTGTTCCAGTGCTAAAGGAAGCCCCGCTGTCAGCCGCTGCGTATGGCAACACTAAAGCGGTGCTCGAGGATGGGACTATCTTACAGATGGATGAAGAATTGGCAGCGAAGGTGAGCATTATGGTCAAGGATATGCTTATGCACATCTGCATGCAGAACGATCTTAAGATTCACCACACCAAGTTCAAAGACAATCCACTTCACGAAATCGATATCGCCGCAATGTTGAAGACTGAAACCACTAGGAAGCCTTCAGATCCGTTGGATGCCATGAGCGTTTCGATGCGCAAGTCACTAACATTCGCCATCTGATAACAGAGCAAGTTGGGCTGAGATCGAAGACTAAATCTGTATCATCCTATTTTGGCGATATCATCACTGCTCACGCTCACGAACTGGTCTCACTCCAGGGCCGGATAGCTGTCACCGATCGCCAAGACAAGACTGCATTGGACCAGGTCAACTGGGCAGACCACACCGGGCTCAGCGATGCAAGAGCGGGCGAGCGCATGCGCCGATAGAGAACACTTTCATGGCTGCTCGATAACGGCGGAGTTGTCCTTGACCCCTCCCGCACCCCCAAGATCAACAAAATGATGTCAAAAGTCTCTAGCCGCAGCACTTGGCTCTCGCTCAGCGCATCTCTCTACATCCCGCAATCGAACGGAAGCAGAAGTATGTGATGGCATGCGAAAATCATCGTGGGTTATCTGAAACTTCAAACGAACTTCGTCACCCAGACTTGGATCGTATGCCAGCTGTGTGTGGCAGGTGGCTCACCTTGCAGGATGCCGATGGGTTTCAAAACTTGGTCAGCTGCCCCCAGGCACGAAACAATCTCTCAGCGACCGGAGCTTACTACGACTATAGCTAGATGTGCTTCGGTACCGATGCCAACGCCATGCCGTTTACGGCTCTCTTTAAGATCAGTGAACAAGACAAGGACACGAATGCAATCACATTATGGAGGTGTGTATCCACGATCGACACACGATGGAGCACATTCTACGGCTTCATGCCTCATGTCATGTCCTTTGCGGGCCACGCCTCGCTAGACCACCTACTCCATATCTACGCCTGCTATGAACAAGTCAATCGTGATGCAGGTACTTATGGATATACAAAGCCGCATCTCACCAAGTCTCCGACGTTCCAAGTCAATGTGGCCATCAACGACTATCGGCTTTTGCAGCGCGCGGTTAGAAAGGATTCGTCGGCAAGTGGAAAAGTGCTGGGAGATCCCCTTGCATCTTTCCAGCACTCCTACGAATCCCATCAAAATGACCTACTCCAGTGCACTTTAGCCGCTGCCAAAGCGTCCATTCTTACTGCCAGAACCAAGAGCTCCCTTAAAGAGCCGAAGTAGATACTTTCTACTCTGGAATCAAGCGGAGCTACTATGTATTAGCAGAAGCACCTATGCAGGCTGGTAGAGGTCTGGACATATCAAGCGAGTTTGGGCACTTCGCGGCCATCATTCAACTTCTTCACAACATCTACCATTTACGACGACTTTTCACACGTAGTCGGGGGGTACCCGGTCTCGTACCCTTTACGGAGACTGCAGAAGAGAACCAGCGCACATCAATGCTCCGAAATGCCGCCCGATCTTTGGAGGTGTTGTTCAGGGCTACGCAAAAGAGCGCAGGGATCCACCCGTCGCAAGTGAGGTCATATTCGAAGTATCGCAGCAGCTACACAAGCTCGGCTGTGAACAGCAATAACGATGTGCACCTGGAATACAACTGGCTGCATAATGTGTTGCTCGAAGTCGTCCTTAACAGCACCATTCTTGAGTAACGATCCAAGTCCCCGTATGTACAGCGTATAAAGACAAGGAGCCTCGAGATGGCAGAAAAGGCCGCAGGTGCGCTCGCTGCGCAGATGGATAGAAAACAAGGAACGTTCATATCGAGCCTTTTCGGTATGACTACTAGTGTCGTTCTTCGTGGACCAAAATGCGCAAAGGACTCCTATGGTCTGGCGAAAGAGCGAAAGTATTCGATTGCTTTGGAGTTGACAGTATTGCTGGACGAGAGCAGAGGCAACATGCCCCTCGATGCCGCCATTCAGAAGTGCTACAGGACCAGCCCTGGATCGCAGTCGCATGTGCAACGAAATAACAAAACAAGGTGCTCGCCGTTATGCGAGGGAACGGAGTTGGTGCAGATAACAGATCTAGTTATTGCTCTATGGTACTTGCTCGTTCATCTGGCTCGTCAAGAGCGTGGCATTGCAAAAGTTCAACTTGACATGTTGACCGTCAATCTGATACCGTGTTCATCTAGCCCGGAGAACAAGTCATACCTCCACAACATCATCGTAACTGTGGAGGAGGACCACGGTCATTGAGCTAATGGTACGGATGAGACCGACTCTGTCTACCTTGTCTCCCTTGTCTCCCTTGTCTCCCTTGTCTCCCTTGTCTCCCTTGTCTCCCTTGTCTCCCTTGTCTCCCTTGTCTNCCTTGTCTCCCTTGTCTCCCTTGTCTCCCTTGTCTCCCTTGTCTCCCTTGTCTCCCTTGTCTCCCTTGTCTCCCTTGTCTGCCTCGTCTGCCTCGTCTGCCTCGTCTGCTTTGCCTTGCGCGAGCAGGACCATAAATGGTATCTGTTTCACAGCAGCGTTGATGGACCATACAAGCCCGTCGAGATTGATGTAAGTATACATGCCCCTCAAAAACCCTCTTCGTCTTCCCACCAACATGACAACAGCATCATCGAAGCAACGTGCAAATGTTGTTGTTGCACAGGAAACGGTCCAATTGAGGCTTAATAGATAAACTCCTCAAGTCCTGTGGTCTTTGACTACATTGTCAAATATAATATCATAGCACAAGTACACCAGCTTTCCATCACCTCGCAATCTCCTTGAGAAGTGCGTTTGATACCCATTCAGATGCTGTCCGGTGGCTTAGCAAACCAATAAGATCCGATCTCATCGTCGGGAACGTAAACACTCTCGAGACYAAATTCAAAGCACGGTGCATCGCCAAAGCCGTGAGGGCAACGGATCCGCCGTGTGTTGTTCTTGTCTGGAAACTTGTACCTGGCCGTCAATGAGAGAGCTGGATGAAAGTAATGCCTCCAACCCGTGAAAGGCCTATACTAGCAGTACATGTTCCACTGGGGGACGCTAGCATACATCACATAGAGGCTGCTGCAAATGACGACGATCGGAACCCCGTTAGTTGGCCGAAGCGAGGATATTCCAACAAACATCGACGCAACCCGACTACCGCTTTAGTGAATGGTAAGGTAGGATGAGATCAATTGTGGGCAAGAACTCCACATCTAGAACCTCGAATTGCATGCAATACAAGGAGTGGATTCCAGCCCGGAATGCGAGACCCACGCCTACATGGGAGTCTTACTTATGCAGCAGACTTTGCTTGTTTGGACAGAATCGATTGGTATTGATCTTGCTTGCGCCCTCAGCACATCCTCTTGGTGTTCTTGGATTGGARGTTTCGCCTGCCTTCGGTACTGCTCGCTAATGCCGCGTATGTTCTGAAGGTATACTTCCATGGCGTGACACCTGCGTCCGATTGGCTTGTTCAGCGCAGCCGTATCAAACGGTCCTATCTCGTCTTCTCTCCTAGTCAGAGTTGCATGTCCCACGTGCATGGCCACCGGAAGTCCATTCGTTGTTGCAGTGTATCTTCGTTGTTGCAGTGTATCTTCGTTGTTGCAGTGTATCTTCGTTGTTGCAGTGTATCTTCGTTGTTGCAGTGTATCNGTGTATCTTCGTTGTTGCAGTGTATCTTCGTTGTTGCAGTGTATCTTCGTTGTTGCAGTGTATCTTCGTTGTTGCAGTGTATCTTCGTTGTTGCAATGTATCTGGCCTGCCATCCATCATGGTGTTCCGTTATCCTTCAGCCAGACTGCCAGCGCATGTATCATGTTCCCCTCGGTCAGCCCTCTTAGTTCCCAGCTGTGCATCCAGCTCAGCCGATACATCTCAACTCTGCTGCTCGTCTTGGTGCTTCAGATCAAACGAGTTGATTGTTCCCATTTCTTCTTTTGTGTCTCGTTGACCTTTGGAGGCTGCTAAGAGGCTTGAACTCTGTCTGTTTCGGGTCGGGCTCCAAAACGWTTTTGGCTTCGGTCATCTCGTTGGACTGGTTGATTATGGAACGAATGACCTTAGCTTGATGGCCTCGGCATGATGGTCCATTCCAAAGCTGGGTGGATTATGAAGTTTTCGTGGTTCGGATCTGATGGATGTGTTTTGATGGGAGAGCTTGAAGCAATCCGAGCTGTAGGTTGACGCTGTCGCATAGTGCATTCGGTTGTTACACAGATGCGGGTGGGCATTGCAGCTCACGGTGATACAGACCCAATCGAAAGAAGGCCCCATCGGCACGCTTCCACCACCATCTGCAAGCGGGAACATAATCACATACAGACAACAGGCCTACGCTCACATAGGTATTCAAAGTCTCGCTTGGTGAAGCCGATGCCGCGAGTGGAGAATCTATGGGTCCACAAGTCTCCTCTTGAGGTGAAGTATCAAGAAACGGAGCGAATAATGCGGCATCTGGGCCGAGTCGGGTCGTGGTAAGAATGCGCCTCGAAAAGTGAAGGGCTTTGCATTGACCGACTCACTTAATGATTCAAGGTTTGCCGATTGTCATGTTGGACACCCGACTCAAATGGAACTGCGTATCCTACATGGCGACATGGCGAACAACCATGGCCATTGCTCGCACTTGGCAATTGGGATAGTCGGCTTCGACTTGGACTTCAATGGATGCTTCTGCGCCGAAATTACATCACAGCTAATGCCATAAAGGTATGATGGTGAGTCATGGTGTTGCCTGTGTCTAGAGCACACTCTGCATTCGCGAGGGCAATTTGGTCAAGCTCATTGCTTCCATGCGATATCACAACAATTTTTCGTAAAGTCAAGGCGTCCATGCAAATGCCAACCGACGCACACTCTATCCTATCTCGGCGCTTTCCAAGAGGACATATACGCACACATCCGTTCCTACCTGACAGGAGCCCCTACTACTCTTTCTGCCTGGAGCGACGTATTTGTGGGCGTTGTCGTCAATTGATGGCAATGGSAGCCAGCGAGCTTCAGTTCTCGGTGCCTTGCATGGGAGACCCACCACGGGCGGCAAGTGCTGGAAATCCTTCTACGAGATCATGATCGGACGGGACCTGGAATCAACAAGGAATCAAATGTCGAAGACAGGACGTATCTTGTCTTAACGAGGAAGAGGATATCGATCCCTACCAAGATTTTGAGGCCGAGGAATACCATAACTATGGCTTCTACGTTCAACGTCGTGGGCTTACTACCGAGGATGCACAGATGGGCTTTCCGATTAAGAACCGGGAGTGGTTTCCATGCAGACAAATCTTCAGAAACTGTGGGGAGGCAAACGCTGCCGCCACGGCGGAGCTCCTCACTGGAAAACGAGATATACGATCCGGTTTCATAGCGCTGCTGTCTATGCCCAATCTGATGATATATATATACGAAGTACAACCGCTTTTTCGATTGATATACAATCAGGGGTAAAATGAGATCCCCCGGCCCTCATCGCAATCCTGGTTCTTCTACTGCAACGGCCAACCCCGCCTGCCCCAGCAAGTCTGTGAACGATGACTCTGCTCTGCATGTTGTTAGGACGACACGCAGCCGTAATGATCTGAGATGAAATACCTCCAATGTCCTGGCGTGTCGGAGTAGAGTCACCTTCCTTTCTCCGCTCACGTTCTGAAGCTCGACGGTCTTTCCATGTTCTTCGGGAAATTCTATTGTCTCGAGCATCATTGGCGAAGCCCTTTCTCAGCGAAAACCCCAGTACTTCAGAGGTGTGTTKGAAGCCATCAAATCCTCTGGAAAGCCATCAAATACTGTCAAAGCCATCAAATATTGTCAAAGCCATCAATTCAGACGACTAATCCAGGCTGCTTTGCCGAGCTGATGGAAAGGGGCTTCGACTCCCGTGGTCCAGCTGACCACAGGATCATATTATCGATCGGTGGTGCAATAAAGTCCCTAGCCAGCTTATTTCCCAACACGCGGTCGTCTGCTGTAGCATTATTTGAAGCTGTCGATGTCAGACGACCACGCAATAACAGCATTCGTCGCCCAGGCAGACGCGAATTATCGTTTCGTGTTGATGTAGGATGTTTGTGACCTTAGCGGTGCAATACAAGGTTCATCCGGCGGACAAAACGAGGAGATGTGGGATAGTTCATGGCCTGTGACCAAAAAGTGCGATGGCCATACTAAAAAGCTTGAGATGCCTCCGACCGCTAATATTGGAAGTAACCTTCGCGCGGACTGTAACAGTTTTGAGGAGCAGGTGTAAAGCATGGAAAAGACAGAGCGGTGTGACAATAGCTTAAGTTCATAAATTCAGTGCCCGGACGAGAAGTGACGCCAGTGATTGCAAATACTTGATGTTGATTGTAATGTTCGCAGTACTAAAAGCTATCCCTTCGAAACGGACCGAACAGAGCCCAGCCTCCTACTTATCTACGGCCCTTCCGACCATTCTTGTTTGATTTGGCACCTAGTGACTCCACTCCTTCAAGGTGCTTCAAACATCTCGCTCCTGATCCTGCTTCCGACACGAGATTCTCGATACACACTGCGGTCTCCCTCAGTACGTCCTTTAGTCGTCTGCCGGGTATCGGAGGACGGTTCCCCTTGGCGATGACGTCCAGCAGCTGAGAGAAGCGGCTCGGGAATGATGTGCCATTGGACCTCAAGTGAGGATCGTTCCTAGGAACGACATCATCGAGGAATTTGGTGCACCGCAGGGAAAATCGGAACAAATCGATGTCAAGATAGGCAACCTCCCGCTCGACACAGTGAACATATGCGACCAAGCAATCAGCGATAGACAGCTCTTGTCCTTTGTTGATCTTATTCATAATATACACATCCTTTATTAGCCGACTATCCCAAACGGCGTCGGGATTCCTCGCCATAATAGCTAAGAAGGCTGTTCCTATGCCCTCGTAAATCGTTAGGGCATCAAACCTCATAGTATTGTCTCCAGCCTTCTCGGCATCTGCCAGCTTACGCATAAGATTGGACCAATATGCCAGCGCCGCTCCCGGATCACGAGGCGGAGAAGGTTGTTGAAACAWGTTTGTTTTCCCGCTACGCAGGCTTTGACTGAGGATTGCCCGGTCCATCTCTGGCCATGGCACCTCCAAAATGACCATCTCTCGGGTAGCAGAGTATGCAGCGGCTGCACATAGTCCCTTTGATCCACGGTTGAACCACCCCGTACGCGCATGAGCCGAGTCCGTCTCTTGTATGATCGAAAGGTGCTTAACAGTCAGCCAAGTGGAGACACTAGCGAGGATGCTAGACACTAGCACGTCGCTCAAGTCAGGGAGTCGTAAACAACCTCAATACCCAGCCATTATCTGATGTGTTCGGCTAGGTGAACATCTAAACAGATAACCTGCAGTCGGGAAAGTGCAGGCTATACAAATTAGTAGCGGGTTCGTCTTCATATAAATGAGGCAGGAATTTAGCTACAGAGAGCTTTGCATTCTTGTAGAGCACACGAACTTCGTCGATTGAGGTCGTCCTTAAGTTACAATATCGATAGTAGGCCGAGATAGCAGCCTGTAGGTGGAGAGACATGATTTCGTGGATATCAACCAGCACAGCAGCCTTGCAGCATGTCTCGTTGGACGGAGGCGAGTTATGTGACTGAATTATATGCATGAGCATCTGGGTGCCGGCATCGAGGAGACGGCCGTGTTGGAGGGTCCTAGAAAGGACGATCAACTCCGGAAGTACGAATGTCAAGCTGTCCGCGAGCGATTCGCCTGCTGGACACAAAGCCGGCGATGCTCTCCTTAGTCGTGGCGATCCGGATAGCGCGGAAAAGATGCGATCGATGAGTGCATGGCGATCGAGACAGAGCATGTTGCGCTTGCTTATGTCGTCTAGGACCAGGAAGCCGAGTACTTGATATCGAGTCCCTTCGCAACCAATGTCAGCGGGCCCACTAACTGGGGATTCAGCCATATCGAACAGGGCGGCGACGGCGGCAAGCGCAGTATTAGTAACAGTATGTGCAACTGCAAAGGATACGTGACCATCGCGTGCTCTACGCTAGATAGGCCGCACGATGCGTATTTGGATATCGTCTGCCTCCCGCATAACTACATCGACGCGTCGAAGCTACGGTAATGTCTGACCGTCGAAGATAGAGAGAGTCGGCAGATTAGCAAGATGTACACTGTCATCATTAAGGAAACTCACCGTTAATGTTTCGTCCAGGTCGCTCTGATCCTCACTGCTAGGAGCTAGCTCATCAAACATGTCTTCAGTTGGCAAATAGGTAGGCGACAACTCTTGTGCATTGTCCGTGCGATCTACGCGTTGCTTTCTCTTCATGYGTCGACAGCGTCTTGCCTCAGCCTCACTCAATTGGCGTTTAATGGCGAGGTAAAGGGATTAGTGGTACCCCCGCAGTCTGTACGTGAAATACGCATAGGTGTTATTATCAACATCCCAGGTCGCACTTCGCGTGGAGACGGGCATGTTCTTGTATCGTTTGCTGACCTTGTCGCGACGACCTGAAATGGCGGCTCGCAAGATCACAAGGATCCAAGATTATGTGGTTGGAGCACTCCTAGCTGCGAAAGACAAACTGTACGCCTCGTTAATGCTGAGCTGCTCGCTCCTTGCTAGAGCGGTGTGTTGCATCTTGGGATCTGCACGCTGCTTCCCCGTTTCACATAGCCAGAGAAACACGATAGCGGTGTCGCGCTTCGCGTTTATGTAGTCCTTATCGAATTCCCATTAGAGACCCGCCATAACAGTAGAATACGATCTAAGCGGAYCACAGTTACACTTGGCTGGTCTCGAAGTTACCTTAGTGTTCACCAGAACGTGGCATGCGGCTTTTAGCGCCTTGGCAGACGATCTGCATCCGGCGATTGTCGCCTTGGCAGACGACCTCAGCTGAAGATCTCGAGTATCACTTTATCATTAAACCGTGGTATATTGCAAAGCGAGCAATTTTTGAGCGAGAGACGTACAGTTCAAGCAGACAGTAGCCTCAGTCGGGTGCATGTGATTCATATCGCGAAATCGCGCCCCACCGACACAGGCTCGAGAGACCGGACAAGGACAGCAACGGTTCATGCAGGTGTCCGTGGTTACCAGTTGGTTGGATTGTGTTTCAGCAGTTGGTCCCATTTTTGTAACCTTGATATATGCACCTTCTCTGGAGCGCAGCAAAATGATAGATCATTCGTATTCGTCGCAAGGCTCAAACGTTCCGCCGTTTGCGGCTCAAACAGCTCGATGCTGTCACATGTCGCGGATCTTTTCGCTTCGATGAAGTTCCAGCGTCGTTTGCTCTCGGAGCTGTCGTCATGCCAGCTGGCAAGTGGACCGTGCACACTGCGGCGTGTATAAGAACTTCGAGCTTCTGGCGACTTCTCACCAACTTCATCCACAAACTTGACTCCTGCTCCGGTGTCACTCTTCCGTGCTCCATCCCCCTTCCATCACTTCCATTGCCTACACCGTCTTCACGGCCCCAGCAACTTGGTTTTCCGCATTACCTGCATCACTGGCCGCAATGGCAGAACAAGCTGCAGCCACGGCCGCGCTCGCGCGGGATCAACGCATCGACGGCACACTCGAGCAATTCCTGCTCGCCGCCAATGTCGACCTCTCTCTCTCGTGCCACCCCAACATCGGCTCGGAGGTGTGCAAGGCTACACTTCGCCTGTTCAACGACACGCGGGCGATGCTTCACGTTTTGACCGACGGCGACAAAGTCCTGGACAGCCTCAACATCATGTGCCAGTCAATCGAGATCGGATACTCTGCATACAACACCACCACGATGCAGTTTGAGACTTCAGATCTCACCACTCAGTCCATGATCGAGGAGGCGCACAAGAATGTCGCTGCTGTGAATGATCACATTTGCAAATACTTCGCACATCCAGCCATCGGCAATGGCCCTCCATCAGACAGCGGCGATGGCTCTCTACCAGACAGCTCTCCGCCAGACGCCGGTCATGCTGACGACRACGCCACTCCACCAGACGCGCACCTCGACGACGCCGGCCATGCTGACGACGACGCCACTCCACCAGACGCGCACCTCGACGACGCCGGCCATGCTGACGACGACGCCACTCCACCAGACGCGCACCTCGATGACGCCGGCCATGCTGACGACGACGCCACTCCACCAGACGCGCACCTCGACGACGCCGGCCATGCTGACGACGACGCCACTCCACCAGACGCGGCCCTCGACGACGCCGGCCATGCTGACGACGACGCCACTCCACCAGACGCGCCCCTCGACGACGCCGGCCATGCTGACGACGACGCCACTCAAGCAGTGTCTGTATCAATCGATGAACTTCGCTTCGGTTGCCTCCGCGGCCTGATGAAGAAAGCGACACGCAATCGACCCACTCAAGCAGTGTCTGCATCAATCGATGAACTTCGCTTCGGTTGCCTCCGCGGCCTGATGAAGAAAGCGACACGCAATCAACCCACTCTCATCCCATCCACCATCATCCCCTCAACCACGCCTGAGTCAGGCAACTCCGCTTCCGCCCACTCTCAACCCGAGAGCAGCTCGTCTGCTCCACCCACTCTCCAACAAGACGAGCATGAGGCTTCTTCTAGCCACTCCGCGCCCGAGCCAGGCAACTCCGCTTCTGCGACACCCATGAGCAGAGCTCCGCACTCCAGCACGAAGCATACTCTCGCGACGCGCCAGTTCAAGGTCATGCCTTCGAAGCAAAAGGCTGCTGCTAGCAGCTCGGCGCCCGAGCCAGGCAACTCCGCTTCTGCGACATTCAATAGCAGAGCTCCGTCCTCCGGTCAGAAGAAGCATCTCGCGATGCACCGGCTCAAGTCTTTGAATCCGAAGGCTGCTGCTAGCAGCTCGGCGCCGCCGGCYCCGCATCCGAAGCAGAAGCCCACCAAGGACGACCTGTACACCAGCAACTCGGTGTACCTATACACCGAAGTACACCAGGAACCTTACTCCCCGGCATTCCCCCGCGGCTTCTATCCCGCGAAGTGGGACGGAAGCCGGTTGGTGATTGAAAAGTCCGCCATTATCAGAGGCTCTCAATGGAGCCCAAACTCCGTCTTCGTTCTCGACGGCAAAGACGACGTTACCGCCGGCGAGATGCACCATCTTTCCGCAGGTGGATTCCTGTACGCCCTTGCTGCCCTCGGCCGATACACCGACGAGCAGCCTTTCCACGCGGTCGTCATCCGAAACGTTCCCTACATGACCATTCCCATGGTCAATGCGCTCGTAAAGCAATTGAAGACCAAGATCCTCATCGTCGAGGGATGTGAGGCTATTAACATGATGGACCACATCATGCTCGGTCTCAAATTCAACGCCGTCTGCGATGTGTTTGTTGGCGAGACCACCGCCGATGCTGGAGACCCGCGCCTGAAGAACTGCGACCATCCGCAAGCCTTCTATGGCGACATCTTACGGATCAGTCCGTATCTCGTGTATGTTGGAGACGAGCACGTGTGGATCAATTCCATCGCGGAGAAGATTGCACACGACGCGGCGAMGAAGAGTAACGGCTCCTTCGCCGAGCTGTACCAGTCAGCTCTCCATGCTATCCAGGAGCTGTTCGATGTCATCAAGATGCGACAAGGCTTTGGCGATGGTAGCAAGGAATACGTCGACGACTTTCGGGCGTTCTTCGCCAACCTCTTCAACCGCGGTCTCCTACTTGCTCTAAACAGTCGACCTTGCAATATGCAGACGAAAGAGGCCATCGTATACAGTACGATGGAATGCCACGGTGAGTATCACTGTGGTCCTCTGGACGACGCGGACGAGGACGGGGACAACCGCGCTTGCATAGCTCCCAACAATACCAACTCGATCGGTCTGGTATTCTCGTATGTCAGTGCGAGTGACGACAGAGTTTGCGAGTCATGCAAGCTTACCGAGAAGCGTCAGAAGACGCAGGGCATTAGCCCCGAGTCTGATGTTCACAACAACGCCGAACTGAAGACCGATCTCTTGGACGTGGCGAGGGTCCAGAAGTTGAATAACAGCGACGTGTTCGCTTCCCTGGGTCCACTCCCGAACGATTGCCTTGCAGCCGCTCGGTTCGACCTTTTCTGCCTCCGCCCCGGCTTCCACTACCGCCAGATTGCGGAGATCGTCGGTGGTAGCACCATCAAGCTGACCATTGGCGTCCAGAAGCGAAAGCCCGTCGAGGCCAAGGGCGACTGGATGGATGATCATGAGTACAACTCTCATGTCAAATACTAGGTTTCTGAGGTTTCGAGAGTACGGAGATTGGTCCGATTACGGAGATTACATGGGTCCGATGCGCGAGAATGGAGAATGGAACGTACCAGATAGCAATGCAAATGCCATCATAAAATTGAAGTGATCAAGTAATGTACAACGTATACGTGCAACGTGGTGCTAGTGACAAGAGTCTGGATACTCAAATGACTCCAGCGGCGGTGATGAACTCATATGACCCCAGCGGCGGCGATGAACTCGAATGACTCCAGCGGCGGTAATGAACTCATATGACCCCAGCGGCGGCGATGAACGAGGCTGTTGTGGTTGCTTCTTCTTCTGCCAACAACTACACCGGCCGTACGAAGGTAGAATAACCTTGCGTTTTCTGAATGGAGCCGCAGCGGCTTGAACAGCGTCCGGTACCACTGCATCCCCATCCTCATTCTTATTAGGTATCCTCCATCGAGGGAAACCACCAAGCGGAACGAGCAGTGTTGCGTTGGCAATGGCGACACGAACAGGCCTTCTGAGCCCTCCAGAATTTCACTCAGTCGCACCATTGCTTCTGCAGCTAACACATATGCATTCAGTTCCTCCTCCTCCATCTCCTGCATAACCGCAACACGTGGCTCTGGCTCCTCCACGATTCGGCGCGCTCTCACCTTCCATGTCTTGATACCAGCGACAACTTCCGGCTTGCGCGACACAGAGCGCTGGAATCACCACAACAACAGCAGCAGCAGCAGCGAAATTGACACGGCCACCAACTGCACAACCAAATCACCACGCTTGCATGTTTTCGCCATCGCCAAATATGTGTCTCGGGAGACGGACCACGCATTCGCTACTCCAGGAGCTCACATCCAACGACGAAATACAGTCACGTTGAGAGCAACGCGCACCGGCTCCTCGCGAGGCAAGAGATCTCGAGACAAGAGGCGGAGATGGCGATGGCGATGGGAAGAGACTTGGACAAGAGACACAGGCGATCAAAATTTACAGAGCATATGGGAACCAGGCTTCTTAATTGATTGCACGTCATGGCGCTGTGGGCAGAGGAGAGACCGCCAGTGAGCATGGCGACGTGATCTCAGCGGAGGGGACGTAAGGTGATTTCGCGTCACTACTCCAATCTAGAATGCACCGGCAGACCTGAAGGGCACATGCATGTGTATGCTTGCCGCGACCAGCTCCGGTGTGGAAAAACAACACATGCGATCGGATGCCCGTCAAGAATCGATCTACAACAGATCCACCCACCAGCACGAACACTCGACTCTAAAGGCCTGAAGCAGGGAAGTGGCACTCCTCGTCCTCCCAATACTTGCTGACCAACATTACAGGAAATAAGATCGACGTTTACATTCGATCGTCTTGCGCCGGAGGTCCGTCACGGTCTGCAATTGGTATGTGGGAAATGGCTTTGAAAGACCGGCATGCGCGCACTGCCACATGAACTGAGGCAGATCACTATGCTCGGGAAGAGGCAAAGAAACGAACATGTTCGCTGGCGTTCAGAGAAGGCAGCTTCGGCGGTTCATCAATGAAGACACCATCTCTATCCTCAATTTCAGAAGCCCGGCTCCTCCAGTAGCTGAATCGCACGTCCATTGTTCTCTCTGTCGATATCCAGGCGGCCAGTCCGCATGCACGGTATGTATCTCGCCGCACCCCCAAAAGAAATACAATTGGATGCTGCGGAAGTCTGTTCGGAACAAGACAGACGTGCATACATGATACAGCGGCAAGCTCGTATAAGCAATGGGAACTCGGCGGACTGCGTCAAATGCAGGAAGATTCGAGGACGTGCCAATTTACATGCACTGGAACCAACTGTGCGAGCACCAGAGGCGTCGATTGAATACCCGCCAAATCATGGTTGAGAACGCCGTTGCTGGAGGTGAGTTCGGGTGCTTGGATCAAAGGGTAGCGAAGAACTCCCGTTTCCATATCGAAAAGATTCCATGTAGCATCTCGCTGCGTCTGATGTGCGTGTGGCCGGACAGGTCTGCCGCAAAGCACTTCGGTGATGGGGTCTACTTGCTGGATCGTAGCTGACGGCGAACGGTTTGCATCCAAGATTGTGCTCAATCACCGCTTCACGATCTCGGGACCATCGCACCGACTCTAGTGATCATTACTTTGCTCAGTAGCCCACTCGCTGATCGTGCATAATGCCGACAAATGCAGGTTGAAGTGCTTMTGCTGTGGACGGACACGAACATCATTACCTTACGCTAAGGTATTAGTGAGTTCCCAGTGTTGCCGCCATCAAGGTCAAAACATCCTACACAGACACTACCATTCAGCAGATTGCTTCTGCATCTGCGTCCCTTGGAATGCCGCGAACGAGTACACGCTCTCTCAAGAAATCCAAGCGTTCTTCACCACAGCGAGCTTTATGGTTTCACGAAAGAGATCAGTTCAATTGTCATGGTCTCTTCGAGGGAGATGGGTCCATCCAAGGTTTCACATGCGTTCTACGTCCGATAACGAGCGATCTGAGGGTCAGATGGCCGGCAGCGATGGGAATTAGAATCTGGATCATTCTAATCAGCGCAGACAAGAGAGGCGATTGACACCCACAGGACCCGACGTTTCCCTGGAACACAATAGAGGATTCGCGGCTCCAAAACTGACGCGCAACCGTTGAGCACGTCCAAAAGAGAGAATTGATCTCGAATGTGCTGGTTCTTCCTGCTGGGGAGGGGAAAACATCAGCAGGTCAGGAATAACACGTGCCGACCCAAGGTTTCTCTTTCTTCCGTCCAAGGCCGCACGCTGTATGTGTCCTATCCAGGACATGCACCCAGCCTTCTGGCACTGACAGGTCCGGGTGCAGCACAGCCGTGTATTTCGTCAGAGCCCCAAAGAGTCCTCGCGACTTCCAAATCATGACGGATCACGATCTTCGACCATCATTCCGCCGCGCAGGTTCGTTCATCAACATCGATGTTCCATTTCATTTCCTCCCAACTTCACCATGGCCGCCGACCATGGGCCCGTGGCATTCTGCGCATTCTTGGAATAGTTCGCTAGGCGCCATCAAACACAAACTCTCGCCGCACCTTGGGCGGATTGGATAGTGCACATCGAGATCTTGCCATATCAGATTTTGGCTTGACATGATGATAGAAGGGTTTTCCAATGGAATACCCACGACCACGGCGAAAGTGTGCATTGGAGCAAACCTTTAGCAACCGGTCTACCTGCGGCTCCTCCGTATACGCCACGGTTGAATGCGGCATCACTCCAGTGCGACCTGATTGCCGCCGTCAGATTTTTCAGTTTCTGTGTATCATCCATTATTGAGGTAGGACAGATTCATGACAGGGTCGAAATTCACCGGGCCCAAACCAAGCAGACGTAGTACATCAGTCACAGCAACCTAAAGCCCAACCCGGGAAGCAAGCTCTGCTGCACATCCGACGCTCCGTGGGCTGAGCCACCCAAATTCTGTCGTCAAGTGTCATCTTATGCAATCTTGGTATTCAATAACAGCACGATTGTGGGTTTCATGCGGGCGAAACTGAAGCCTCGGTCCACCCCATCTGGAGTCTGGTCGCGAAAGGATCCAGGTCTCATTGATGGCCGTCTCCTTATTGCAGGCACGGAGCATGCGGCAGGTGGAAGATATCACCTGTCCAATGCATGTATGTATCTGACCGAACAGCGAGCCGTTGGGGCCGCTACCCATCCGCAGATGGCGAGAGTGCCTTTATTCCAGGCCATAGGACACCAACCACAGACGCGGGCGGTGCTTGCCCACTGGAACCGTTGGTACATCCCGACACATGCCCGGAAAGCAGTGTCGGCTCTGCGAGTGAGGATGCTGACCAAGGACAGAGCGATCGTGACAGAACATCATCCAACATTCTGGCAGACGATCGGCGGATCACATAAACTKACCTCGTCTGGATCCTCTGATCATCATTCGTTTCGACTTTGTGCATCCAACATACCATCCTCTCTCCATGGTTCTCCGTCATCTCGCTTTCTCGGATGTCTCTACCCTGTCGCGGCTCAGTTCCACCTGTTCTTCCTACCTCAGCACCCCGTCCTCTATTATGCGCCCTGCCTCTTGTGATCTTCCTCCGTTCACAGCCTGGATACCTTCAAGCAACCTGTKCCTCCCATGTGACGTTTCACCTCTTCGCCGCTAAATGCAAAAGGGCGGTTGAAGTAACGATCGAGTGATCTCTTGATGCAACATGGTTACATCTTCGTTCCACAGCACGGAACTCGAGAGGCTCGCGGGACTAGGTGATACCACCATTTCACGAGCTGAAACATCCAACGGACCATGATAGTATGTGGGGCCTATTGCCGCCACACACAATCCCTCCAGATACTGCGACCTACCAAGCAAGCTGCAAGGCTGCGCGGACGAGCCGGACACAACAAATCCATTATGCACCTGGGCATACCTGTCAGGAAGGGCATGGAAACCGTCAAGACTGTTCAACTTGTATCAATACGCCGCGGGGTGTAGTCATGAATGGAACTCGATGCCCCTCGAAATCATCCTCATCCGAACGCATCCGATTCAGACCTGCTCGATCGCACTGGGTCCCACGTATTGTATCGCTGTTTTCGTCGCATCTTCCTTTCTCCTTATCTTTATTCTGATCTGTATTCACCCCTCCAATATGAAATGTTCATCACAAACTTTCGAGGTGAAGTTACGAGAGAAATTGGCATGCATTTTAATATCACGACATCCCTGTCGCGATATGGCAGCATGTGGATACTTGACGAACCTGCAAACCATGTCTTTCGCTGTATTCTATGCATCGGTAGGCATCGTCTTCGGAGTAGAAAGTTGCCTCAGTGATTTGATCAATAGATTGGGGGCTTTCGAGGCCTGTCAGGGACCGATCGGTTAGTGGAAATTGAGCAGTGCGTCGTACAGTCGCTACATGCACATGGTCATTTCCAACATGATTTACACCTCATCTAAGATGCTATGTCATACTCCTCCTTTCAAGGGACGAGTAAGGTCGCATCTCGTCTTTCCGAACACATCAGAGTAGCCCCATTTCGCAAGGGTAGTCGCGTTGCAAGACGCTACAAATGAGCGCTCTGGCCTAGCGTGCATTCATGTGAATCGAACAAACTGGCATCTTCTTCTTCTGTCCTGTGATGAGCATCTATTTGTAACTGCGCACGTGCATCCGTGTTTGTTGGCTGTTTGTCCGGTCCACAGCCTCGCCTCACTTTCTTACCTAGTAGTCTCCATTCCGGAAACTTCCACTCTTCAACAACCACAGTACTCTCCTCGAGGACTGCTCTCAGTTTGCACACTCCCATGCTTTGCGCGACATACACTGCCTCCTCGATCGCCGACTGGATCAGTCTTTGCGACAGAGAGTCTTTGCCCGCTCCACGGCGGAGAAGCTTTGGAGACCACTCATACAATTCCAAGCCGCGAGCATTGATCGTTGTTCTACGGCCTCACACTCCAACAGCCGCATCTCTCACACCTGTCCGCATTCGACCCATTGCCTCCATTCCAATTGCTTCCTCGATCGAACCGAAGCCGCTGCAGCGCCATTAACAGCATCCACTTCATCGTGCGCATATCCATTTCAAATGGCTTCACTCAGCTGGAACCTGCTCCTCCTGTACTCCGACCGCGTGAAGCACGACACAAAGGTGGTATTCAGTTGGATAAGTAGATATGGTCAGGAGTGCAGCGAAGAACGTATGGCCGCCATGGCAAAAGCCGGACCAAAAAGCATCAATATCGACGATGCATACAAGATCGTCGCCGCCATTGTGCGCAGACCTATCAAGGACCAGTGGATTCTAGTCTTCCTTCGAGACGCTGTCGCMGCCCGGAAACGACTAAGCGAACACTACCTCGCTCTGCCTCTGAAGCAACGAAGTCGGTCCTGGAAATCCGACAACGAGACCCATGCGTATTTTACGTACGTGCTGCAGCAAATACGCCACGTCATCGACCGAGCCATATCCATCCAAGAAGGCGAGGCTGCAGCAAAGCGATGGCGGCGAATGGAGAAGAAACAGAAGAGGCGTCCGGAGGCGGACACTGCGGCCATCTCACTGGATGATGAGCACACAATGGAATCGTTCGAGGAGCGTGTTGGTCCTGCCGACGACGAGAATAGCATGACTGACGAGGTTGTGCTCCGTGACTCTGACGACCCGAGCAACGAACCCGAAGTGGTTTCCCTTCGGGGAGATGGTGGGCAACCTGTTGATCGTGTGATTGACAAGGAGACACAAAGGCTTTGGCGGTATATCCTAGCCTTCATGACTGAGGCCCAGGCGATCAGACAGCGGTTCGTGCGGCCCATGTGGAGGAAAGACTTTGCCAAGACAAGGGACTTTGTTGCTTCAGCCACCACCATCAAGCTCGCCTGTCCTATTGGCATCGGTCTACTCGAACAATTCGACGGACTGTCACAAGAGTATGACTTCTCTGCCTTGGCTGACGAGTTCTGTGGGCCTGAATTACTGGATGGGAGCAGCAAACGTAGTCTGGTTTGCGACGACGGCAGAGCTCTTCTAGAGCAAGTCCAAACACATATCCATGGACCACCGCCCGGGGACGTCGCTCGGGCCGCGCCTTGCCATGCATCCACGACGCTGGCCAACAAACTGATATCCGTGCTTCCGGAGTTGAAAGGTCTGCAAACCCATCACAAGTCTGAGCTTCACACGGCGAAGTTCGACTCGATCACTAGGTTCATGCTCGAGCTTCCTGGCATGGCAWCGGGTCGAATTCCATTAAAACGGTGTTGGATGGCCGGTGTAATGATCGACATCTTCAACATCATGCAGAGTGATCCTCAAGCCGTGTTGAAAAGATACGACGAATACCTCAGTTTGAGGGAGGCTATTCTGCAGGAGGCGAAATCCCGTGACGTCGCCTACCAAACTCTCTTTGAAGCTTTTCGGTTGGCGTACCGCGTCTCTCGGCCAGTTAGTAAGAGGGGTAATTGGACAATGTCGCGAGTTTACGGCGAGGAAGGCAGCACAGTGTCCATGTCCGATACACTCGTTTGCATATCCCCGTGCCTGCTTGCTCATGAGCTCTGCGCGGTGAAGGGTGCTGATTTCTCGCTGGGTCTAAGTAATTGCCTCAATGGCTGTCTTATTGGATCATGCACGGCCATTCTATACATGGCGTCGCAAGAGTTGGGGCACAGGAATAATTCATGGCCTGAGATGGATCGCATTATCCAAAGTCAGAACATGAACCCCAAGCGACAGAGTCCCTCCCAACTGGCAAACAAGCATGGTGACCGGGTGGCAATCATACATCACTACATCGAGATGCTCAAGCGCATGTCACAGCCATCACAAAGCGATGAAAGCAAGGAAAACGGCTTTGCTTTTCCACAATTTTTCGAATCGAAGAGTGCAGTATTGAAAGCTATGGCGACTGGCTCCATCCAAGAGCTTGAGGATGCCGGGCTAATCAGGGACGCAAAGTTGATCACAAAGCTTGCAAACGGCGACAATTTGGGTTTTGCAGATTGTATGGTTGCGTTTATGCCGTGCATTGAGCAAGAGTCGGCATACTTGGACCTCGAAATCGTGCCGCTCGCTTTCCGATGCATGGAGGTGCTGTTGTCRCTGAAACTCATACATCCCGGTCAGGCACGACAGACATACGGTAATCAGTTTCCCCTTTGGCTCGAGCACGCGTTTCGTTGGCTTCTCAGAGACCCCGATGGGGGAGAGGTGTTCTTCGGGCTTCTCGAATATCACATTTGCACCACGGTCAATGTCCCTGGTTATGGACTTGATCTCAGCAAGGCCGACGGTATATTTGAACAGTGGACAAAGGAAAAGAAGAAGAAGAAGCCTAAGCGAAACAATGAGAACAAGAACAAAGACAAGGACACGGACAAGGAAGATAGTTGAGCGTGCGAATAGGGTTCAAGGTTTCAGGCATGGATGTGATTAGCTTGACCATAAACTGCAATGCAACTGAGATACTGTCAGCATTTACGGTGTCAGAAAGTCTCTCTTCTTCACATCTCAGTATGCTGACATTCATATCCGGTATTTAGACTCTAATCCTCGTCGACGTACACCACAAAGTGGGGAGTGTATAGTGCCATCTCCAATATCAAATCCATTGAAGCCTCGGCACTCTTGGCATTATGTCTCCATGGCTAAGAACAACTTCTCGACAGGTGTAACAGCCACAGACAGCATAATTCCATTACGACGGAATGTACCTCATGTAATAGTACTCCATCCTTGATCGGAGACTCAATCTGGTCGAGAAGCTGGTCTTACGGATGGAAAGCACGCCTTGTCTTTCTGAGGTCCTAGACAGCCCTCCGTTAGATACCCACTTGGATGACCGTACTTCCTTGGCAAGTCTTGACCAAGGTAGAAGCTCCGCGGTAGAAATGGAGAGGGAAAACCGCAAAAACGGTCCCCATGTCTCCCGAAGACGTAATATGTGCAAGGGGGAGTTGGCCTCTCGAGAAGTTGGCTCGTTCTGCCCGATAAAGGCAAGGCTGCTACTCTCGCGATCTGGCATCAAATCAGGCCAGACATTGGTCATCTCCACGAGAGGTCAACCCCCCTTGCACGCATTACATCCACACTCCACACCGCGAGTCAATTTTGTCGCTTTTGCTGGGCGGGCATGAGTATGCTCGTGGATTGGCCCTCAGGAGACCCAGCAAGCATCTCGTCCAGATCAGAAACCACTGTACGACGACAAGGAAGATACTTAACAGTATTTCCACCTGGATCGCCATCAACACGACGACCTCTCATACGATCATAGTCAAAACCAAGATGCGCTGTGGGAGGCAGTCTGCAATTCAAGCTTTACCGCCAGCATCCCGTCAACCAAGCTAACGATACATCAGACTCATGACTACACAAAATGCCGTGGTGAACGCAATCACGTTAAGACTCAGAAAGCTTACTTTGATAGGCAGCCTGATGTACTTATCATTAAGTGGGGCGATGCCAGCGAGTCGCCGAAGTTGTATTCTTCAAATGCGAGCGGTCAATTGGCCTGCTGGGGTATTCGAAGGCGCAATGGACAAGACAGACGTGAAGCGCACTCTGCCTCTCTAAATACTGTTCACACATTGCTCAATCTCGCCGCCGTAAGACACCGTCTTCGGCAAGCCATCGATTCATCAAATTCTATAAGTGGGATGAGACGCAATACTGTGCCGTCCACTCCGCTACGCAGTCCTGGCTTTCGTACGAGACTTCGTCGAGCAAACCGGGAAGCGGCACAAAGTCATGATAAAAGTCGAGAAAAGGAAGAGAGAAGGTGTAGGCAAATCAAAGTCAGAGGAGAAAGCAATAAGCAGACGAAAGATTCCACAAACTGAAGCTACGAAAGGCGAAGATGGCGAATTACCTCAAGATCTGTCATGCATCAGTCTGACAATACCACAGAAAACGATGGATGCGACTTTTACCGGGTGTTCACTACGATAGAAGAGTTTCTCACCGACGGCAGATAAAAACAAATGCACCTCAACTTTGATCCGATTTTTTTTTTTTTTTTTACGAGGTACCGCTGACGTTCACGCACTGAGATGGACGAACACCAAGCTCCCCCGTTGCAGAACTTGCAGCTGTCTCGAACCAGATGATGTTTTTCCCCTCGAAGCACCGTATAGAAAGAGTTGGCTCAGGACGGGCATGCTTAAGCTCTCCAAGCCACCACTCAGGAAGCCAGACATCGAGTCGACGTAGCAACACTAGTATGTCAAGGAACGGGGGGATGATCCAGCTGGCTACCAAAGTCTACCAATATACGGGTATCTGATCGTCCCTTCTTGAGATGACATTAAGCCGGTGTCGCATGTGGTGGCGCTGTATTTCCGGCATCTCTATTACATGGGCTTGGTTTCCTTCGTCTATCTCTTCGAGAAGTGTTCCCCTGCACCATCCTGGTCATTCGTGAGGATTGCCGTAGCGGGCCCTGAGAAGGATCAGATCATCGAGTTTTCGCGTACAACTCCAGTCTGGACGGCTATTGGTCTGGCTTTTGTCGTTGCACTGCGATTGCATTAAGACGAAGATTGTCGAGTCTTGTCTCTGTCTTTTTCCTTTCGTCTTTTCCTTTCGTAAGCCGTCGCAGATGTAACAGAGTGGAATGGTCACCGAAGACAGAAGTAGTAGAMAAAGGAAACCGAAAGCTGAGGAAGATCGACGCTGAAATCACATCTTCCTGTCAGTGTATATACTTGACCGATACATTACCAACTCAATCAGCAACCATCATAGAATCAAGTTCACCCGTTTAGATGAGTGTCAAGAACACCTTCCTCGAGTCGGAAGAGAACCCCTTGCTGTACCCCTGATGGCGAGACAAGTGCCAATATTTTCATGCTTGTAGCCATGATCCACGATCTGAATTGATCCTGCCTCACAGGCTGATCCCCAAGATCGGTGGGCGCGTGTAAAAGAGGAGCAAATGAACGGCCCAAGGTACGCCTGCTATCTGATGCTGCAAGCAGCAAGTTGGTTCTGCAGCCATGTAATCGGATCTCCTGGATGTATGCCATCCAGGATGAGCGACTTCTATGGTGATGATCATAAGTATTCGATGTCGATTGGTTTTGCAAGCGCGGCCATGTTCTACGTCTTGCTCAAACGTATTTCTCCCGCAAGTATAACCGGGCCGGAAGCAAACAAATCGAGTTGGACCCTGCTTTCAGGAGTTGCTCAAACATCTCCTCACATGCTCCGGAAGATTTGATCTCGCAAAAACACAAACTACCGCTTCGTAGTCTGCCTCACGTACATTTGCTCATCACGGCGACATTCGCATTACGACACAAGCATCACCAAGCATCACTCCACCCACGCGCGAAATTCCCGACTCGTCCTCTTGGCTGAAGTTTCGCGACGCGACYTCACTTTTGGCCACCAACGCGACCTTCGTCGTCGATTTCGCTTCCAAAAAATCAGAATGGAATCAGCTGTCACCGCCATGTCCGCCCTCTCCCTCTCCGACCTTCGCGCCGCGGTCGCAAAGATGCCACAAGAGCTCTACGACCAGATCAAGAATGAGGTCTTCACCGCCAAGCCTGGCGTTGTCTACTTTACTGCGCCAAACATACACTACTCCGCGGAGCTCCCAGCCAATTCCTCTCACTACGATCCCAAGCTGTTGCACGTCGATCACGCCACCCGCGAGATGTACGCTCGGAGCTATTATGGCGAAGGAATGCAGTTCTGGTTCGAGTATATCAAATCCATTGATGCCCAGCCCCACGCGAACTGGCTGTGCATGCTCGGCCACGCTCACCGCGCGTATCTCCCCACTGTAATTCTGCTGAATCCGGGAGCGGTGTCTTTACCCCCCCAAATCATTGCTAGGTGCGCCAGAGCGAGTCTAACAGTGTTGGCTGGTCTTCCAGTGGCGAATGCCAAGAACCTGTTCGTACGGGTGCATGGGGAGATCTTTGGGAACGAGGCGAAGTACGTCGCAAAGAGATATGGTGGATTCAAGTGGGAGGTCCAGTGGCCGGATGAGATGAGCCAGGAGGACATCTCTCGAGTGTATGCCTTGGAGCGGGCTGAGGTGGATCGTGTGATGAACGATAGGCACCTGGAAGACATCGAGACTGCAGAAGCAAGTGGAGATGCGGGAGCGCACGAGGCGGAGACGGACCGCGGTGGCAGCGAGCAAGGCGATGAGCCCGATAGAGATGAAACCATTGAGGATAGCGGAGCGGCCGGCGACGGTGGAGAAGAGGGGGGAGACGGCGGAGACGACGCGAAGAAAGGTGGAAGTGGTGAGGACGACGGCGAAGACCACGCGAAGAAGGGTGGAAGCGGTGAGGCTGGCGGCGAGGATGATGAGACTGACGGCGAGGATGATGAAGCTGACGGCGATGATGATGGAACCGATGGAATGGGTGGAGTGTACGATGCGGAAGGCGAGTGGGAATATGATCTGGAAGATCGCGACTTCGAAGACATCGAGTTTGACATCTACGATTGAAATGGTCGCTGTCAGACGTAAGTTAGCTGCACTTCCTCTCCAGTGGTAGGAACCTCCGAGGAAAGGTTCGTGTTTCCACAAACATAGCTGGACATGGGTCCATGGAAGTTCAGTTACAACAACGAATCCATTCCAAACATTCCTCTCTCGGAAGGGCGTGGGCTCAGTTGAAACATCCTTTCAGCCACACGTTGCGCGGCGTTGTCCGRATTCGGATCTTGTGAATTTAGTTCGTATCCCTCAGTCTGCCAGCTTTGATGTGCTGCGAGTCTMTGTTGTAGTTGCAGTACAACATCTTGCATTCTCGTGCGATTGGTCAAGGGGCGAAAAACGCATACAGTGGCGACGACATGGTCGAAGCCAAGGAGGATACTCTGGTGACCGAGAAGGCCGCTGAGGAAGTACCTKGAGAAAAGTCGCCCATTCCAAAGCTGTCGAGATCACAAACACCATCAAGTAGGAGATTGTTGAGGAAAAGGCCTCGGAGCTAGAGGCTACTGTCGTCAATCAGGCCAGAGAATAGGACACGGATGCTGAGACACCACGTCCTTCGGCCACGTGTTTGGACACATTTCGATACTTGTCCAGTTCTTCTTCGCTTTCTCCCACCAGAATCGATTACTGCACTTTCCACTCGATGTAAGCTCAGTCGACACGGCTCGGGCTCTGTAAACCCTGGTGGATGCTGCTACGACCACTGCCGGCTGCGATGTTGTGCTCCAGGAAAAGACTGAAGTGCCATACGGCCATTACGAGCGGATCCTGTGATTCTGGAAATGGACAATTTTCGGATAGTGGAAATGGCCGATGAGCTTGCTACGTCGAAAATCAACATCGAAACATGAGTTCATTCTTTTCGAGGCAGTACATATCGTTTGCTGGATGCTTCACAGACTCCAGGCTCGGCTGTCGACAGCACCAGTATAGTCAAGTGAAAAGGAATCGAAGGGAGAGATAACGTCGGCTGTTTTGCATTCGAACAGTGCACTTCGTGTGATACTATCCAGGTGAGCGACCGCCACCTCGTAGTAGCCTGATAGAGCAAGTTCCAAACCAGCTGGAGATTCACCATCGTCGCCATTGAAATCGACGAGACACGACAACCCCCGGCTCAACTGCTGTACTCTCAAAGCTGTGGCGTATCCCCCAGTGTGTCCATTGGTGATCGACCATGACTACCAGTTGCCTGTCGCCATAGCGGAGAGAGCAGAGATATGAGAGATCAAAAGAACGCTGTCGACATGTCAGCTACACCCTCGCATGACAATATAGTACTAGATGCATCGACGTGGTAAAGTCCAGCTGTGGCTTCAGCTATAGATTTGGTGACAGCTCCTGCTTGAGAGAAAGAGACTAATGACTGTGCCACATCCAAGCGAAGAGCGTTCCCATGTAGCGTCCGAAGGCCCAAAGCCCTCCATTAATCCGGCGGACTTCGATGAGCCTTCAAGGCGCCATCAGCAGTCAAGCTCTCAAGCCTAGGACTCTTCGGCAGAGGCCAGCTGACTGTTGCTATGGGCTGCGGTTGTTGGTCCCCGTGGATGTGTCATGTGTGCGTCAATGCTGCTGGTGGCTACAAAGTGACAGGAGGATCCGGGCACATTGGTGGATATTGCCTTGTGGAGTCTTGGTCCATTYTGCCATCCCTCGATGACAATCGCTATCACCAATGCATCCCAGTTTCTGAACTTTCCATACATGGCATTAACTCTTCTCAGTGTGAGTGTCCGCGTTTTGGACTATTCCTCGTTCACCCATCCTTTTTTGTTGTTGCCAAACAGGCTGCACCAATGGAGCACTCCTCCACAACAATCACCTTGATCTTCGTTGTCCATTATCCAGCTCCCGTCGTCGATCTCGCTGCCTCGCCATGCGAGACCTAGATTTTATTCCATGTTCAGCAGCGCTTTCCTTCCTCGTGGCTGGACCATCTTCGGATGCCGCACTCCACGCCAGGCTTCCAGTGTTCGACTGATGCCATATGCTTCATTGCGTGCTCCAAGACCCTTCACACAACCGGAATCAATGTTGCGGTTTTAGCGCTGCTTGATTACATTACTATGTTGGAATGGGGTGGAGGTCGGGACTTCTTCCTCACTCAATTGAGTCATGCTATCGATGGTAAGCGTCCACACGTATGCTCCCCGCATTCAATGACGGGCGTCATTTTCGTTAACCTTGATACCCGATACTATACATGTCGGCCGGCGATAAGAGATTCTTCAGCTGGCTTGTGGTTGGATGGTAAAGTCGAGTTGGCTTGGCTCAAGTTGTCTTTCGGCCGGGTTGATGAGGTAGTGATGGTGTCTGGCCTACTCATGTGCGCCGATGATACTTTACCTTGTGGACCAGGTACGGGCGCTTGGGTATGACGGGTAGTCATGTCAGAGGCACTATGGCAAGCGTTGTGTTAAGCGCGGCGGTCGTCAACACAAGAATACCCTTTGACTCTTTTACGGTATAAACCTTTGCTCGCCAGTACTCTGCCGATCCTGTTCCGGCTGAGACTTCTTTGATATTTTCGTCTTCGGACCGCCGCGCGCCACGTTTGATGTTCCGCCCTCTTTCTTGCGGCTGCTTTACGATTGCGCCGCCTGGGCGGGAACGGGGATGCGAATCTGTGTACGGGCTGGCCGCTTGAATGAGGCATGCTGCTGTTTCCGATTTCAGATATGTTACTTCGCGCTTTCTGATAGCACTTTGCAAAGCGATCTTCATAATGGTGACCGAGCAGTAGTCTTTTCCCTCTTCAGGTTGTCAATGTGTCGTTCCAGGTCGCTTCGCGTGCAAAGCCCTGGTATGAATTCAACGTTAGCAGAATCAGAACAGGCCGTACAAGCAGCAGATCGCTCCATTATCTAGGCGACAGCTTCTTGGTGGCTCTTTGATAATATACTTAATGTATCTACCTACAAAAATGTCCGGCAAGTTGCTCACCACCTAGATATCGGCGGGAGCATCAGCGCTCACTACATCAACCCTAACCCTAACATTGAACTCCAGTAAAGCGATCCGACTCGGATTGACACCAACCCGTCACCGAAGCCATGCATCGCGTCAAGATACAACAGCGTCCGTCCACTATTAGCTTCCGTCCAAAAGCACAATCGTTCCTTCTGAAATATCACCGAGCAGACTCATGCATCTACATGCAAGGGTAGGTCCTACCCTAACCCTAAAGCGGTCGGAGTGAGAGAACTGGAGGAAGATGTTGGAGCAGCACCACCGCAGACACATCCTTTCGAGTAGCAAATTTGAAGATCCATCCTTTGCGCTATTCTGTGTCCATGTCAAGTTCGAGCCGAATCATGAGGTTTTGTTAACTCCACCACCGGCAGTCACCTGGCTGGAAAGGTGCGTCGAAACAGCCTTAGTGGCGCGGTTGAAGCGGTAGCACAAGTGATGCGTGAACTGCTCCATCTGATCAGCCTCGAAGGAAATGTCGTCCTTGATAACCACGTAGTGGGCTGGACGTGCGGTTCCTTGGAGGCCTTGATGGGCCTGGAGGTAGAACTCGCGCAGGATCTTGTGGGTAATTGGTCGACGACGGTGCCTGGAACTGGGTTCCAAGAGCCCTTGTCGCGTTGGGGGTTGTAATCAGCGTCCTCTGGCTTAGTCGGGTATGGAGAGCTGAAACACGCGTTGGGTCTTCTGATAAAGCACAAAGTCAAGGAAAATAGGGCAGCACGATACTTTCCACGAGGTCTGTGGCCCCGAGTCGTCTGACAATGTGCAACGGCGAGATACGACAGCGGTTCCGTCTGCATTATCAAATGACCACTGCACCCACTAGATCAAAGGCGGCGAGCATGACGGAGTGTTCGCATGTATCATCATTCGGCYCCTTCCACTCTGTTCTAGCTCCACTTTGGCTACAAGGCCGGACTTCATCTTGGCCGTAGTGGGAGTCTGCGTCTGTGCCACCAGAGTCCCCAGTCCCAAGTCAAGACTGTCACTCGAGGCCCACATTACACCAGAAGAAAGAGATCCCACTGAAAAGGCGAGTGATTAGCGCACGAATCTTTGGCTCGGAGATTGCGTTGCATAGCAAACAGTCCACAGTCGAGAGTCTGGCGCATCTGCAGCCGCCTTTGCCTTAGCTTGTTGATGAGCTGACGATGTTTTCGCTGTCGTGGTTGATTAGTTTCGATTTAGTAGCAGCGGCCGCTTTTGTATGTATCAATCGCTGCTGCTACCACACGAATCTCCCCCTCTTTCTTCGCCTGCCTCTCTGCAGCTACCTACACCGTCACTACCTTTAGCCGGAAGCTTACTGATCAGCGCGAACAATCCCTCCTCAATAGTGACATGAACGCGGAGTTTCTTGATAGTCTCCAGCTTCTTTGGTCCAGCATCCTCGCCGAGTACCACAAAACTGTTGTTCTTCGAGTGTGCTCTTACAGCGTGACCATCATACTGCTTGACTAGAGCCTGGCCCTGCTCCCGACCAAGCGGTGGACTAGAAGCTAGCAGCCGAGCTAGCGAAGACCCCGAAGACGAGGCTACAGTAACAGCCATGGAATGTATCCGATCGAATGCACTGCATGATGCCAACGGTCCTCGCAAGCATCGATGTCCGCACAGGCAGGATATGGGAATTTCAGAACTTAACGACCATCGTTGGCTCCGTTACGTTCGGACATTCTCGTCGTGGGTGGTCATGGCGGAAGTGAGAGAGTCGGTGAAGTGTGGCGGGAGAGTGCCAAAGAAGTGGTGGAGAATGTAGTTGTCTGAGTACTGTGGCCATTGGTGGTCAGTCTGATCTTCCAGAAAGATGAGCTCGAATGACTCAAGCTTGCTGGAACGAGATGTGAACGCACTGATGAGGTGGCGATCGAGCGACTCCATCCAGTCTTGGGACTGCATCTTGATGCTGCTGCAACGAGATGTAAACGCACTGATGAGGTGACGATCGAGCGACTCCATNGACTCCATCCAGTCTTGGGACTGCATCTTGATGCTGCTGCAACGAGATGTAAACGCACTGATGAGGTGACGATCGAGCGACTCCATCCAGTCTTGTGACTGCATCTTGATGTTGACGGTGCGGATAGACTTGAGAGTCTCACGGCCGATGATGAAGTGACGATCGAGCGACTCAATCCAGTCTTGGGACTGCATCTTGATGTTGACGGGGTGGATAGACTTGAGAGTCTCGCGGTCGACGACTCTGCAGAGCTTTGGAGTCTCTACCGGCTTAATGTCGTGGGCGCCGGGGATGTCGAACCTCAGGACGTGCTTGCAGTCGTCCGGCACTTCCATCGTATCAGCGGAACATTTCTTGTTCATGAGCAGAACGGCTGGAGTGGTCAGAAGTGGATACGGGAAGCTGTTCTTGCAGTCGCCGAGCACTTGTATCGTCTTGGCCAAAGATCTGTTAACCACAAGCATGATGACTGGGGTGTTCAGAAGTCAGTCCGGTAACTCTTGTTGCGCGTTCGAAGCCGACCATCGACTACTCGCATACTAAGGTAGCGTCAGAGATGTTGAATAACGAACTGCTGTATTGCGCGCTTGTACTTTGCCCCATTTTCCTCTGGTGTTCGCTCCGTATCTGGCCGCTTATCTATACTATTGCCCGTTTGGCCATATGCCGATTCAAAGATTCGAAGGTATGTGTAGATTGCAGAGATTTGCTGCATTTGACGCATTCGAGGACGGGGCTGGACGCTTCTCCGCGGGTGGTGGCTCGTCGAGCCGCGCAMTTGTATGATGTCGACTTCCAATGTGYAGTGGTTTCGAGAAGGCGTCTAACTGCCATCATTCGCGAGCAAGTGGGCTGTGTTACTCGCTTGGCAAATTTACGTGCGAGGGCCATGGAGAATGTAAATTGTTCGGGCTTGCCGGCCCGAGCAATGACTTTGACCGCGCCCGCGGACGGGGAGCCACGACCACCAAAATGAGCATTGTTGTGGAGAGCTTTCATCTTCATTTGTCGTTCTACTTGACAAGACAAAGCCATTACAATGGAAGATTGCCACCCAATCTTCCATTGAAATGGTTCTGGTGGCTATCTCAATATGCACCATGCAGCTTGTCGAGCAACAGCCCCACCTTCGTCCGGTCGCATCTTTTGCAGTTTACCAGGTGTAAGTAAGTCATAGCAGATTTCGGAGCGCAGCTATATCTCGTACTTCAGTCCCTGCTCTGACAGCTCATTCCGTGTCAACCCACCTCAGCCTGATCTCAATACTTCCCCGGAAAGCGATGACAATTGAGTCGATAATGCGACGGAGTGCATCCGAGAGTGATATGCAGCGACACCAGAGATCACATTAGTTGCCGAGATAATCAAAGTGACGCTCGATAGCAAAGGGTTTATTTTATGCCATCATAATTCAACGACTCAGTGAAGAGGCATTAGCAATACAATAATTGTCTCGCTGGCAGAAGTTCGAGAGGTGAGGTTCCATTTAACATCTTCGTCATTTTGATTGGTGAACTATTTCTTCGGAGCGCCTCTTGGCGATGACCTAATTCACACCTTGCACCTCTGCCCGCGCAAATTCGCTTGCCTTCTATCTCGATCCCATTACCGGATCTGCTGAGAGTCAGAACACGCTATCGCTACACCTGCTCGCCAAGCCCGCCGCTCATCATGTACTCGTCCTTGACCGAGACCACGACCTGATTGTTCTCGTTGCCGACATCGTCAACCACCACGGGCTCGCTCGGGTTGACGAACCAAACGCCACCCTCCGTCACGAACTTGAACTGATACGTGCCTGGAGGCTCAACGAGCGCCTTGGTGGACTTGGTCTCGCCCGCCGTATCACCGAACTCCTGCTCCATCAACACGGGCTCCCACGCCTGACCTGCATTCAAGAAGTTGCCAGCCAGGTAGAGCTTCTCGGTCGACACGATTGATACCGTAAATGGGACTCCCGCGACGTCAGTTGTGCGAATGAAGTCCTCAACGCCTCCGTGGACGGTCTCTGCAATGACCTCGGGAATGGTTGCGATGACGTTGCGGTTGGCTTGAAGGGTAGAAGGGCCCACAGACTCAGGTGGCGACGATGGAATATCTGCCGGGTCGGTTGGAGGGAGCTCGCGCGAGGCGAGAACAATCTGCTGTTGTGGAGGTTTCTGCAAACCCCAATTTCCGTCTAGCAGGGTAGCCATGCGCGAAGACGAGGGTGGGGTAACGTCCTTTGCCTTGTCAAGCGCCTTCTTCTCGTTGATGACCTCGCGATCCGCCTCGGTGTCGGGGGGAGGAGCCTCACNGGTAACGTCCTTTGCCTTGTCAAGCGCCTTCTTCTCGTTGATGACCTCGCGATCCGCCTCGGTGTCGGGGGGAGGAGCCTCACGCGATTTGCGGGAAAGCTTCCGGTGTGGAGCCTGCTGGAGAGACGAGGGTGGGGTAACGTCCTTTGCCTTGTCAAGCGCCTTCTTCTTGTTGACGACCTCGCGATCCGCCTTGGTGTTGGGGGGAGGAGCCTTACGCGGCATGCGGGCAAGCTGCTGGTGTGGACCGCGCTGGAGGGACGAAGGCGGAATAACTTCATGTTCCTTGTAAAGCGCCTCCATCTCTTCGATGACATTGCGATCCCACCTGTTATCGACGAGAATCGTAACGTCGCACGGGACGCCGTCGCGTCCGATCGTCGCATCTAGCATCATCGTTCTCGCGGCCTTGTCCGAACCGTGGATAGAGTCTGGGACTTTGGCAATAAGGATCTTGGTGGCGGTGGGCAGATTGATACTGCCGATGGCGGGAGTCGCCACCAGGAAGAGCATGTTAGATGTGGGATCGTTGAACTTGTCAAGTCCACTGCCACCACGCCACTGTAGGCCAGCAGCAGCAGCATCCGAGTCGATTGTACCACTGTGCCACTTGCCGACCATGCTGGTAGCATCCTCCTCCGTGACTCCATCCCCCTGTTGCAAGAATTTGGTGAGAGCAGAGTGGATCGTATCCACCATGTGGACGCGGCTGACGGCGATGAGGCAACGGCCTGGGTTTTCATCTTTCTCGGCATCGCCAGTGAAGAAAGTCTCCTTGATGTATGTGCAGATGCGGTCCAGGAGTGCATTGAGCTCCTTGGTTGAACCCTCCTTGGGTGAGTGGGATGTGTACTTGATGAAGGTTTGGCGGTTGTTGACTGTGCGAGAACCACCTACGAGCTCGCGGGGGGCAGCAGTGTCCTCCAGGCCCATCAGTGCCCGCAACTCCTCCTCGACCTTCTGGGATGGACTGCCATGGCTGACCTTGACAATTACCTGGACATCCAAATTCTTGTCTCTCGCCTGGTTGACGGCGGCGAGGATGCCGTCCTTGACGTGATCATCATGCTTGCAATCGAGCGCAATTATGCCCCCGGATGTACTGAACTCACCGCCTCGGTGAAGTGAAGGGATTTGATGGCCCTCGTCACCGAGCACACGGTCACCATTAAGAATGGCCACAATGCGGAGCTGGCGAGTATCAAGCTCCTGGCGCTGGAATTTGGTCTTAAACATGCCAGCGGTGGTGATGAGGATGTGCTGGGCGTCGATGTCGCCTGGGCCATCGCGAGACCGGTCCGATTTACCGTGCCACAGACCAACGAAGATGTTCGTGCCTGACAAAAAATCGCGCGCCCACGCGAACAGCCTGTCAGCGGCTTCCCATGTATCGGTCACGGCGATAGCCAGAGTTGGGTGGACCATGCGGCCAGTGATTGGAGGGAGGGTGTCGACGATCGGTTTGATCGTGAGCAGCATGTGGATGATGACGGCGAGGGAAGCGCCGTTGTCGCTCGGGGTGCGAATCAGAACATTCTCGTCGCCTGCGGCGACAATGGAGTTGCCGCTGTTGATGTTCAGCTTCTCGAGAATCTCCTCTTGAAACGGGCGCGCCTGAGGGAGCGCGGCCTCGACGTTGCGGAGGATGGTGTCATTCATGCTGGTCGGCCATGGGACACTGCCTGGAATGCGCTGGCTGCGCATCCGCTCCTTCGCGACACGTGCGGTGCCAGGACGCGGGATGGCATTCGTGAAGGAGTTCTCGCCGAAGACGTCGCTCAGGTCGTCCACCTCAGCCATTTGCGATGATAGTGTCGAGTAGAAGAGAGATGATAACGGAGATGCACGCTGTGAGGAACAGTGTGATGCTGATGAAGTCGACGTTCAAGTTCAGCGGTTGGTGCAGCAAAGCAAGAAGATGAAAGAAAAGCAAACAACAGTGCCCGTGAGCTCCCCCGCGACACGCTAGTGCGCGGATGCTCCCGGTTTCGAGCAGCGACTAGGTACCTTCCCATACATGGCGCACAACCCGACATCACATTTCCATCTGCTGTCCTCCAGCAGACATCTCCGTTTCAGTTGTTGCTTGCATGTCGTCCGCCAAAAAGGTTGAGATTGCTCCTCTGAGCGATCGCAACTTCCTAACTGTGAAGCGCAGCGCCCATATGCTCGCTCGATGCATGAAATACGTGCCCGGTAAGTAGCTTTGCTGCCTTGAGCGAGGATCTCGCTAACTCCAGAGGTACAGCTGGTGATGGGTGCATCTCATACGCACCAGATGCCCCTCCACCGATATTTATCGCCATTGACTTGGAGATGAAGGAACAGACCACCATCATCACAGAGGTCGGCATCTCGAGACTAGACCCCCTTATCATTGAACCTTCTGCCAACTACCCGGAGCTCTGGTCCGGCCATATGGAAACATTCCACGTGCGTGTGCGCGAACACATGGGATACGTTCCATATTATACTGGGAGAAAGGGTACAAAGACGACCGGAGCGAAGCACAAGAAAGCAAGGAAGATACCTTTTGCTCATGGAGGTTTGCAGCATGAAGTCGTGATCAACTWTGGCCACATTGCTGACCCGCATATTGCGCAGGAAGCAGGCTTGTCTCCATGCCTGATCTCGGTCGAGATGTTGTGCGCACCATCAAGCAGGGTACGGACGGCCGGCGGTACATCCTCGTCTTTCATGGCGGCCGCAGTGATGTTGTGGCGATGGAAGCCATGGGTCTGGATTTGACAAAAGAGTACGCATGTGTTCTGTGTGCTGGGTATTACACGCTGACAACCGCAGGATCAACGTGATCGATTGTATCGAAACTCAATTCCTCTCACTGGCCCGCTCGCGGGAACCGTTCAGCATATCCAAGGTAACTGGGCCGAAGTCGAAGCCAAAGTATCATCTCTCTGAGCCACGATCACTGGGAAAGGAACTCGGAGTGTGGGTTGGTCAAGATTACGACATGTCATTGCTTCACAACGCTGGAAACGACGCGGAATACACGATGAAGTTGTTCCTTGGTATTTGTTTGTCGCCGCTGGTGGGTGGAAGGGATGTGGATGATAACGCCGCCATTTGGGATGTGGGTGAGGGTGACGACTGGGACGGGTGGATGCTTTCCAAGTTCAGGTCCACAGGGAGCGTCTCGCTACCTGGCCAGACAGAGACGGCATAGCATTGCGTCGACGTCGAGGGAAATATAGGAACAAGAAATTGAAATGTGGATGTGACGGATCTGAACAGAGTATCAAACAGCACTGCAACGATCATCCGAGGGAGCATGCCAAGTTCCTCTGCTCAGTTCAAATCTTGTCGACATCGAATGTGCTCAGCAATTCCAGTCTGCGATGAACGCCGACTTTGACATATCAAGCTCCATCAGCATTCCCTTGCCCCTTCCATTTTGTCCTCTGCTGGCCAGGTACACTATTTCGCAACATCCCCTTCAACGCAGATGTTGCTATGTAGACACAGCGAGCGACAATGACTGACCCATCAAGCTGCCGTATCAACGCGCGGCGGTGGTACAGCTACCTAGACCAAATTGTCTGGCGTTCGGACGTCGTATCCAGCCGCGATAGATAGAATCTTCGCCTGAAATCTTCGGTCTTGGATATTCATGCCCTGAAACCTGGCTGGCACGCCTGCCTGGACGTAACATTGGTGATTTACCTACCTATTGATGGACTCTTGTGGGACATGACCTCTCGCTCCGCACGAATCAGTCCCGCTACATGATGCGCTTGCCAATTTTCTCTGTCTTGTCCATCGCCGCCCATTGTACACATTCCTTTATTGGTGAGTGTGTCAATGTACGAAGAGCATACTCGTTCATTGTCGCTGCTGTATCATCAGACCGTTCCATCCCGTAGTCTTCATCGGTTCAATGGTCTTGTCGTAACCGAGAGCGCCGTCTGCACCGCTCCACCTCCAACCTGGTCGCGAGCTGCAGCACGGGTGGGATGGATGTTACGTTGGATGATGAGTCTCCGTTTCCTTGTTTCCACTTTGCGATTATTCCATACCGCGAATCAATGCAAGGTGTCATACTCCTGACGACGTCTTAAAATAACGGTAATTGAGGCCAGAGTTTAGACTCCGTCGTCTACTTGCAACAAGGTGACATGKAAAGTTGATGACATTCCAACTCTCATTATGCAACGCATATACAACGGAAATAGACGGCTGGTGTGGTCCTGGTGATGTATTCCAGGTAGCACATGGCCAGCTCGAACGAGTGCGGCACTGTGGAAGGAAACATGTCGGATCCCAGTCTGGAAGCAACCGTAGCCTGGACGATGAGCGATGAAGTACGACTGGGCATGATCAGCAAACCGTGGGCTGAGAGAGACATGTTGGAGCGAGTCGATGAGCCGGTCATAGCTGGCATGTTCAGTGGATTACCACGCCCACTGCGCACGTGGAGAGTCTCGTCTTGCGCAGCGTTGTCAGTCGGGGTGAATAAGACGTGCAATGGCGGAATCGAACTCGCCGCGATGGCGTCGATCCTCAGAGGCTGCATGCTCACGAATGATGAATTGGCATCATTGTTAACACTTCGCTTCAATGGCTGACTCTGCGTTTGGTGACACCTTCGCCCAGCTGGGCCGGTTGAGCGATCGCTGCCGCTGCCAAATGTATGCGCCCATGCTGGCGTTGAGTTTTGATTTTGGCGAGTGATACGTTATGTTGCGAAGATCTGGTCGTGTTGTTGGCGTCGCCTTCCATCTTCCTGGCTGTGTTGCCGGACACAGCATCGGCATAAGATGGCATCGGTCGATCGGGCGAGAAATTTCTCTGGGATCAATCAAGTTCGTAGATGAGCAACAAAGTTGCTGTTCAGTAGTAATATTCCTGCATCATGCTTCTTGTTCCTTGAATCGTATACTTTTGCCCCCATTCCAAGCAGACATTCGGGCTCCTAAAACTCGGCTCTGTTTTCACTCGGGGTATACTGCGGCCCCCGTTTCAGTGAAACCGCTCTTCCTTCCCCCTGTCGTCGCCCTTCTGATCTGGATGTTGCTCAACTGACAGACAACCACCATAGTGGCGGTTGACGCAGCGGTGCCTGTTATCGCCTTTCGACGACCATTACGCGTAGACGGCATCCTGCAGAGCTCCTCGTTCATCACAAAAAGCCCTTCAGCATGTCTCACTCGGACTTCAGTGTGTTCGTCGAACAGCGCAATCACAGCGCTGGGATGGGCGCTATCAAGTACTATGTCGTGCATCCACAAACCCTGCAGCCTCCTTCTCGCTCGCTATATCGTCGTCGCTGGAAAACAGATCGCGGTGCGGATCGTCGTCCTCTTTGTTCTTTTTATTTATTGGTAGTAAGGGATCATGCTCAATGACGACGACTTCCGATCCAGGTTTACTTTTCCTCTTCAATCGTAACTACCGTCCTATATCCGGTAGAGTGGGAAGTAGTGCCGCGGTCGCTACATCCGAGGAAATATGATCGTCCTCAGTCGCATGCTCTCTACAATTTATAGTCTTAAGAAGCTTGGAATGAGGTCGTGAGAGGTACATTCTATCGCTTCGCGTCATTGACCAGGCCATGTATTCACATGACGCGAACCACATCCAGGAAGGGCGAGCCATCTTCTCGTATACGCGACCTGTGCCGCAGCTGAAGTTGATGTCGGGCTCTCCGTTTGCACTCATCATGCACTCCGCCATACCGAGTCCAGCAAAGTATCATCCACGTCAACTGTTCCCCCTTCCACACTGAGTCGGGTATCCAAAGTTTTGCAGCGTCTTGGCACCGGGGACGATTAGTGAAGATACTCGATGTTCCTGGTCGTAATCCCGGCCATGGCAGATGACCAACCTAGCTCTGCATCTGCCTCTTTTCGTTCAATTCCATCCGTGTTCTTCTCGTCACTTGTCTTGTTGAAGTGTTGTTCACATGATGCATTTGTCATCCGGGTGATCATCGGTCCAACAGTTTCAGGGTTTGCCGCCCTCAGAAACTGAGAAGAAAACGCGCTTCTTCCTTTTCCTTCTCCGACAAACAAACGCACAACTCCTYGTTGTGCGACATCTCGTGYACTCTCAGCTGGCAAGCATCATGGCGGCGCCGCGGGTTCCGCCGCGGATTCCGAATATCCTCGACATTATCGAAAAATACTCAACTATTTCGGACCAGAGTGCAGTCACCAGAGCACTCAACATCGCTGAGATATGCGACCGCATTGTCAGCTGCGTGGCGAACAGCCTGAGGCCTCCTCCGCTAGCCGATGGCTCATATCCCGACGGCAACACGCGGGACGCGTCCAATCTTGAAACAGGTCCTGTCGCCAGACGCCGCATCCAGCTCGCAAACACCCGCGACGCCGTGAATCTCTCATTGGTCTGCAAGGAATTTCGCGAGCGCGTCTTGTACGACAWCGCGCCATACTACCACGTGCGCCTCACCATGGGTGTCTCGCCTTCGCGAACTCCAGTAGGTACCTGGAAGTGGCTGGTCTACCGATGTGATGCCCTCACCAAGTACAACGGTTGGGTGGACATGTCGGCACAAAAGCTTTCAAGTGATCTTCTCGACATCATTGTCAAGGATCAGTCCATCCCGGTCAAGCGGGAGAAAGCCCTCACTCTGTTGGGGCCCGCCAACTCTGCATTTGGAGCTCTCGTGTTGAGTCAGGCAGCAAGCTTGAAAGCGGATACTGGCAGAATCTCTGCTTCCGCGCGCGAATTGTTTGACAGAATGTCTACAATCACCTACCTGCCTCTCATTCTTCTCGATTGTATTACAAAGTTCACCTTGGATGTTGAACCATATGAGCTTCTCGCCCGTGGAGCATCGCTGGATGTACTCGACACCCCCTTCCAAGTCAGGGACGACCAGCCTGAGATGACGTTTCTTCAGCTCTTCCGCGAGGTTCTCAATCGACTGTGCACCCATTCGCTTCGCGAGCTCGTCGTTACTGGATTCAACCGGGATGTTGTGGAGATGCTACTTCCACTCCCATCTACAACCTATGCAAACGCCCAGTTCCGGGCGCTCATACTCCCAGTCACGTCGCTTACCATCTCGGACACTCTCGGCGAAACCATTCGAGGGTTCGGCGGCATCGCCACGCTGACGATCACCCGGAAAGACCCAAGAGGGCCCAATTGCTTCTGGCTCCGCGACCAGCAAAACATGAGGAAGGATACGGTCACCAGCTTCACGCACACCTGCTCGAACTGGGACGAATCTCTCATGATTGACGTAACGAGGGTTTTCCCAAACCTGAAGCATCTTCGTGCGAAAGGGAAGACTTCTAAATTTGACAGACCAGGTAATATCGAGTGGCTCCGCCTTCTCGATCCACTTTCTGGTCATCAGGGAATCAGCCAAGGCCTCGTGACGCTGGAGGTTCCGCGGTCAGCCGAACATGTCATGGGCGTCGCTCTGGACTCGGTGGATGGTAAATGCACGGAGAAGCTCGCCAGATGGGCTGCGTCCCACTTCCTCGACAGATTTTCATTTCCTGCAATCGAAACCTTCTGGTACCTCGGTCGCAAGATGACATTCGATCCAGTTACGGGAGATATGGTGGGTGATTTCAATGGCGTCGAGCGTAGCTTGTCTTCTCCACGATGGGAGTATGAGGAAGTCCTTTCTCTTTGGACTGCCATGAACGCTTGCTCCCCGGACCCAGACCCAACCATCACCGGTGTGTGGGGCCCATATGACTGAGCACACATCTGTGAGGTCGCAGTGAGTTAGGTCGGCCAGGTGGAAAACGTCCAAGGTCGCTGTGTTGGCGGTACTTGAGGGATCTGACGCGGCTTGACAACTTTTGCGTCCTGGGACAAGTGACAGATTCGCCCCGAGAAGGCAAACTGGTTATCGATCGAGTCGGTACATAGTGCTCACGTACGATCCACGCTACATGTATTCTCAATGAAAGAAGTGAAAGTGCAGATCTCACGTCATGTCCACGTGCATCGCTAGTCATTTGAAATTATTGCTGTCGGCCTCAGGACATACACGGTGAAGTTCAGCCCGATGGCGTCGGGCGAGCAAACGATGTCTTTCCATGGCGGCTCTCGGTAGTGCTCAGCCTTTTCTTTGTTTAAAGTTACCTTTGATGATGCTGCCCCATCTGATAGCTAATCGGTGTGCTTGTCCATGTCTGTCAGACGAGATGGGATCGTAACGAGATGTTGATGTGAACCGAAACTCCGCGAGCTGATGTGACCAAGCAAATCGTCACCGGTGAGCCGGCTCGCCAGTCTAGCCCATGCACTGCCACCTCCATTACTCCGGCGTCTACCAACGTCGCTTTCAGGGAGCGCGAAGAAATGGAGGAAATAAATGAAGCAAGCCAGCCTCAAAAGCGCGGAGGAGGAAGCAACATAACCATGCGAAGAGGCCCGCTCAACTGGATGCATCCGAGTCCCCCCCCCCCCAAAAAAATCCACACCTATGTCTAAAATGAGGCGAATATCCAGGCCGATTTTGATCACAACAAAAACCTGCATAATTGACGTTTTCGATCTTTGGAACAGCACGCCAACGTCACGACGGCAGCGCTGCGAATTCCGCTGAGAGCTTCTTCTATGCACGCGGCTATGGAAAGATATCGACAAGCTCCATGATAAGCGGAAGGAAAATAATTGCAATAATTTGGACAAGTCGTCGATGCGACTCTCGCTTGCGCGTGAGGTACGGGATCTTCTTTGGATTTTTTTGGCTTTTTGTCGACCTGCCCTTGCAGTCCATGCGTCCGTGAGCTTTTCGAGAGACAGAAGCACAGCATGGCACAATGTACCAAGGTCGCTCCCATGGCACTGGAATAATGGAATAAACTAAACAATCGACGTACATGTAGTTCCCAAAAGGGGCATAGTTGGGGGTATTTCCAGCCTCGCAAAATCTACTACAATAACATCCTTCCTACCGCTGGAGGAGGTCGATTGGTGAAGGTTGGCAGTGGACCTGCTGGCTTGTATCTATGCCGGCTTTTTCATATCTCTTGTCTTGAAGCGCACGCCTTCATCCAACTCGAAACAAGCTTTACTTGCGTTTTTGTCTGTCCGACTTCCAAGCTGGTAAAGAAAAATGCCCGTCCTGCATAGTCCATACATTTCCCAGGTCAGCTCTGATCTGGGGAAATTCTGGTTGTCGGACAGTTWCTAGCTCGACGCCTGTAGTGTGGGTGGTCGGTCTGGAACACTACGTGTGCGGTATTCGGAGCTCGGTGGGGAGGGAGAGTCAACGGCTTCACTGCCAGCTCTGATGTGCAGATCCGGAAGGTCAAGGCGAGCCAACAGTACCAAACCAATCCGAAACCTATCTGGAGACAACAAGTGTCTTGCAGAAATGTCTCAGACGTAGCTTCCGTGTTGAAGCTTTCAACCAGAGTCTGCACATGTTGGCCAGTTCTGGTCTCCAACATCGGTGATATCGATATCAGAGTTTACTAAAAGTGCTTGCTCGTTTCTCACCAAGTGGATTCTTCATGTCACGATGGACCGCGAAAACGACTCATCCTCAACAGCGATATCAATAGACTGAGCTATCGCAATCCGCTCTTGTCCTCTCGAGCAATCTAGGTCTCATTCTGTCATTGAGGGATTCCCATTGTTTCCTTTGTATAGAGAATACAATTAGGGTACAGGATCTTTCGAATGTGCATTGCACTCAATACGTAGTCGTGTATTCCGTCCAACGTTCGCTTATGGGTTGCTGAGACCATGGCTGTGATGACTTCGAGCGTGCATGTAGAGCAACAGAGGGGAGCCACATCGGGATGGCGAGAAGATGACGACGAGCAAGTGGTAATTTTAATTCATTCGTATCCAAAACATGACAGAGAAGCGCATGCCATTACTTTCTGCATACTAGGTTGACTATGTATAGAGCAAGAAGTGTGAACGCCGTCGACGCTCTGCTGTCGCTTGTGTGCATAAAATCTTAGCGAAGTATCCTAGCGGCCGCTACGGTTACTCCAGTACTCTACTCTCCTTTTTTTGTCTTGTGGTGGTCAAATTCAGGGGCAAAGCTGCCTCGGGGTCGGTTCTTCATGTTCCCGATTACTTGCGACCAAAAGCAACGAAGCGTTAAAATCGTCTCTTCTTACTGAGTTCGCTGATACTTTCAAAACATATAATACACATGGTTGGAAATTGGGTCATTCGATGGGTAGGCAATAGCTATTTGGCAATTGATTCACTAGCGCGGTTTTGGGGAGATTCCAAAAACAGATCAAAATGAATCCTATATGACAATTTTTTGTCTCTGGCTCGCGATGGCGGCCACGATGTAATACGCTGCCTGTCCGGGAGACTTCCGTAGTGGATAGAAGGCTGTATCGGGAAGTTTATAGTTCGAGTTCGGTTCAGGAGCCTTCGAAATGGCGGTACTCATGCGTCCAAAACATCAATAAAGCCTCTGCCATTCAAGCCGAGATCCACAACAATACCATGATTGTTGGTATCGATGTTACCCATCCATCACCCGGAAGCGCAAAGGGCGCTCTCAGCATTGCATTCCTCGTAGCCTATGTAGATCCGCAAATGTTCCAGTAGCCCGGAAGGATTTGCACGCAAACGGGCAAGAAGGAAATGGTCGAACCACTGCAGGCGATCATGATCGATCGTCTGAAGCTTTGGCAGAAGCGGTGACAGCCAGAATCCTGTGGTTGCTGTGACTTCCGCTAGAGCTGCGGGCTTCTCACTAACAGCACACACTGCAAAAACCKCGCCTCTTCCTGGGCACAAATGTTGTATGCTGATMGCGAAAGTTCCAGGCGGATGCCGCGCGGGTTTCGTTGAGGGTCTGGAGTGAGTGCTCAATCCGCACCAGATGCGTAAGGCTTATGCCCACTGAAGAGGGTAGGCGGGACTGCGGTGAACACTTCGCAACAGATGGCTCTCGTGGTATCTCTTGCATCGGGTTCGACGTATTTCGAACACCGCATGTCGTGGCAGTACCAAATTGTGCGTTCTGGAGAATGTAATGTGGTTGCAACCAAGGACATGCTCCACAAGCTGATGACACCGAGCGCACTCCTGATTGCCTTCCTTCTTGGCGTACTCCCTCATCTTTTTCACATCCTCGTTCTCGGAGCAGTGTATTCCCTGCTTGCGAGGTATACAAGTCATGCGGTGGCAATTGGAACAGATGGTCCTCGTGAAACTTGGGGCAGGTAGCCCTCGTGGCATCTCTTGCATCGGGTTTGACGTATTTCGAACACCGCTTGTCGTGGATCGGATCGTCGAGCTCTCCCCGCTTCTCCTCAAATCTCACCTCAAGTTCTTCGCTGACGACGTCGTAAACCTTGTCCCAAGTGATCGGTTGACGGCAATAGCGTGGAGGGTAGAGTGTTCGATCACGCATAGACAGCGCGGAAAGTTCCTCGAGACATCCATACTCCGAACCTGGTCATAATGGAGAGTTAGAGTCTCTGAGTCAAGAAATTTGCGCTAGGAGTGATGACGAACATGACGGTGATAGTGTATGCCATACTTGGGCTTGGCAAGGAGAACGAGAGTGGTCAGTGCTAACGCTGAAAAATGGGGGACGGAGGATGAAAGTTGTTGAACTGTGTATAGGGGGGAAGAAGGTGTAAACTGTAAAGGGTGAGTTGGACCTTCAGTCCAACTCAGACTAGTTATAACTACGCCCTCCTTTGATCCTATCGGACTCCGGTTTAGGCCATGTYCCCTTTGTGGACAATGAGGTGCGTAGAGTCTCTTCCAACAAAAGTCCAGCAAACATGGTCGAACTCGAGCAAACTTGTGTGCCTCTCAGAATGTTGGTCAGTCGCCCGACAGAGGTTGAATTACAACATGGGTACAAGACATTTGGAATTGGAAAACATGTCATCAACACGTGAGCTGGTCCTTCATCGATACGCTCGAATTTAGGGTTAGTGCTGGGTTAGGGTTAGGGTTGAGGGTCACGTATCGATGTAAACATGTGATTCTTTCAATGTAGTGGATAGCAGAGCGTGGCCTGAGACCAACACCACAAGTCACTCTAGAGCTAACTCGAATCTAGCTTGAATCGAAGTCGGACTCAACATACCACAGGTTGAATGGATATCTCTCGTGAGAAACCATACAGTTCGGTAACCCCGACGAGCCTTGCTTGCCGGTCCAATATAGTCGCATGCCGTAGGTATTGTCAGTTGACGTTACGTCGCATCTGACCACGGCGAGTTCTCACACCCCCTCGCCATGCGAAGTCAGGGACCATGGAGATTTTGTGGCAACTCTCCTCTAGCTGATTTCAGATATCACCCCTTTTCTCATCGTTCTTCATTCTTACCCTTCCTCTTAGCTGTACTTGCTCTGCTTGTCGATCCCCTCTGACCCCTGGTCTCTAATTTTCTGGTCTGCTCGTCCCATGCGGCCCAACTCTGCTCTGCTCTGCTACTCTCGTACGTCATGAGATCATGATGTTTCAATATTACGAGCTTGAAGGCCCGCATACATGAGTTAGATGTTTCCAGCGTGTTCCGGGGTATCCCGCTCTTCACGGCAACTCTACATCGTATACTGTCTTTTGAATGGCATACTCGCATGATGCAAAAGCTTGCTCTGATAAGGGAACAGTGTGCTGAGGTCGCTCTCCTGGAGAGTTGATCGAAGTTGGCAAGATATATGTATGGCGAAGTAGTAGCACCATCAGCGACCAGAGCATGCATTTTTTGGTCTGCGGCAAAGCATTCCAACGTCCACTGTCGT